GTATTATATTAGTAAAAAACTATTAGGTTAAAGCTAGCCTAGTAAATAAATTCTTGGGCATTATTATTAATATTAATTAATTACTTAACTTTAATTTATGTATAAATTTCCCGGGCGCTGTTTATATTAAGTTTAATAAGTATACCAGGCCAGGCATTATTATTAATAATAAGAATTATATTATACTTATTTATTTTTTAAAACAAGAGTTTACTAGGGTAAATATAACCTATTACCATACTTAGTTTTTTTTAACTCTTATATATATTATTATTATTTACAAGGTATAAAAAATAACTATTAATAAAGTAGTTTTAAATATATTAAAAAAGAACTTTTTACTAGGTTTAATATATATAATAGTTTTTTATATTAAGACACTGGGCAAAATCCTATTTAAAAAGCCTTTTAATTATAATTAATTTAAGTTTTAAGAGTTAAAGGCTAGTAATATAGCTTTAATATATTTAATAAATATTAAGCGTAGGGCTGCTTAGTATATATATATATTTTATTTATTAGGATATTTAGCTAACTAGTTTAACTATAATATTTTTTAGCTTTTAAGCTTAAGCCTCTTGTAATTAAGTTACTTAAATATTAATATAAAATTAGTTTACTTATTTGCTTATTTTTTTTTTGCTTTTAATTATTTTTTTTATATTATAGCTAGTTATTTTTACTTAGTTTTTATTAATTAAATAGCTTGCTTAAATATTTATAAATTAAATAAGGGTATAAATAAGTATAAAAAACCTAATACCATAAAGTTATATTAGGTTTTTAATTTATAAAGTTTTTAAATATTAAAATAGTACTTTTTAATTTTTTATAATTTTAAGTACAGGGCTATTTTAAATATATTTTAAATAATAGCTTTTTATTAGTTTAAGGCCACTAATTTAAATAAGTAAAAATTAACACTTTTTTTTTAAGTTAAGCATGTTAAATTTTTATATATAAAATTAAAATTTAAAAATTTAATATTTTTTAAAGGTTTTTGCCGCCGCACTAGCCTAATTAAAAAGTAGTAAATTAACTTTTTAACTTTACCTAATTTACCTAACCTATAAAAAAAAAAACTTATATAACTATAACCAGGTTTAAACCCGGGACCTCCTGGTTTCTAAAAATATTTAAAAAGTAGTTTTTAGCCTAGTTTTAGCCTGTTTAAGCCTAAAAAAAAAAAATAAGTACTTTTTTAATAAAAATAGGTGCTTAGCACTTTTTAAAGGCTTTAGGTATTTATATAGGGCTTTTTAAAGCCTAAAATAAGCTAAAATTATTTTTTAAAGGCTAAATTAGGTTATTATAGCACTAGCATGTAATTATTAAGCTAAAAGGCCACGTGAGTTACTATTTACCTAATAAAATAACCTTTATTTTTTAAGGGGTTAAACTAAAGTACTACAACCACTTAGCACGCGGGCTACAGGGTATTTTATTAATAAACTAGGCGTGGTTATATATAAAGCTAGTTATATTTTAAACCTAATTTTTTTAAATATCTTTTTTACTTATATACTAGTAATACGTAAGTTATATAATAACTTTAATTATTAAACTTTAGTTATTATAATACCAGGGCGCGGGAAAAAATACTAAAATAAGATTATTATAATATATTAAATTATAAGCTAAAGTACTTAGCTAAACTTATTAAAAATAAAATAATATTTTTATTTTAATTTAGGGAGCTTAAGGGCGTAAAAACACTAAATTAATATATTAAATTTCCTAATAATATTATTATAAAAGCCATGTAGGTTATAAGGAAATACCTTAATTTAAAAAGTTATAATACTTTTTAGTAGTTAAATAAATATATAAAAAACTATTATACCTAGGTAATAAACCTTATTTTAAAAAAAATAATTTTTAGTTATAGTTTATAAGACTAAACACGTGTATTAAACTAAAATAATTAATAATATTAAAAATAACTAAAAGTTATATTAAATAATAATATAGTATAAGCTAAAGCCTAGGCTTAAAACTTTTTTATTATTAATAAATAATAAAGTAATAAAAAACACGCGGGAAAAGGTTAATATTTTATAAAAAATAATATTAAAGTATTTTGATATAAATAATAATTTAAACTTTAATTTTTTAGCGCTAGAGTACTAGCAAGAAAATAAGTATTTTTATTAATTAAAAAAAAATTTACTAAAAAAAGTTAAAAAAATATTATTAGCGTAAGCAGCACCTTTTTTAAAGTAAACTAGGTAATTATTTATATTTTAAAGGCTTATTAAAAGTATATTAAGTAAGTTATTTATAAGCTATATAATTATTATTTATAACTAGGACACTTCCCCTTATTATAAAAGCTTATAAAAATAATAATACTTTTAAAAGGTAATAAAAAAAATAAATTTTTATTTTAATTTTAACGCCCTATAGTGCTGCTTTTAATATTAAAAAAAATTTAAATAAATTATAATATACTATATTACTTTTATTATATTAGTACAAGGGGTACTAAGTTTATAATAATATAATACTTTACTTAAGCACTGGGCTATAAACCTAGTATTTTTTTTACTTATAATATAAAAATAATACTTTTATAAAACTAGGAGGTTACTATAGTTATTATAAATATTTTAAGTATTTTTAATATTATTTTATTATAATACTTATTTTAATAAATAATAAAGTAAGGCTAGCCTTATATACTCCTAGCCTTAATTATAAGTTTTTTTAGTAAATAAAATATAAAAATATACCTAAAGTTTATTATAATAATAGTATACCTAGTATATTATAGTATATTATAAAGCTTACCCCTTTTTTAATATTATTTTTATTATATATTACTAAACTATTACTAGTAAATTTAATTTTATATTTTAATTATATAAATAACTTTTGCCTTAGCTGCGCAAGTAACTTTTTTTATATAAATTATAAACTTTTAATAAAAAATATTTCTAGCATGCTAGCTTAAAAAAAATAAAATAAAATAGCTTTTATACCTAAAAAATTAAAAATATTATATATTACTTAAAAATAATATAGTAAATTACCCTTACTAATAATTAATAATTAATCAATAATTATATTTATTATTATAGTACTAGGCTAAAAAAAATATTTAAAAAATTTTACTAGGGGCAAGGCTAAGAAGCTAGCTATAAAAAAGTTTAAATAATAATAATAATTATTACTTATAATAAAGGTAATAATTTTTAGTAATAATTTTAAATAAATATACTAAAAAGTTTATTATATAAGCTATAACTTGATAATATATTATAAATAATATTTTTAGACACAGGGATTATTAATAATTAATACCTAGTTTTATATATATAATATTAAAGCTATTAGCATGCTTTAAAAACTAAAAGTAGTAATTAAAAAGCTTTTTAAAGCCCTTATTTACTAGCTTTATATAAATAATACCTTAATAGTTTAATATACATGTAAATAACCCTTATTATTTTTTAATTAGGCTTTTTAAGTATTATACTAGCTTATAAATTAATATATAATTTATTTATAATAATTTTTTAAATATATAAATATTAAAAATAATAAGCTAATTAATAAACTAGCTAATAAAGCAGCCTTTATAAAGGCATGGCTGTTAAATATTAATTTTTTTAAAATATAATTTACTACAAGTGGGATATATAACTTATATAAATAAATATATTAAGTTACTTAAGCTAAATAATAAAAAAATATTTTTATAAAATTATTAACTTAATATAAATAATAGCTTATTATAAAATTAAAGTTATATTAAGTTAAATTATAACTTAAGCTAGTGCTAAAATGCCTAATTTTATATTATTAATTAGTATTAAAATTATTATATAATTACTTTAAGTAATACTATAAATATTTTTAGTATAAAAATATAAAGTTTACTTACTTTTATAAAATAAGTAAAAGCCTTAAATACCTAATTTTTTATTAATATATTAAAAGGTAGTTTTTATAATAACCCTAGCACCTAATAACATCCTTAATAAATAAGGCTAAAGTTTTAAAGTACCTTTATAAATTAAAACCTAAAAACTTTATATTTTTATTTAAAATTATAAACTTTTACTAATTTATTTACCTTTATTAAAAATTTTAACTTCTAGATTTTTTAAAATACCTAAGCTAGGTGCTTAATAGTTTTTTAGTTTTTTTTTTTTTTATTATAATTTTTTTTAAACACTTTTTTTTATATAACTAGCTTTAAATATATATATTTTTTTATAAAGGGGTTAGCCCCTGTATTTTATAATATTTAAATTATTAAATATATAATAAATAATACCTATTAATAATTATATATAAAAATAATAAGTAAAAAATAAATATATTATTTATAAGCTTTAATAAAAGTTGCCTTTTAAAATAAAAAGCCTTTTTATATATAAACTTATTTAAATAAATTACTTACCTTATAATAGCACGCCCTTATACCCTAAGAAAGGTCTAGAATATTAGGCGTACGCCTAGTTATCCCCGGGGCGTTAAATACCACTACTACTACTACTACTACTACTCAAGAGCTGGAGGGATATTTGAAGACATATCCCCTGCACCAGCCAGCTACAAATAGATATTCAGTTACTCCGTACTCCGTTCCCCTGCCCCAAAGGAGGAGCTTGGCCAGTACTAGTGCAGATCCTCCGGAGATCAGTTATCCTTCGCGTGTGACTGTGACGAGCTCGATCCGCCAGGTATTCATAGTCGGGCACCTGCAGGAACCGATCCCTGCCCTATAAGGCAAGCGTTCGTCTGGCTGGCGGAATCTCGGTGACGGGCTGCGCAGTTCAAACTATTCAATAGGCTACAGCTGGCCAGGGCATCAGGTTTCCTTCCGATCTACATGTGGCTGATAACTGGTAAAACATACATTCGTTGCCGTCAATCATAGGTAAGATCACTATGGTACTAGTACAGATTGTTGCTCCTCATTCACCCTTCAGATCCTTCTCCACTCCAGGGTAGATACCATATGTGGCTATCACATCCACTTGGACTGTCGCTTAGCCAGCCTGGTACAGCCCCAGCGCAACAATATGCGGGTTCAGCATCGTCGTATTAAACGGCGTCACAAACAGATCCAAATCCGTCAACATCACCGCCATCGTATCATTAATCACGCCGTCATCCCCAAAGACCATCCCGCCCGGCTGCGTCGTCCACCCCCGGTTCTGCCCCGTGACCGTCAACGGCGAGTACGTCAGGTTGAGCTGGTTGCTCCAGCCCACGAACTTCGGCTGGCCGGCCGTCGTGCTGGTGACGTACGAGTTGTTCGGGCCGACGTGCTGGCCCGGGTTGTCCCACGAGAAGTACACCTTCTTCCCGGGGTACGAGAGCGGCTCGGTCCTGTTGCGCGCGAGCGCAGCCTGGCAGTTCTTCCCGATCCCGTTGGCGGTCATGCAGGCGTCGCCCTGCGTGACGTTTGAGGATGATGGGTCCGTAATGCGGTTCCCGGCTTGCTCGCTGCCGTCGGGGCGAGTGTTGTTCGCGTCGACGCGGTTGATGTTGGGGTTGTTGAGGATGTGCAGGGTCGGGAAGTTCTGCCACGCAAGTCGAGTCTGGCCCGCGGGGCAGGAGCTGATATAGGGAGCAAGCATGGTCCACTGCCAGGACTGCGGCCAGCCGTTCTCGAACCACACGGGCATGGGCGCGAGGCCGGCAAGCTGCCGGAAGACCATCTGCTGGCGGGCCTCGATGGCGATGGACTGCGAGAGCATCTGGGAGACCTCGCGGGAGTCGAGGTGCGAGAGGAAGCCCCAGACCCCGGACTCGCCGAAGCGGGTGAGGCGCTGCATGAAGTCCAGCCACTCGCGGACGGTGCGGTAGGGGTAGTTGTAGACGCATTGCTTGGGGGCGGCCTCGCCGAGCATGTTGCTCAGCAGGGTGGCGTGGCCGACTTCCTGGTTCGCCATGAACTCGATCAGGGAGCGGACTTCAGGCCCGATGCCTGCTGCCTTGAAGTCGTCGTCGGAGAACCGGGCCAGCCCGTCGTGGAAGAGGTCCAGCTCGATGTACTCCTGGTACACGCCTAGCGCGATGGACTCAAAGTCCCAGTCGCTGTTGACCATGTACCGGGGGAGAGTTCCGTTCGTGCCTAGGCCTCCTGCTGGGACGTAGGGTGCTGGCATGGGCTGTGTGGGCACGCCTGCAGCGTTGTAGTAGGTGGCTGTTGGGTTGGGAGGCTTTGGGGCGATCGATGGGGCCAGCGTCTTGGAGGCTTTGGCAGCTCCGAGGACGGTCGGTGTCCCTGAGTACGGGCCATGATAGGGGGCGCTGCGGTAGCCATTCTGACTGACGACGTCTGGGGCTCTGGTGTTGGCCGGGGCGGCCAGGGCGCCGTGGAGCAGGCCGAGGGCGAGGAGGGCGTGGGCGTGCATTGCTCTCGGTGCTGTGCGAGGAGCGGGGATGGACTACAAGAGAGAATGCCGGCCAGCGACCTTATAAGCAGCAGATGATGTATTGATGAGCTATGGCTCTGGGCCGGGAGTAGATGCCGGGGGTCAGTCTATGGTGATGAAGTTAGGGCTCGACTTCCGGATCCGGCTCAGGCCACTGTCGGGGCCAGCATTCCAGACTGGACCGGACTCTTTATCCGCAGCACTACGTCGGCCTTACGACACCCTGGGGACCTATCAGACAGCCTCGACATGCTCTGAGCCCACTTTCACTTTCAGGTTTTGTCCCGGCTGCTCCACTCGCAGATCGTCCCTGCTGGCGTACGCAACTTTATGCACCATCTACCACGGTCGCTCAAACAGCTTATCCAGCGCTTCCAGCGATCAGCCAGTTGTATCCTGCGATCAGTCAGTTAACCCTTCGGCGTAACGATGACGGTGAAATCCTACAGGCATAGCAAGTGCAACATACACCAACCCCAGCACACAGACGCAGCTGAAGAACAGAAAGGCGCCCCAGCGGTCAGTTGCCGCCAGCAAACTGGGCATCGCCTTGGAGCAGCCAAAGTAGAGCGCCCAGTGCAGCGCTATGGAGATGGACATGTCCAGCGACCGGATGCGCGTAGGGGAGATCTCAGGCCCAATAAGGTACGGGATGCTGAACCAGCCAATGCTCCACGCGACGGCGTGCAGGTAGATGGCCACAATGGCCGCCGTTAAGGCCCGCTCGGCATTGGGCGACGCCTTGATCTCATCGCTCGTCATGTCCTTCGTTGCGCCTGGTCATGATCCACAATGACAACGGCAAAGGCCAGCGCGCTGACAAACTTGACAATGCCGTAGATGCCCGTCGCCGTCGATGCCCAGGTACCCGAAGATGGTCGGCGAGGACTGCGTGATGGCGTTGGCTCCGGACCATTGCGAGAAGAGAGTCGGCAAACGGGGCTAACAGATCCAACGGGGTGTTGTCTATTGTCTCTCTTAATCCGGCAACCCCGACACCCTCCCGAGGTCGTTTCGAACGGTATCTCGCCGAATGGACTTGCACTGTTGCCGGACAAACTGTTCCTGTACGTCGCCATGACGCGTGCGAATGCTGTCTCGAGATTGCCGCTACATGCAGACGGGACCACTGCGGAGGAGGGAGGCAAGAATCTGACGAACTGCTGCTTTGGACGAGACGATGGGAAGACGCTGTTTATCAGCGACAGGTCGGAGGGGAATGTGCAGTGTGTCCGGTGGCACGGTGCGGGGATGGAGTGGGTAAAGAATAGAGCTGCAACGGAATGAATTGAACATCTTGATAATAAAAGCAGATTGTATAATAACTACTACGACAGACAGTCACGGAACAGCCACCATGAAGCCACAGTCCACTAAAGGGCCACCTGCGAAAGCTCGTCGGCAGCCTGGATCAAGACATCACGAAGCAAGAAAAACCACTCCTTCACACGGTCCAGATGCCGGACGCGTGAGTCGTATTCCAGCTTCAACTCCAGCTCCCCGCGAGCCCCAGAAACAACGACCTCAAACAACGAGAAGTGGCGGGCGTCAGGGTCGAGGTCGTTGCGGCCATGGTCAACCGCGATGTCGTCCGCCGGCCGAAACAGGGCATCGGGGGATTCCAGCTGCGGATTGACGCCCTGGAAGTTCAACACGAACTCCATCGGGCCCTTTGGCTGCAGGGTGTGCCCGTCGGGATGGAAATGGCGCGCGGTGAAGTATGCCCATCCGTTCATCGGCACCGCTCGTCGCGCGGCTTTGGTGCGCTGGATTGTTTCCAGCAAGGGTTGATGCGGCGAGTCGACGGCAACCACGACGGGCCAGAGGGTAGAGAACCAGCCCACTGTTTGGGAGAGGTCGAGACGCGAGCGCTCCCAGGGTTCTCGGCCGTGGCCGGCATTCCATACGACCGGGGCGGGGCGGTCATGGAATACCTGTGTGAAGCTTTGGATGATTGCGGTATGGAAGAGCTCGATGGGCTGAGCGTCCAGGGCCGTGTGGGCGAGGCTGAGCAGCTGCTTTGTCGTCTGCGTGTTCAACTTGAAGCTGAGCACCTGGATATCGCTCCACGTGCTGGGTCGCTCCGCCATTCCCCAAAACTCGGCATACGATACTTGCAGATGTTGAGAGTAATCGTCTGGCGAAGGGAGTGTAGTGGATGGCGCCAACATTGTCTGCACGAATTCAGCCTGCATTCGGTTCCATACAGGGAAGTCCAGAGGGCAAGGGGGCAATGGGCCGTCGTTCCGGAGCACAGTCTCCAGATCACCAAGGATGATACGCCAGGACACCGGATCCATGACAAGATGGTGTGCAACCAGGAACAGGAAGCTGGCAGTGCCGACGTGGATTCGATTGACCGCTAAAAGGGGACCGTTTACTAAATCCAGCGTCCGCTGACTACTGTCCAATTGAAGCTGCATTTCGTCCACTGTCTCGAGCTGGTGACATTCAAACCGATAGGACGAGCGCGCATCGGCTGTTACCATCTGCTCCCACCTCCCCTCGTGCTTCCCAAAGCGGGCTCGCAGCATGGCGTGGCGCTCCACGACTGCTTCGACTGCCTGGACCAACCTCGCCTCCGAAGCGGGCTTGACAAGCCTGACAAGCAGGGTTTGGTTGAAGTGATTAAATGCTCGCGGCTGGCTGTCGAAGAAGATTGCCTGGATTGGTGAGAGCGCGTACCATGTATCTACCTGGACGCTCCCTGTGCCAGCAGCCGAGGTAGAATCACCTTGCCGCTCGCTTTGGGTCGCGAGGGCGCCCTGAACATACTTTGCAAGCTGGGCGACCGTGCGATGAAGAAAGACATCTGGTGTGGAGATGGACAAGCCTCTCCGGCGGCATTGCGCAACAAGCTGCATCACGGTGATGGAGTCGCCTCCAAGGTGGAAGAAACTGTCGTCGACACTGATCCTTTCGACGGGCTGATTGAGCACAGTGCCGAACGCTTGACATATCGTTGTCTCTAGCCTTGAATTCGGCGGTCGTATGGCCCGGTCCCCTGCTGACAACTCGTACAGCCTCAAGTCCTCCAGGGAGAGCGGTGCTGCCAACTCCCGTAGTGCCTTCCTATCCACTTTGCCCGACGGCGAAAGAGGTATGTGGCTTAAGGCCAGGAATGCCGTGGGAACCATGTAGCTCGGGAGAGCTCGTTGCAAGCTCGTGGATAAATCCTTCAGCTGCGACTGCAGGGACACACCTGTTTCGGGAGGAGTATGCTGTCCTCGCCTTGCCCGGTATGAGAAGGCATCTGAATATAGGCAACTAGCATCGGCGCTGCCACGCCATCCGGTCGAACCAGCTCGACTGCACACTGCCAGCCCGCCGGCAGAAGCTGCTGCAGATGATGCTCAATCTCCCCCAGCTCAATGCGCTGACCACGCAACTTGACCTGCTTGTCCTTGCGGCCAACGTACCGCAGGGAACCATCACCAGCGTACTGCACCAGATCGCCAGTGGCATAGAATCGCGCAGCATGAATATCATCTGTAGGCGGCAACGACGCCAGCCACCGGGGATGCTTGAAGAAGCAACAGTTGGCCTTTGCGTCACCGTTGAGATACCCGCGCCCAACAATTGGACCCTGGAGGATAAGCTCGCCCACCGCTCCAATGGGGAGCAGCCGGTTGCGATCTCCCGGATCGACGACCCAGCAAGCGCCGCCGGTGGGATATCCAATATCCAGCGGGCAGGAGTCATGCTTCATTGGCGCCCGGGCAACCGTGCTGCATGAGCACTCTGCAGGCCCATAGACATTGATGAGATAAACCCTGTCACACCACCTGTCAATGTCGGCTTTGAGCATACTTTCCCCGCCGAGGGCCAGGGCTCGCAGCGAGGGGACTTCGTCTGGATCCAATAGACGCGCCACGGACGGGGTCAGATCCGCCAAGGTGGCACCAAACTCGGCGATCGTAACGGCGAGGTTATCCTTGAGACTGGCCGGATTGGGGATGCAGACACAGGCGCCCTGCATCAGCGGAAGGAGGTGATCGGAGACGCTGACATCGAATGCATAGGATGCGAACTGGAAGACCCTGGTTGTGCGATCGATTCCATTCAAAGCACTGTACGCACTGGCACTGGTGCTGAAGGAGAGGTGTTCGATAACCACAGCCTTGGGAAGACCGGTGGACCCGGAGGTGAAGATGATGTAGAGGGCCTGCTGTGGATGGACGACGGGGAGCTGGCTTTCCGAGCTGGAGCAAGGGCTACAGACGTCTCGAGACAGAACCAGAACCTCAGGGAGGAGCTTCCTGGCCAAGGCAGCGCAGTCGCTGGATGCCACTACAAGTGCGGCATCGATGATACCGCACATATGCTCCAGGCGTCCCAGTGGGAGTGAGGGCTCCAAGAGCACAAATGTACCGCCAGCCCTGATGATCCCAAGGATTGCAACGGGCGTCCAGAAGGACTTGTGCATCAATATTGGCACCCGGAATCCCCTGTGCACCCCTCTAGCCAGCAGATAGCATGCCAGGGACTGGGACAGCTCGTCCAGCTCGCGGTATGTTAACATCCCGTCCCATGCGTGGACTGCTGGAGCGTCTGGCGTCTGTTCGCAATGGGACAGGATCACGTCGTGGACACAGAGGTCGACAGATGGAGGTAGATGCTCATTCCACCGGAGAAGCTGTGTCAGCCCCTCTCGGCCGGCCTCCTTGAGATCACCCACACGGAGGGAGTCGCGGCTGCTCTGGTCGTCTAGTATGCGCTCGGTAACATGTGCCATCTGATGGATGACCATCTCAAGGATCCGAGGGTCAATGACATGGGGATCATACGTGGTCTTGAACCGGATTCCGGAGGCTGTAGGCTCGCACACCACATTCACCGCATAGGTGCTCTCGGCCCAGTGGGAGGCTGAGTCCGAGCCATCATGGCCAGGAACGGGGGTGAACAGGCTGGATCTCGGAACAAACTCTTGCCCCTCTGCTTGGACAACCAACAGGCTCTGGAACCGGCAGGCATGACCTGCCTCCGGCCCCATCCTGCTGATCTGTAGCAGCCCGTCCTGTTCAAACGGAATCATCTGCATCGCCTTGGTATGTATCGCACTCAGGGCAGCGGCGCATGTGTCCTCGGGCTTTAGCTGTATGCGGAAAGGGACCGTGGCAACGGTCGGGCCCGTCATGTCGGCAATTCCAGGGATTGGCAAACTGCGCCCGGTTACGACGGTCCCGAACACGACGTCAGTGCTGTCGGCGTAGGTCGCTAGCACCATCGCCCATGCAAGACGAATGACTGTGGATATGGTGAAGTCGCCTTGTCCGCGGGATGATGGGCTCCTGTCGACCGTACACTCAAAGGACGCAGTAGGGTGGACAATGCGGTCATCCAACGGAGGGCTTGGGAAATGGGTGCAATCCAGCCCCTCGAACTCGTCCTTCCAGTAGGCGTGCGAGGCGGCTATATCGTGCTGGGTGAGATGGCGTATGAACCCAGCAAACTGCCGACCGCGCAGAGGTGCCGCATGATACGCGGCATCGAGGTCCTCGAGCAGAATGGGCAGTGACCAGCCGTCATACATTGAGTGATGCAGCGTCAGCACAAAGTAGCGAGCCCCGGACTCGGCGTCTGCTAGAATGGCATAATAACTCAACGGACGCCCCAGGCCGAATGTGATCTCGTTCTGTTGGGCAAGGTAGTCCGGCAGACTGGTCCCGTATGTCCAGGCTGGGTTCGTGCGCAGGACAACCTGGTACAGCTTTCCATGGTCACTTTGGATCAGCCGAGTCCTCAAGATGCCGTGGGCATCGACCGTCTTGTCCCACGCGGCCTGGAGCCGCTCGAGGTGGACAGATTCGTCCAACCTCAGGGGCAGATGTGCCGCGTATGCTCCCGTCCGCTTTACAGAAAGGGACATCAGCCCTTCCTGGAGTGCCGTGGCTGGGTACATATCCTCGACCTGTTGCACAGGTATCGCACATTGAGCTGCCCCCTGCAAAGACAAAGACGCTGCGTCGGATCCAAGCAGAGAGAACGGGGGGACCGGTGCATTCCCTGCAGCGTCTGTGGTACCCTGCAGAGCCTGCGCAATTGACGAGAGGCGAGAATGGCGGAATACATCTGCAAACTGCAATCGGAGCCCGCGGTCTTCTGCGAGACCAACCAAGCGGATGGCGGAGATGGAATCGGCCCCGTGTTGGAGGAAGGTGTCCTCCATCCCGAGCTCTTCCTCTGGGACGTTCAAGACCGAGGCACAGAGCTCCCGAAGCAGATATTCAGATGCCGTAATGGGCTCGCGTTTCTCACGGGCAGCAACCATGTATAGCCCGATGTCATGCTTGCTCAGGGACGTGGCTTGGTTGCACAGGCGGTTTCTGTCCGCCTTTCCAGACAGGGACAGGGGAACTTCGTGAACCGGTATGAAGACTCTGGGGATCATGGCCTGCGGCAGTCGTTCGGCCAGCCGTGGCTGAGCGGCCGCAGTCTGTTGTCGGAACACATCACTCGGTATGATGAACAGAGAGTCTGGCTGCCCTTGAATCACCCTCTGTCCGAGCTCGATGAATGCCACCAGCTCACAGCGCGATGAATTGTCCATCACAATCTGCTCCACGATGACCTGGTCGGCGCCATCAAAGGACTGCTTCAGCTGGTATTCGATCTCCCCCAATTCAATCCGCTGCCCGCGGACCTTAACCTGCCTGTCCTTGCGGCCAACAAACCGCAGGCTCCCATCCGGCTGCTGGCGAACAAGGTCCCCGGTCTTGTAGAATCGACGTGATGTCGGGAGAGAAGGCGAATGCGCCGCCCATGCTGGATCGGTAATGAAGGCGGCTCGCGTCAAGCCGTCATTGTTGAGGTATCCGCGCGCGAGAATGGGGCCCCCGATGAGTAGCTCTCCGATGCTGCCCATGGGGACGAGTTCGTCGCGGTCATCCTCCTTGACCACCCAGCATGTGCCGCCGCTCGCCCAGCCAATGTTGGATGGGTCGTCCCCTGGCTTAACGCCTACTCTCAATGTGCTCGACACACAACACTCCGCAGGCCCATAGACCTGGACGAGCCTGATGGAGCCCCAAGCGAGTAGATTATCAGCCGTAACAGCCTCGCCGCCCAGGATAACAGTATGGATAGAAGGGACCTGTTCAGGACGCAGGGTGCGTGCCAGCGAGGGGGTGATGTCCATCGTATTAGCCCCCATGCTCTGGATTGCGGCCCGAATGCTATTGAGTCTCTGGTCCTCGGACGGGATGCAGATGCAGCCGCCTGCGAACAGGGCCGCCAGATGGTCGTTGACGCTTACATCGAAGGAATACGACGCAAACTGTAGCATCCGAGTGGTTGTATTGACGCCTACCTTCTGGCAATACGCGGCCAAGCTGGTAGCCATGGCAGCGTGCTCAACCACCACCCCCTTGGGGGTCCCTGTGGATCCTGAGGTGAAGACCACAAAGGCCGGGTCTGATGCCTGGGCGCATCTCGATCCAGGGCATTGCTTTGGCTCAGAACTGTCAAGCTTGTCCGGAAGACTCTCGTCGAGGTAGACGACACGCGGTCCAAGCTCCGAGGCTCTGATGGCCATGGACGTGGAAGAGAGAACGACCTCTGCGCCGAGTTGCGCGCACATATCCTTGAGCCGCAGTATGGGGCTCGAGGCATCCATGAGCACAAATGCGCCGCCAGCACGAAGAACCCCCATGATTGCCACTGGAGTCCACTTGGACTTTTCGACGTAGATGGGCACAAACGCCCCCGGGCCAACTCCATGGGAGGCCAGGACGCCTGTTAGCTTCGATGATAACTGATCAAGCTCCGCATACGTCCAATGTCCATCCCATGCCCTTATGGCCACCGCTTCGGGCTGTTTGGTAAAATGCTGCTCAATGGCTTCATGGACCGTGGTCTCACGGACGCTAGGATGATCTTCGTCGGACATTGCGGGTGAGACGAGGTGTGAGGATTGAGTGAGGTTGGATCTGCTTGAAGCAAGAGCAGCAGTACAAGCACGATGCTCACGAACACCCAACTCAGTCTTGTTCGGCTCTGCGGGGGTGGCTTGGTCCCTGAAAGTCCGCGCCTGGAAGTTGTTGCTTTTTTCCCCTTTGCTGACCAACAGTGCAGGTGTGTTTGCTTCCCAATCTGCAGCAAGCTGCTAGCTCCAGCTATTGCCTGGCTTGGCCCTGTCAGAGGTGCGATCACAGGGCTGCGTACATGGGCTCCGTTCAAACCCCAATTGATGACACGTCCAACATGGAGTGGTTGGGGTACATGTCCGGCAAGGGCATCCAACGCACCCCGAGCACACTACCGTCACGACGTGGCACCAGCCAGGCCAGACGCAGCAACAGTTACATAATGACAACTGGATAACCCGGTTCCCGGAGCAGGTCAAACATGACGCCCATAATTGGGCCATGGCACCTCCTGCTTCGTCATTACCGTGGCCTCTCCCATTCCATTTCAATCTCTCTCATCCCAAATCTCCTGTTTTCTCACCAGCACGTCTTCCTGGCAGTCTTGAATCTCGGGTAGTCAGAGGAAAAATGGACTACCGACGCATGGCCATCGAGAAGGAGGCCCCCGAAGAGGTGGGCGCTGTCATCAGGTACAATCTGTCCGAGAGCGCCATCTCCGACCAAACCCTGCAAAGTCTCCAGGTTACGATTCCTGCCGATCTCGTCCTGACATACACGGAGCACCGAGGAAGCCAGAGGATCCGATCAATCATCTCGCAGACATCAGGTGGGGCATTAACGCCGGACGACATTCTCATCACGGCGGGCGCGTCAACATCGCTGTTCATCGTGGCCACAGCCTTGCTCCGTCCGCAGGACCACCTGATCATCACCCGGCCCAACTACGCAACGAACCTGGAGACCCCGCGTGCGATCGGCTGTCAGACGACGGTGGTCGACCTCGCATTCGAGGATGGGTTCCGCCTCGAGCTTGACGGCATTGCCCGCGCCGTTCGCCCGGGCGTGACCAAGCTGATCAGCATCTGTTCCCCCAACAACCCAACCGGCAGCGTCATCCCCGCAGAGCAGCTAGTCCAGTTGGCAAGCCTGGCCGGGGCGCATGGCTGCTACCTGCTCGTCGACGAGACGTACATCGATCTGACGTACCCCGGGGCCGGCGAGTCTCCTCCGCCTCCCATGGCCGCCACCCTTGGAGACCATATCATTGGCGTCTCGTCCATGTCCAAGGCGTACGGGGTGCCTGGGATCCGGGTCGGGTGGCTATCTACCACGAACCCAGAGCTGCAAGAGTCCTTTCTCGCCGCGAAAGAGCAGATCAGCATCTGCGGCAGCGTTCTGGATGAGCTGGTCGCAGAGCAAGTCCTCGCGCGCCGTGATGAACTGCTGGCGCAGACCAGGGCGGAGATGAAGCGTCGGCGGGACCTGGTGGCTGCCTGGATCGAGGCCGAGGCGGACTTGCTTGAATGGGTCCCCCCGCAAGCCGGCGTCATGTGTTTTGTCAAGATGAGGAAGGTGCCCCTCGGAGGCACGGGGGCTTTCTATCACCGGCTGCTACACGAGCATGGGGTCTATGTTGGGCCGGGGCGGTGGTTCGATCGTCCGGACACGTTCTTTCGGCTGGGCTTTGGATGGCCGTCGAGCGAGGACCTACAGGCTGGTCTACAAGCGATATCCTTGGTTCTGAGGTCGGTGGCTTGATTGATTCTTCATCTTGTCTGGTTGCGGAACATGCTTCGTCCACGTTTAGCCAATGCAGTGAATACTACCTAGAACATAGCTAATCCAACCTCCGGAAGACAATCTCACATCTCAAGCCGCTCGGCACAGCGTCATGGGTACTCAGTTGCCTCATGGACTCCACTGTGCAGGAGTCAGCGAGCGCCGTCTCATAGTGAAGGTATATGCCGGCGATGAGCATCTTGATTTCCATTGTGGCAAGCGCCTTCCCCAGACAGAGTCGCGCCCCGTGTCCGAATGGAATCAAATAGGCTTCTCTCTCCCTGGCACGGCCTTGGGCGTCGTTCTGCAGCCAGTGCTCTGGCCTGAAGCTATCTGGGTCCGGAAACACTGTTCCTCTCCGCTGCAGTGATGTAACCGCGCTGGTTACAATGATCTGTCTCAGGCCCTGCGTGTCAGCTTCAGGACACACCGCACAGAGGTCAACAGGGTAACACATAGGGTGGGCACTGGGGGGTGACGTACCCCCTCCGGTAGAAAGAGACCAGATACTACTCGTCCCCCGGACGGTACCACCCGTTCTGCCCTGCCACTCGATGCCGGGTGCAGTCGGTACACCTCTTTCAGGCAGGCTTCCATGATCGGCAGTTGATTCACGGCTGAAAATGGCGGCACGCACTCCGAGCTTTCGCGCAGCTGCCGCACTTCGTCTGCCAGCCGCCTTTGCCAGCCTGGGCTTGCGCTCAGATGATAGAGGAAGTACGTGGCGGTCACTGCGATGGTGGCCTCGGCCGCGTTGATGTTGTCGAGGACCTCGGCAGCTATGAACTCGCGGCTCAAACCGGCGCTCTTTTGCCCTGCACCGAGACTCTGCTGCTCGCCATGGTAACGGGCAGCTAATTTTCCCAGCAGGCACCGAGGGTTTGGCGTCGAGCTCTGCAGTATGTGGCTCGTCCTTTCGCGGCTCCAGCGGGACAGCTTCTTGTCGGCCTGTAGATACTCGAGGCTGGGCATGACGCTGCTCGCGACGGAGGTGGCCGCCTCGAAGAGCCTGGGGAACAGCACACGGAATGGGCCCCAGCGTTGGAGATGCTTTAGATGGCGTAGAATCTCACGCTCCCGCTCATAGGCCAGGTCTTCAACCGTCCTCGTGCCATGGCCATGGCCAAACACGATGTATGTTATGATGTCGAACCCATACCAGTCAGTCAACGCATATACATCGACATTTGTGCCCTCCTGGCTCCGCCGCCGGATGTATCCAAGGACGGCCGTCACTCTCTCCTGGATGTGGGCCTCGATATCGGGGCGCGTGTAGATGTTCGAGGCTTGGTAGAACGACGAGGTTAGGGCTCTCTTGCGCTGGTGATCTCTGTATGGGCGAGTCGCAAACATGGAGCGGTGGCCTCTTTCGGCAAAGTGGTCGAAGTAGGCGCTCTTGGGGAACTGGTTGGTCGAGCTGTAGATATCCTTGATCCCCTGGCATGACGCAACGGATACTTCGTTGGGCCCAATGCAGACTACGGGGCCGTAGCGGGCGTGCCAGCTTGCGATTGCTTCGTTACGTTGAAGCCGGAGCTCGTGGAAACTGAGCTTGATCCGCAGGAACTTGTTCAGCAGCGGGCTAGGGACATGCCGCAGCCGCATATAGAGACACAATCCGCGGAGAGCCATCCCCGTCAAGACAACGGAGACCAGCAAGAGAGAAAGCGATGCATAGTGCAAAGGCATGATGAATTGTTGACACTAGACCTTGAAGCAGGCCGTACAGACAGTACCCCAACACTGTGATTTATACCCCGGTCCCCAGCCAGCCCGCCATCCATGGCCCTGGCATCCCGCTTGATATTTACCCCGCGGATTACAGGGGCCACTTTTCAGGGCCGGACTGCTTACTTGCCTACAGTGCATATGTTCGTGTAACTTGTCTGCTTACTTGCATAGAGCACGTATGCTCGGGTGACTGGCCTTGGAGAGACCTGCATGGAAGAAAGCGCCCTCGGTAACCCATCCTGCGGCAGGCAAATGCAGGGAAGCAATGGGACAAGCCCAGTGACGGCGACCACATAAAGGTACGCTCGCCCCCGGCCGCTCCGATGCCCCAAGTCCATCGACTCAGGCATGCAGCATGAGCGAATCCACGACGATCCCTGTGCTGAACCTTTCCCTTGCGCGCTCTCCGACCACCAAGCCGCAATTCCTGTCCAAGCTCCGAGATGCCCTGGTGCGCGTCGGGTTCTTCTATCTCGAGAACCACCCGGTCCCAGAACAGGTGCAGCAGGAGGCCATGCAGGAATCGCGGCATCTCTTCGCCCTCCCACTGCAGAAGTGCGAGGTCGACATTGTGAATAGGAGGCACTTCTTTGGCCACATCAGGACGGGCAGCGAGGTCACCAATGGCGGAGCCGCGGGATTGTAGTGAGAGCTTCGTGGTATGTCCATCCATTGTGTGCCTGGTTGTTCTTGCCTCTTGGGCACCGGTGTCTCGTCATGACCCATCTGCTCCAGCAGGGGACGCACAGCTGCCTGGAGGTGCAGACCCAAGCGGGCGTGTGGATTGCCGCCCCCCCGTTGCCCGGCACGCTGGTGCTGAACATTGGCCGCATGCTCGAATGCAGCACCCATGGCGTGTGCGCGGCGACAACCATCGATTCGACGGTAGGGAATTATCTGTTCCTTGCGTATCTGACTGGCTTTCCCGATGTCGCTGCAAGGTGGTACCCTGCACTGCTATCACGAGCTGTGAACAAACAGTTGGAACTCCAGGTTCTTGGTCATTAAGTAACCGGCATGAGAGTGCCAGTGTCTGATCGTGTGTACTGTCCTTCCTTCTGTATTGAATGATGTCCGAGCTCTTCATTCCATGGGTGCCAAGTGGAAAGTGAATGTTGCTTTATATTATTTCTGAGAAACTGCAGCTCCTGCCCCATGAGTTGGATATATTTCTCTCTAGAACGTAGTCTTCAGGGATCTTATAATGATAAACGGACGTAGCCAATCGGCCTCTCACTAGGTACTCTAAAGGGAATGAATTGAACTTCATGTCGGCTTCTCAATGCTACAGAGATACCTGTACAGATTGTCGACTGCGGCCCTGGAGCTGGCCCTCTGCGCCGTATTGGTGGCCGCCCCAATGTGCGGAGTGCTGACCACGTTCAGGTTCTCCCACAGCTGGCCATACTTTTCCACAGATGGAGGCTCTTGCTCATGGCAGTCCAGCCCAGCGCCCCAGAGGTGACCTTCAGACAGAACGCGAGTCAGGTCTTCTTCGTTGACGATGCCCCCTCGGGCGGCATTGATGAGGATGGCATCCGGCTTCATCTGTCGAAGCTGCTCGTAGGAGATGAGGTTGCGCGTCTCGGCAGTCAGTGGAATGTGCAGCGTGAGTACATCCGCCTCCTCAATAACTTCTTGCAGAGTCTGCGCTCGGCGATGTGGAAGATGAGACCAGGCATTGTCAGACATGTACGCATCAAACGCAATCAGCTTCGCATCGAAGCCCCCGTAGAAGATTTCAGCCACAGTTCGACCAATGTTGCCCATTCCAATAATGCCAATGGTCTTCTTGTGCAGCGTCAAGCCCGTGCAGGTCTCCTTGGGAACCGGAGCCGTCATTTGCCGCGTGGTGATGGATCGGATGGTCCGCGCGACAGTCATGCTGAGTGCCACCACGAGCTCGGCGACGTCTCTCGCGTTGGCGCCTGGCGTATTAAGAATCTTGATTCCTCGCTTGGCACAGGCTGCCTGATCGATCTTGTCAATGCCGACTCCATGCTTTCCAATGGCAAGCAGGTTGGGAGCGCGAGCGATGTCGTCCGCAGTGACATAAGATCCGCGGACCAGGATCGCGGTGGCATGCTCTCTCCAGTTGCTCAGCTCGTTGTCTCCTGGAACGACGACGTTCCAGAGCGTCTTTGCGTGCTCGACCGCATCGGGGTGCAGGGTGTCGATGAAATAGACCGTTCGCTTGTCGCTGGAGACCGGTTTCACCTTTACAACTCTTAGTAATCTAGGGGTACCTTTGAATAAGGGCTCCAGACGCTTTAAAACTATTATAAATATATATTTTTACTATTTTAATTTTATTTTTAACTTTTTTTTCCTTTTTTTATTACTCCCCGCGGTATAATAGCTAAAACTAAGGTATATACCCTTAATTAATTTATAAGCCTTAATTTAGCTAACTTTACCCGGCTATAAGATTTCTTATTCTCCTTTAACCTTTATATTATAAAAAATAAAAAAAAAAAGAGCCCTAGTAAGCCTATCTTTTTCTTTTTATTATTAAAAATAATAATATATTAACTTTTTAACCTAGCCTAGCTATAAAGGCCCTTTATAATTAACTTAATAAATAAAAATACTAAGCATATATTAAGCGCGAAGTTTTTATAAGCTTTATAATTATTATTAATAGCTTTATAGCTAGGTAAAAAACTTAAAATTAAAAAGCCTTTACCTATAATATTTATAATAAATTTATATACTTTATTTTTTTAAAGGGCTACATTAATATTAATAATATTAATTATATTTTTTTATATATATATAGCTAGCCTGCCACTATAATAATTTTTAATAAAATTATTACCTAAGAAAAAATAAGTTTAATCCCTAAAAACTTAGGGGCTTAACCCACCTTTTTTAAAATAAGTTTTTTTATCTTAACTAATACTACCTTGGGTAAGGTGCCCTTATTAAGTATTTTAATAGTTTAATTAACATGTAATAGCTTTATTATAGCCTTAACTATGTAAAATAATTATAAGGTATTAATTACTTTTTTTAATAATAAGTTAATAGCATGCCTTAAAATATATATTATTTAGCAAGCTTTTATTAAGTACGTGCTAAAACTAACTATAATTATAATTATTTTTAAAATTAATATTACTTACACGGGCTAGGCTATTATTTTTAATAACTTTTTTATTAAAAATTTTTTAATAATTAAAAAAGTAGTTAGTATAATTTACTATACCCTAGGTATTACTAATATATATATCCCTTAAAAATAATATAATTATATAGTATAAAAAGTGCCCAGCACTATCCTAGTATATAATAATAGTAAAATAAATATTATTAAGCTAATTTAAAATAAAGTTATAACTTAAATAAAATTAAAGCTAGTTAGGCTTGCTTTTTTAAAATATAGGCCTAATTTTAATACTAAGCATATTACCTAGGTAATTTTTTTTTTAAAGTAGCTTAAAACCTTTATATTATTTAACTAAAGTAAGTATTATTAGCTTATTAAAAAGCACTAATTAATTTTTTAATATAACCCTAGCTATTAAAAATATTACTACCTAATATATTATAATTATATAGCATGCTATATATAGTATAATATAATAGTTATAAATTACTTAAATTTTATTAGCCTAAATTATAAAAACCTTGCACGCTGCGCGAACTATCTAGGCCTTTAATTAGTTAAATATAATAATTATTTAGTAGCCCCTAGGCGCAAGAACAGAACTTTAGTTTACTTATTTAAAAAAAAACTTAATAACATGCGCTATTATAACACCTACTAGTACTAAAATATACACGCCTAGGTTAATATTAATACCTAGCTTTAAATAAAAATTATAAGATTTTTATTTTAAAAAAATTCCTAAAAGCACGCCGCGGAAAAGCCAAAGGTAAATAAGTAAGGTTTTATAATAATTACTAATTATTATACCCCGCGGTTTAATACTTTTACTAGTAATTAAAATTTTAGGTAATTTTTTATTAAATTAATTTAATTAGCCCTAGTTAATACAGGTATATTTTTTTTATTTTAAGTAATAAAAATTAATGCTAAGACCCCCTTTAAGCTTTAATATTAAAGTACTAAAAAAGGTACCATGGTAACTACTACTATAATAATATTTAATAATAGTAGGATTTTATTATTTACTAGGTAAATATAAGTAAATTTATACCTAGCTATACTATAATCTTATAACTAGCTTATAAATAAAATTATAATATTACTTATATTTAAAAGCCTTAAACCACTATAAGTATAAAAACTTAAAATTACTTAGTATATAAGTACTACGCGCTAGTAAATACCTAAAATAATTATAAAAACTAGCTAAAAAAGTACTTTAAAATACTTACCTATATTTATAAAGGGGAAGTGCTGCATGTTAAATAATATTATTTAATATAAAATTAAAACATGCTTTAGCTTATAATAAATAATATTAAGGTTTTAAATATATATTAAAAACTAATTACTTATAAAATAGTTAACTACCTAGTTATACTAATTCCTACCTTAAACTATGTAATTAATAAGGATTTTAACATTATTTATAATACCTTTAAGCCTGGGGTAAATAACCTATATTATAGTAGTAAAATTACTAAATAGGCTAGTAATAATAATATTAATTATATTAGCAAGCTAGGTATAGCTATATATAAAGCTAGCCATGTTTTTAACCTAATTTTTTTAAATATTTTTTTTACCTGCACGCTAGTAATACCTAAGTTATATAATAACTTTAATTACTAAACTTTAGTTACTATAGTACCAGGGCGCGGGAAAAAAATATTAAAATAATATTATTATAATATACTAAATTATAAGCTTAAGCGCCTGGCTAGGCTAATAAAAAATAAAATAATATACCTTTTTTAACCCGGGAAGCTAAAAAATATAAAAATATTAAATTAATATACTAAATCCCTTAATAATATTATTATAAAAGCTATATAAATAATTAATAAATACCTTAACCTAGGGAGCTATAGCACCCCTTAGTAATTAATTAAATATATAAAAAATTACCAAGCCTAGGTGGTAAACCCTACCCTAAAATAAAAAAAGTAGTTTTTAATTATAATTTATAAAACTAAGCACGCGTACTAAACTAAGATAATTAATAATATTAAAAATAATTAAAAATTATACTAAATAATAATATAATATAAGCTAGAGCCTAGGCTTAAGGCTCCCCTATTATTAATAAATAATAAAGTAATTAAAAATATATAAAAAAAGGCTAATATTTTATAAAAAATTATACTAAAGTATTTTAGTATAAATAATAATTTAAACTTTAATTCCCTGGTACTAAAGCACTAGCAAGAAGATAAGTACCTTTATTAATTAAAAAAAATCTTGCTAAAAAAGGTTAAAAAAAATATTATTAATATAAGTAACACCTTTTTTAAGGTAAATTAAGTAATTATTTATATTTTAAAGGCCTGCTGGGAGCATGTTAAATAGGCTATTTATAAGTTATATAATTATTACTTATAGCTAGGGCACTTTTTTTTATTATAAAAGCTTATAAAGGTAATAATACTTTTAAAAGGTGGTAAAAAAAATAAATTTTTATTTTAATTTTAGCGCCTTATAGTGCTGCTTTTAATACTAAAAAAAAAACTTAAATAAATTATAGTATACTATATTACTTTTACCATGCTAGTATAAGGGGTATTAAGCCTATAATAATATAGTATTTTACCTAAGTAATTAGCTATAAATTTAATAACCTTTTTTACTTATAATATAAAAATAATACTTTTATAAAACTAAAAAATTATTATAATTACTATAAATATTTTAGGCGCCTTTAACACTATTTTATTATAATACTTATTTTAATAAATAATAAAGCAGGGCTAGCCTCGCGTGCTTTTAGCCTTAATTATAAGTTTTTTTAGTAAATAAAGCATAAAAGTATACTTAAAAGCTACTATAATTATAATATACCTAGTATATTATAGCATGCTACAAGGCTTGCCCCTTTTTTTAGTACTATTTTTATTATATATTATTAAATTACTACTAGCGGATCTAATCCTATACTTTAATTATATAAATAATTTTTATTTAAGCCGCGTAAGTAACTCCCTTTATAATAATTATAAGTACCTAGTAAAAAATATTTATAATATACTAGCCTAAAAAAAGTAAAATAAGGTAATTTTTATATTTAAAAAGCTAAAAATATTATATATTACCTAAAAGCGGCATGGTAAATTACCCTTACTAGTAGTTAATAACTAGCTAATAATTATTTTTATTACCATAGTACTAGGCTAAAAACAGCCTATATTATACTAGCTAAGTATTTTTTTTAATAAATAGCTTTTTTAATATTAATATATTACTAAGCAGGCAGCTAAAGCCTGTATAATAATATAATATATTTATAACCTAGTATATATAGTATATAACTTACTTATAAACTTTTTTTTATAAAATAGCTATTACTTATATTATTTTTAGCTTATTATATAATATTAAGATATAATATAATAATAAAACCAAGCCTAAAAAACACGCGCGAGACCTAAAGGTTAACGCCTAACTAGGCTAGCATGTTAAAGTAATTAAAAAAACCCTAGCTTTAGCCACACGTGGCATATTCCTAGTTTTTTATATAATACTTATAGTAACTTTTTTTAAAAATATTAAACTTTTTTTATAATAATAATATTAAAAAAAACTTAACTATAATTTACCCTAAGGCTCTAGCTAGTAAATAACTAAAATTTATTAGTAACATGGGTAATATTATTAAAAATCTTGTGTAAATAAAATACTAGCTTACGCTAAAAACCTAAAACTAAAGTATAAATTATAAGGGTGCTTTTTTTAAATACCCCAAGGCTAGTCCTAGCTTATTTTTACTATTTTTAAAAATACTTAAAAAATCTTATTAGGGGCAAGGCTAAGAAGCTAGTTATAAAAAAGTTTAAATAATAATAACAAGTATTATTAATAATAAAAATGGTAATTTTTAGTAATAATTTTAAATAAATATACTAGGGTATACACTATATGGGTTATAGCTATATAATATATTATAAATAATACCTTTAAATATAGGGATTATTAATTATTAACACCTAGTTTTATATTTATAATACTAAGGTTATTAACACGCTTTAAAAATTAAAGGTAATAATTAAAAAACTTTTTAAGGCGCTTATTTACTAGCTTTATATAAATAATACCTTAATAATTTAGTACACGCACAGGCAGTTCTTGCTATTTTTTAACTAGGCTTTTTAAGTATTATATTAACTTATAAATTAATATACTATTTACCTATAATAGTTTTCTAGCTATATAAATATTAAAGGTAATAAGCTAGCTAATAAGCTAGCTAATAAGGTAGCCTTTATAAAGGCATAGCTTTTAAATACTAACTTTTTAAAGGCATAACCTATTACAAGCGGGATATATAGCCTATATAAATAAATATATTAAATTACTTAAGCTAAGTAATAAAAAGGTGCCTTTATAAAATTATTAGCTTAGTATAAATAATAGCTTATAAAGCTAAAGCCTTACTAGGTTAAATTATAGCTAAAGCTTATATTAAAGTGTTTAATTTTATACTACTAGCTAGTACTAAGATTATTATATAATAACTTTAAATAGTATTATAAGTGCTTTTAATATAAAAATATAAAGGTTACTTGCTCCTATAAAAGAAGTAAAAGCCTTAAATACCTAATTTTTTATTAATACTTTTAATAATACTTTTAATAATAACTATAGTACCTTATAATATTATTAATAATTAAGGCTAAGGCCTTAAAGTACCTTTATAAACTAAAGCTTAAAAACTTTATATTTTTATTAAAAATTATAAACTTTTATAAATTTATTTACTTTTACTAGGGCTCCCCGCGCCCTAGCTTTATAAAAATTATTTAGCCTAGTATTAAATAGTTTTATTTATTTTTATTTTATTATATTTTTTTTTTTTATTTTATACCTTTTTTTAATATAACTAGCTTTAGCTAACATGTTTTTTTTATAAATAAGGCTAGCCCTTATATTTTATAGTGCTTAAATTATTAAGCACGTGATAAATAATACCTGCTAGTAGCTATATATTAAAATAATAAGTAAAAAATAAATACCTAGCCTATAAGTATTAATAAAAATTACCCTTTAAAATAAAGAGCCTTTTATATATAAATTATTTAAATAAGCTACTTACCTAGCGGCAGCACGCCCCCATACCCCAAGGGAGGTCTGGAATGTTACCGTGCTTACTTATTTGCCACCTAAACCCACTTGGCGCCCAAACTACATTTACACTAATATTTGCTTGTAAAATTTAAACAGCTATAACTCCCCTATTTTTATTTTAATAAATAAAGTAATAAAATATCTTAAATTCTTAAAGCCAGGAGAACATTTTTTATATATAAATATTATTAAAAACTTTAGTGTAAACTATATAACTTTATCCAGACATTTTAAAGGTATTTAGGGTATAAAAAAAAGTAGTATAAAAATTAGTTATTGCTTAGCGCTTAATAATTAAAAGTTTTTATAATATATATTAATTAACAGGCCAGCAAAGGCTTATTTTACTTTTATAATATAATTAAAAACTTTATAAAAAAAATTACTTAAAAAAAGCTAGAAAATAACTAGGTTTCGCGCTAGCTTACTAAATATTAAAATAAACTTATAAGCGCCTATATAACTAGGATTAACGCTTTAAGAAAAAAGGCTAATTTAGAATATAAATACTTTTTATACTTTAACTACTTAAAGCGTAAAATTAATAAATATAAGGTTTTACCTAAGAATACCTATAATATAAATAAAAAAGGATTTCTTATTGGGGTAATTACAAAAAGTAAAAGAATTTTTTTTAAAAAGTTATAGCTTTATAAAGGAAGCTTTAAGTAATACTTATAAAATAATAGTAGGAAGTAAATAACTATTATTACCTATATATTAACTAATAAAAAATAATTATTACTAGGTTTTATTTACTAGTTAACTACAAGCAAACTATAAGACTCCTGGCTTTAAAATATTAATACTAATATTTATAACTATTTCTTTACCTTATTACCTTTAAAATAAATAAATAATAAGCTTGGATACACGTGGCTTTAAAATATATTTAATAAAAAAATAAGAAATTAAGCAAGGAGGCGTTAAAGGCTTTTTATTTTTAATAGCCATGGCTTTTATATAATAATAAAGTTTTTAAATTACTATAAGGCTAATAAAATCCTTGTGGCTACTTATCCACCTTATTTAATTTATACTTTATAACCTTTTAATATTAGGATTTTTTTTTTTCTTGCTAAGGCCTATATAAATAAACTAAATATATTTATATATTCTTGCCAAGGCCTTAATACTATATTAAAATAAGACTTTTTTAAACTATTCTAGCCAGCTTAAATAAAGGCCTTAATACTTAAGAATATTTAAAGTTTATAAAGTTTAACTAGCTTATTCCCCTGGGATCCAGAGCAAGTACTAAAGTAATTTAAAAAAAATATAAATAAAATTTTAGTATTAACTAATCCCCTAGCGGAGATATTAAAGGCAAAAAATTAAAAAAATATTTAATAGCTTATTAAGAATACGGAAGCAGCCCCTACGCCTAAAAAATTTAAAAAAATTAAAAGTATAATTTACTACTTTTATACAAAGCTTATACTAGCTAAAGCGCAGTTTTAAGGCCTTAAAAACACCCTTATTAATAAAAAAAAAAAGTAATAATAAAAAAAGCCTTTTATATTTTAATTCCAGGAGCCAGAAAATAATAATATAATATTTTATTTTTTTAAAAAGATTTAGTAAGCCCGCGATCTTTAAAAATAAAAAAATAAGGTTATATAACTTATTAAAAATAAAAAGAAGAAAAATAAGCTACACCGGCAGAAAGCTAAAAAAAAAAAAAAAATAAATTAATAAAAATAAGGCCTTACGGGCCGCGAATGCAAAAAAATACTATTTTAAAGCTATATAGTTAAAGGCCAAAAAAAAACACTAAAAAAAAAAGGCTTATATAGCTAAACAAGCGGAAATATAGGTTTAAAATAACCTTAAATTTACTAAACTAGGCTAGAGCAAGCCTTTAGTAATACTAAAGGCCTTTTTTAAAAAAAAACTCCCCCCCCCAGCCCTAAAGTTATTCCTAATACCTTAATCTTAATAAATTATTAAGGTCGCGAGATCCAGCTACCACAACACTTTTAAAAGTCCTAAATTTATATATAAAGTAATTAACTAGTGTAAAATATACTACCAAAATTTCGGGTTCTTATACCTTTTGTATATGTTAAAAAGCTTTATTTTTTGTTGGTGGTGGAGATCAATTTTTGGGCGGGAGGTGGGTTTGGGCGGCAGATGAGTAAGCACGGTAGGCGTACGCCTAGCGATCCCCGGGGTGTTAAATATCACTACTACTACTACTACTGGAGACCGGTTGCGAGACAGCGGGCTCTGGCGAATCAGTGATTCCAGGAGCCATTCTGAATCATTGAGAACAGAGTATGTCAGTCTAGAAAGCCTGTGAAGATGCATCGCTTGTCATCCGTTTTATCTATTGCCCCAGAGTCCCAAGCCCCGTCAGCGTCGGACTGGGCCCGGACCATTTCCGAACAAAGTGCTGGATCAACAGGCGCACGGCATCGGGGATTTCTGGTGGCAGACACTGCGGTAAGTGTCTCTTATTAGCTAAACTCTGCTCGGGGATCATGAGCTGTGCTTACAGATAGGTCCTCCGTCTGTCGTCCTGAGCCAACGTCCGATACGGCCAACAGAACCCTCCGAAACACCTTGATCCCCGGAAATCGCTCTCCCAAGGCAGTCAGGACTGCAACGCATTTGTTCACTACGGTCGCATCGACCAAAACATGCTCTGTGTTCGTTGGGCTATTCATGCAGATGATGGCTACCCCGGCCGCAAAGATGTCGTAGCCGTCGGTGAATGCTACCACCGAAGGAGGGCGATCTAAGGATCGATACATCTGTTCGATCATTCTCTCGCAGCTGCCACGTATATCCTGCTCTATCTCCAGCAGGTGCGACTCCGAGATGGGACTCGCGTAGTCGTGCACCATGTAGAGAGCGAGGATCTGGGTAAGCGCCCTGCATGACAGCTGCTCAATGTAGTTGCGCGCCGTCTCGTTGGAGTCTAAGAATGGGCGCACCTCACGCGGCACGTCTCTCCAAAAGCATACATTCCTATAGTGAAACAGTGGGCATCGCTCGTCGTTGTGGCGAATGCTTGTGGCGAGCTTCGCGTACAGCAGCAGATGAAACTCGAATGCTGCCTGGGCGTCAGTATCATCTGCAGGCTGCTCTGGGAACTGGAAGGGTCAGATATTGCGGTTAGCAGACGGAGAAAGGGCCTTACAGGCAAATTGATGTCCTCGTCCTGGATGGCGAACGGGCGGTCCATGACGGTGCAGATAGTCCTACTCGGTATGAGCATCTCATCGCGGAAAGAGGGTTCTCTGGACATTGACTCACCGGTCGAGACAATACAAGGTCCAGAAAAGATGCTGTCTTGGGCTACTCTCCCCTTTCGGCAGAGTGGAAGCTGCATCCTGCTCTTTATGCATGCCAAAGGCCACGCATCTCTTCATCGCCAGCCCAAGCAAGTGCCAAGCCGACCCTCCATTTGGGCTCAGAATCGAATATACGACCAACAGCATCAGGCAATGGATGAGATTTGCACCATTTCCAGTCTGGAGGATCCTGGGAAGCAGCTTGCTGGCTGCCGAATGCAGACTCTGCGACAAGACCTCCAGTCGGCTGGGCCGTGGTGATAGAAGCATTCCAATGGCAATGGCAAGGTAGACACAGAAATCTCGGTGTGCTTTAGAAGCATCCGACGTCTCGAGTGAACCGGAGCTGGTATCGTCAAAGAAAGCTGCGTACTGAGCTTCGAGTGCGGTCCTGTCAAAACGCTGATAGTACATGCCGATGTTCCGCAGGAATCGTTGCAGGAATGGCGCGGCAAAGTCCTCCCTGAGGGTCTGCCGGGGTTCTGCGACTGCGACGAGATCCCATTCCGATGTCTCGGTAGCTGCGCCGTTGGACTTGGATGGGCTCTGGCCACTCAGACTGAGCATTGCCTGCAGCATCTCGCTCATGGCAAGCTGTCGTGGAAAGCCACTGGCCCCCTCGCGAGGCTCTGCCATGGCACTGCGTGAGAGAAAGCCAATTTCCCCCATGGCGGCCTGCACCGAGCTGTCCAGCCCTTCTGGGTTCAAAGGTGGTGTGGCATGTTCACCAACGTCCTCTGATGCTACTCGCTGTCGCTTACGCTGCGAGAAGGCCTTCAACAGCTCAATCCTTTGGGTGAGGGACTCTATGTAACCAGGCAAGGCCGCGTGCGAGAGCCCACTGCTGTCGTCGGAAGGCACCACCGGGACCTGACGCGGATTGCAATGAGCCCCGGCCTCGACGCAGGCCGTGCAGGTGGGAATCAGCCGGTCGCACTTTCTTGAATTAGCCAATCTGTTTGCAGAACCAAGTGATGGATCCATTCGAGCACACCTTTTGCTTCCGCTTCCAACAACGCTCGCAGGCCTGGGGCCGCCTGGACGGACAGCAGCCGGACATCGGACCCTTGCTCTGTGTTGGGGCCATTGCTCTCGTTCTGGACTTGTGCTATGTAGTTTCGCCCGGAGATGGGCTGATCTTCTGACTTTCCTCTACCTCGGTCTTTGTTGCAATAGCCGGGGGTTTTCCGGACATGCCGGAACTTCTCCGAGCATATGTATAGACTCAATCCGACCAGGATCTGCACCAGCTGACTATCATATCGTGAATCATGTCGCCAATTGCCTTACCTCCTAGGGCCTAGGACGGTCACATACATGGCTTTGACCCTGCTCAGTACCCCTTCCGGGCAGGTCGGACATACAGTCCACCCCTGCTCTACTGCAATCCTTCCTACAACAAAGCCCTGTCCGTCATGTCATGGTGGTGCAAGCATCGGCGGAGAATGGCTATGAGGGCCTCGTAGCAACTCTATCGTAAGCTCGACGATCGAAGCCTGACGTGGCCCTCAGCGGGACGATACATTACGGAGTTGGGGTTGCTTGCTGCGTCACTTCAAGATATACATCGATTTACCAAGATTATACCGTGGATAATGCGATCTGGCAATGCATGTATTCTCGCAAGTGGCCAACATGACGTGTCCTATACACGAGAATCGTTCACAACTTTGGCTTCAACATCGGAGAAATCCCGACTCCTCCACAGTGCGAGCCCACCCCCCGCTTTCTGCTGCTTGGCCTCCAGACCCCGGATTCTCTCCATTTCCTTCTGTTGCAAGACTGCCTCCATGCATGATGCCGTCTGTGGACTCTCGCCTGCCGCGCCTGCCAGCCTGCCATGTCTGCTACACCAAGAAGGTCAAGGTCCGTCGTGTCTTTCCTGTATCATCGGTCGCATCTAACAGCCCAGTGCGATAATGATCGTCCGAGATGCGCTCCCTGTGTGCGCAGTGGGTCGGAGTGCATCACGTTAGGCCTTGATGGCCATCAGTCTGTGTCGAGAGGGTATACTCATCTTTGTCGTTCAAAGTACATGCACTCATGGCGCTTAGATACATCAGTGACCTCGAGCAGAGAGTTCGGACACTCCAGAATGAGCTTCAGGGCGCGATCGATGATCTTCCTGGCAACGATGGCTCCAATAGTCGGAAGAGGAGGAACAGTACGCGGTCGACGTATAGCTCGCCGACCTTTACGGAGGGCGCAGGATTCAGGTACTCCACGCAGGTACTCGCCATCACGATCTACTAATGATGCCAGTTTTATACGCCCGTTGTTTACGGACCCCGGTTGGAGAGCTCACAATCCGACTCTGCTGCAGAATCTGTCGCACTCTGCACGTCTGGTCGAGGCCACCATCACCCCCAATTCTCTCCCATCTGCTGCTGATGCGCGGGTGATCTTTGACAAATAGTACGATCTCTCTACTTCTTGCAGGTGGCGACTTACTAAGAAGCACAGTCTGAGCGGAACCCACATCCTGAATCCATTCCTCCTTCGTCGAGAAGTTGAAAATGTCTATACCCGTGTCTTCTGCGAGCCCGGGTCTCCAGAGAGCCAGTCTGGACATGACTTGTTTCGCGCCTTTATGTTGCTTGCCATCGGATCCATCCATCCTTATCGTCGAGGCACACATCCGCGGCATCCATGCGGCTACTTCTTGTCTGCCATGCAGCATTTCAAGTCTGACCATCTTTCGCGTGGAATCCAGTCGATCCAGGACCTGCTGCTGGTGGGCCGGTTTGGGATCTATCATCACATCGGCACGTCGATATGGGAGATCACCCAACTCTGCATGCGCCTTTGTATTGAACAGGGCCTGCACAAGCCGCCCACCACCCGCAAGTCGCTCCTCCACGAGCAGCTGGAGCGGAGGGTATTCTGGGAATGCTACATCATTGATCGGTACAGCTCCATCACGTTGGATCGACCGCTCGCCATTGCCGACCGGGATATCCGGGTCTTGCTGCCCGTCGATGCCAACGATGAGCAGCTTGACGCTGCCGAAGGCTCTGTCCCCGACCTCGACGTCTTCCAAGCCACACCCCTCACCCAAATAGCGCATACCGAGCTGAGTGTATTCTTCACATCGATACGCCATCGACAGATCACCTCCAAGATTCACAGCCTGTTCCAGTCAAAAGGACGCTCAGATGGGCCCTCGGTGACGGCTACGGGCCGAATCTACACAAATCTCTACCGCCTCCTCGGCGAGCTCAACAACTGGCGCCAGTCCGTCCCTGTATTCGACAATCCGCAGTGCGTCTACGAGACACAAGACTGGTTCGACCTCCGCTGGATGCGCGAGCGCTTGATACTGGTCCGCAAGGCCATGGACCTGGTGCCCAAGCGCGGCAATAGTCCGCCTCGCGACCTGCTGTCCCTATGTCTCCAAAACGCAACGCAGATCATAGTTATCTTCTGCCGTCTGTATCGAAGTCAGCAGATCACGTATACACGGAGCTACTTCCAGACCCTCTTTATGGCTGGACTTTCAGTGGTGTTTTGCTTATCAAGTCTCGATGATCCTGCCTCCGGTACTGTTGACCAAGCAATGGATGCACTTGCGCAGTGTGAGCATAGCCTGAAGGAGCTGGGGCGCGTTCTCCCGGATGCGGCGCAGTATGTCGCCGTCTACGAGGCTTTGTATCGCCATATCTCGCAAACTTCGACAGAGCGGCCAGTGGGATCGGGTAGTGGCCCCTGAGGATCATGCACAGCCAAGCGCGAACAACTCTACAACATACAACGGTCTGTCGCACATGCAACTGCTCTCTGGTGTACCTTCTCTGGGCGAATGGCCGCTTCCAACCCCTAGCAGCATCCCGCCTAGCACAGAAGCACCAGTCGCTGGGCAGGCTGCAATTAATGCAGACGTGCTATCATTCGGCTCGCTGTTCTGGGACGACACGGTGTGGAACATGGAGGCTGGGCTGGGGGAATATGCATACGGGAACCCGCACGGGCTATCAATCTGGGATGATGGGACGTTTCCATTCTGACCTAACCTTTATACACATAAATCACTTGCCCAAGGCCCTCTGCTTCTCGACCCGCGCACTGATCTCCTCGTAGCTCTGCGTAATCTTCTTCATCCCGGCCTGTAAAATCGCCCCGTCACCACCACTAAGCGACCACGTCGCACCCAGCGCAAACCACCTCTCCAGCAGATCCAGCCGCCCCCCAATCCCCCCAATCCCAATCGGCTTGCCGGCCTTCTTACCAGCAAGGACAACCTTCTCCACAGCCGCCTGATAAACAGGGCTATCATACTGCCCGGGGATCCCCAGGTCACTACACAAATCATTCGATCCAACCAGAATCCCATCAACCCCCTCAACAGCAAGATACTCCTCAACCACCTCCACAGCGCCCGGCGTCTCAACCATCGGAATAAGCATCGTCTCCCGATTCAACACCTCGTTCTGCACAGCTGTCGGTAAGTTCCGGAATCCCAATATCGGCTGGTTATTCGCGGACCCCCTTGCCCCGAGCGGTGCGTACTTCGCGTGCCTAACTAGCTCACGGACTTCCGCCACAGAATCAACATGCGGGACCACGACGGCTGCGGCGCCCGCGTCCAGGATGCGACTGATGTGCCAGTGTGATTTCGAGGGGGACCGCACGATCGGGGAGATTCCGACGCCCAGACACGCCAGTATCAGCTGCGCGACTGTTTGGAAGTTTAGGGCCGAGTGCTCCATGTCGATGAAGATTGCGTTGAAGCCGGCCATGCGCGCCATGAGGGCTGCTTCGTTGCCGGTCCAGAATTTGAGGGTGAGCACGGGGCAGATTTGGCCGTTTAGGATGCGGGTGCGGAAGGGCGAGGGGACCGTTGCGGTCTGGGCTGGGGTGGTGTCTTGGGGGGCGATGGAGCCCATTGTGTCGATGGCGAGTTTGGTGGGTAGATTGATAAAGAGTGAGGTTGATGGGGAGCTGGGTGATGGTGTAGCTACTGCTGCACAGTACATGCTCGTCCTTTTAAGTGATAATAGTATGTGCTCTGAGGACGGGATTTTTCCGGCAGCTTCGGGGCCTGTCCGGATGACTGTCCGTCGTCGATAGATGCGAATGCCGGTGCACAGGTACGCATGTATGTATGTAGAGTTCCTGAAACTGGAATGGGTCCGATCGTTATCGAAAGAGTCAAGTTTACTCCGTATTATGCCTTAGAGATGCGATGCCGGCCAAGGGTGCAGCCGACCCACGAATCTCATGTGACGGCAGCAGTGACATTCACAGGACGATATTTTTAGGCTTAGTAGGGTTCTGTTGGAGTATAAGGACGGGTCTATGGCCAATTGGGTTTTATGGCCGAGCGGAATATGCTAACAGGTTCCTAGGTTCGTACTGGTAGACTCGAAGGCTAGCTCGAGTGGTTAGGATATATAATGGAAGCTCCAAGCCAGAATCAGGTCAAACGTGGAGACACCAAAGCCGAGTTGTAGGCCGCTGAAATGTACGGTCTAGTGGTGGTAGACCCAGTCTACCCGTGGACCGTATGGTGTGAGAATGAACCGGTAGACGTAGTGAAAGACGCCATCCGTCATCACGATATAGATACACCCATATAAGCTGGGTTGCTGAAAGGGTCTGGGGCTCATTGAACCGGAGCCTCTCGGACGCTGCAGACCCTGTCGATAGAGCAGCCGACGGCATTGGAATTTGGTTCCGGGTCACCAGCTAGTACCTCGTTGACAGTAGCGGATGACGTCGGGCTGGATTCAGCTTGGCCCCAAGATAGCCAATCAAGCGAGATGATTGTGGTATTTTCTGGAGGAAAAGCACACAATTAACAGAGTACCAAGAGGTCAGAGAAGGAGGCTTAAGAAAGCCCAGCATCCGTGCTTTATGGAGGGTATGGAATGGCATCATGAAGAGACGAGGCCCTGGGTGGCGGCGGCCATGTGGAGAGCCCATGGGAGGCCGGAGGGAACCGGCGGACGAGTGTTGGCTAGGACTATTTCCATTGAGAGGCCGAGGGAAACCAGTGGAAGAAGTACATCAGTCTGAGCACTTCAGAGCTAAGATAAACAGCACTGAATACTCCAGATCCTGAAGAAAGGCACTGAATACTCCAGTGTTGGAAGCACTGATGACTTGATTGAAGGAATGAAGCTCCACAGCAGACTAGGCCGAGTTCGGCGCCCGGCCCGAGAATAGTCCGGTGGACGCCAAGAGCGGCTGGCCAATCACGTGCCCAGGATGCGCATCCCGCCAGTGACCTTTCTCCCCGCACGCCACTCTTCTCCCATCGACGAAACCTTGGAAGCTGGAGCAAATTCGAATTGCACTCGTCTGCAACCTTCCGGTGGCGATCATCATGGGCGCTGCCTGTTTCCTTCCTGACTTCAAACTGTGCGAATGAATCCAGGCCAGCCAGAGCAGAGCAGCCATGGTGCTCAACGGTCGCCTATCCGCTCTCTCGCTCGACGACCAGCGACGCAGCGATGAGCCCACCAAGCCCGAGATCCAGCCCGAGACGCCGCCGCGCCCTTCCTCGCCCTCCTTGAGCCGCATCTACCGCTACACCCCAATTCCTACCCTCGTCCTCGATGCCTCCATGACCGTTGTCGAGGTGTCCAACAGCCATACCGCCCTGACCGGAAAACCACGCGACTCCCTGCTTCACGCGCGCATCAGCGATGTCGGCCCGGAATGCATCCCTGCTCCCAACATTCCCATCCTGTACGGGGCCCTTCGTGCGGCCACCTCGACTCGGGAGACCCAGGTTGTCGAACATATTCTGGTCGATGGGAGGATTGCACACAACTTGCGGGTGACTCCGATCTACGAGGAATCGACCCTGCTCTACATTGTTCTAGAGGCCGACAAACTCACGGCTGAGGTCATCAACAGCCAGCATGCGTACCTGAACGAGACCTACAAGATCCTCGTCGATACCGTCCGGGACTACGCCATCTTCATGCTAGATCCTCACGGCCACATCGCCACTTGGAATGCGGGCGCGGGTGTTCTCAAGGGATACAAGGCGGAGGAGATCATCGGCAAGCACTTTTCTATCCTCTACAGCCCGGAAGACCGAGCGAGCGGCAAACCGCACAGGGCGCTGGCGGTCTGCTTACGGGAGGGCCGGATCGAGGACGAGGGCTGGAGATATCGGCGCGATGGATCCAGGTTCTGGGCCAATGTCCTAATCACACCGATTTACCAGTTCGGTCAACATGTCGGCTTCGTCAAGGTTACCCGCGACCTCACTGAGCGCAAGGAGGCCGAGGCTCGCATGATCACCGCCTTTGAAGAGTCATCGCGGTTAAAGACGGACTTTCTAGCCAACATCAGCCACGAGATTCGCACTCCGATGAATGGCATGCAGATCGCCATGACAATGCTAGCTGATACGGGCCTCTCCCCGGAACAAATTGAACATGCCACCATCATCCAGGACTCCATGTCATTGCTTCTGCAAATCGTCAACGACGTACTCGACTACTCGAAACTCTCGTCCGGCTCTTTCTCCCTCCATGCCGACATGCTGGATGTCAGGGAAGTCGTCGGTGCAGTCGTCCGCAACTGCCGGTCGTCGCTCAAAGATGGCGTAGAGTTGACCACCGTCATCGGCCGTGATTTCCCAGTGCGCCTGCGCGGGGACCCTTTGCGGTATCGACAGGTCTTGCAGAATCTGGTTGGGAACGCGGTCAAATTCACCGAGAAGGGATCAATTCGCGTCTCCATTTCCTGCGCCACCGACGAGAATGATCCCGACTCTTCTGTCGTGAGAACCGAAGTGGCCGACACGGGAATTGGAGTACCCGACAGCGCGATCAACACTCTGTTCACTCCCTTCACGCGCTTCGCCAACTCCACCACCCGCAAGTATCAAGGCACCGGCTTGGGTCTCTCCATCTGCAAAAGCCTCGCTGAACTTATGGAAGGGACAGTCGGATTTGCCCCGAACCCCAACGGCCATGGCAGTATCTTCTGGTTTACTGCAAAGATGGGCGGCCGCTCTGCCGCAACTCCCACAAAGCTACCCAGCGCCCCGGCGACCCCTGTCCCTACAGAACTCGCCACCGAGATGCGGGCCATCGCGCCTCGAAAGCATGTGCTGCTGGTCGAAGACAACATCGTCAATCACACCGTCATGCTGAAACTGCTGCACACCCTGGGCTTCCAGCGAGTCGACGGGGCCTGGAACGGCGCGGAGGCCGTACGAATGATCAAGCAGAAACCGTTATCGTACGATGTCGTTCTCATGGATGTCTCCATGCCGATCATGGACGGCATTACCGCAACCGGGCAGATCCGCGACATGGGACTGGTGATGCCGATTATCGCTATTACTGGAAATGCGCTCAAGGGCGATGCTGAGACGTACATCGCCAAGGGGATGAATGACTGCATTGGCAAGCCGGTACATCGGGACCAGTTGCTTAACGTCCTATGGAGGTGGATTGGGACGTGACTGCGGCTTTGGAGGCGAGAGACGAGGATATACGGGCGGATGCATAGGTTGGCGTTTGGATACCACGGGAAAGGCGGTATATACGGGGCATATAGGGGATTGTATCACACGAAGTACATCGATCTACCCATCATCTTTTGGCGGCGCTCTTTGGCGGCGCTCTGTTAAATATATTCTTTCTCATTCTTAAACCCTCACTCGTCTCCGTAGAGCCGGCTACCCATACAACGCACAGGGGTTAGCCACCATAAGGGCATGCCACTCCTTATCCGACAACCACGACCGCAGACTCCGCAGCCACGCCAGATCATCAACCTCCAGATACGGCGTCTCCGCCAGCGCCTCCTCCACCGTCCGGACCTTCATCTGCGGCGTATGCGGCCTAGCCAGCACTCGTCAGCACCATCCATATTCCTTCCAACAACCTTATGACATCTCACTCACCAATCACTCCCCCAAAGCACCCGCCCCGGATTCGCATCGAAGAACGCCCGCACCAAAGGCTTTAGATCCTCATACCCCGGCGCCAGCGCACTCACCCGGTACGGCGCACTGATCTTGACGTACAGGTGGCCCGCGCGCATGAGGTCCAGGATCTCGGCGACCCCAGGCTGCGCCAGAACGTCCACCTCACCTGCATTTTCGCCGCTGGCACTGGTAGGCTCAGACAGCATACTGACCCCCTTGAGCAGCGCGAAATGATCCGTCACCAGCCTGATCCCCGTCGGGACAATCTCGCTAAGTATAAACGGCTTTAGTTCCGCCCAGAACTCCGGGTGGACGTGCGTGAAGGCCATACTCCACCCTTGACAGTCCCTGATCGCAGTTACATGGGCCCGCAGCGCCTCTTTCTGCAGATCCACATCGTGCATCGCGCTATACTGGTACAGGTTCACTCGGATGCCCACGATACCGGCTTTCTGCATCTGGTGTAGTTGGGTGGGCGTTATGGTTTCCGGGTCGATGACCCCGATGGCCTTGGTTTTGGACTTGTCGAGGTCGCAGACGAAGGATGTAAGCGAGGAAATGTCGGCGCCGTAGGAGAGGCCGTGCGTTAGGACGGAGTGCGTGATGCCGAGTTTCTTCTTGAATTCGGCATATTCTGCTATTGTTGCCGGGGGTGGGGTGAGGTGGCGGGTTGGGGAGTAGGGGAAGCGGGCGGCTGGATGTGGTCAGTATCGGATTCAGGATGAATGATGCCTGTAGTGGTGGGAGTGCAATTTGGAGATCTGGGAAGGCGTACGGTCGAAGATGTGGTGGTGGACGTCCCAGGCGCCGTGGGGGAAAAGGGCAAGGCCAGCTGGAGCGGGTTCGGCCATTGTTCTTGGACTTGAACTGCCGGTAGGATGGCTTGGGTATGTGTGATAGCATCGTTCGCATTCGCCGACTGTCGCAAGGGGGTCAAATAAAGGTATCTTAGGATTGTCTACTCCGATTGCCGCCGGTTGCTGCTGGATGCGGAGGGGCGGAGTGTTCCGGGCGTCTAGTTAGGGCTCGGAGCACTCCAGGTCCAGTGGGACCACTATACACACTTTATGCATCGACAATGGTATATAGATGCACGGCGGATTAAAGAAACGACAATGACATATCTCCAACGCAATGGAAAATCGAACTCCATCACCCTGGCAGTCAATTCTGGCCGGAGGGGCTGCCGGTGGCCTCGAGAGCCTGTTGACCGTGAGTCCGGTCTCCAACCTTTCTAGGCATCAGACGTACGGAGTACTGACCTCAGGATCTCTTCGTATGGAAGTATCCAACAGAATACCTCAAAACCCGCCAACAACTCCAACCCACCTCATCCAGCAAGCCCCTCTCCCCCTGGCGACTTCTACTCAGCACCCTCCGCCAACACGGCCTATCGCACATGTACACCGGCAGCACGGCATTCTGCATCTCCAACGCCGCCAAATCCGGCGTGCGCTTCCTCGCCTTCGATTCCGCCCGACAGCTAATGCCCACGGACTCCTCCGGCGCCCCAACAGCATTGGGCACCATGTTCGCCGGAATGATCGCCGGCGCAGCGGAGAGCGTATTCGTCGTAACGCCGGGCGAAACGCTCAAGACCAAGATCATCGACGACCAGGCCGGGGCGCGGCGATATAGGTCTGCAACGCACGCGATCCGGTCTGTGGTGGTTGCTGAGGGGGTTGCTGGCTTATACCGGGGCGTTGTGCCGGTGACGCTGAAGCAGTCGGCGAATGCGATGGTGCGGTTTACGAGCTATAGTTTCTTTCTCGGGGCGCTGCGCGATGTGCTGGGGTCTGGGGCGTCGGTTCTTGCGGGTGCGTTGGCGGGTGTGGTGACGGTTTATGCGACGATGCCGTTTGATACGCTGAAGACGCGGATGCAGGCTGTTGATGGGCGGGCGCGGTATCGAGGGACGCTGGATTGTTTGAGGGCTGTTGTGGCGAATGAGGGCGTTGCTGTGCTGTGGCGGGGGACGACGCCGAGGTTGGCGCGGTTGAGTGTGAGTCTCCTGTTTGTTTTTCTTGGTTTGTATGCTGACGGGTGTAGATATCCGGTGCTGTCAGTTTCAGCATCTATGAGAGTGTGGTCCAGTGGACATGGTCGTTGCGGTCGGGAGGTCTTGCTGGCCTGTAAAAGAATGATAGTCCCAAGGTCCACACTATGGCAGCACTGCAAGAATTAAGGTATACCTAGAGCCAGGGCTGGTTGAACACGTAGATGTTTATACGCATGGATTGAAAATATATAGCTGTCGTGGGGGACCAATAGAATGGACGCTACCCTCTCACTGGCATCTACGGAGTAGGTATGCCATGTATGCGAGCTATTTCATTGGCTAGTTACTATTGACATTGCCCAATCATCGATGCCAACTCCTACAGTCGAGATGGGCCTCCAGGTAGCTTTCTTCTCCTGCTGTTCCTGTTTTGATCAGAACTCATTACGCTATAGCAGGCACGTGACCCTACCTAACAACGGCACGTGACCAGCTTTGTTTACCCTTCGACCCCCCAGTCTCTGAGTCTCTGAGTCTCTGAGTCTCTCAATTGCTGCTTCAGCCCCTCCAGCATGTTGTCGCGTTTCTGGGAACTCTACTCAGCGGCACTCCACCCATTCATCAGAGATCATCCGCCTAGACCTAAGAAGCAGACGCGACACATACACCATCCGCCTGCATCCTCAACGTGATTTGCATCGAATCGGCATTGGGGCTTCAGCGCAGGTCTACGAAGTCGATGGTCAGATCGTCCTGAAGACCTCTTGGGTGTTTGAACAACCGGGTAGCGATGCCTCCGACAATGGTCGATGGCACTACGCTTCCGACACTCTCTTCCAATCCAACTTGCTGCAAAACGAACAGACGGTCCTGCGCCTGCTTCAGCAACGGCCACACCCTCATATCATAGAAGCCATCGACGCCGAGCAGCCTGAAGGAATCTACCTCCGCAGATATCGCCCAATGTCTCTGGATCAAGGCCCATCGCCCGACCAGCTCCATCGGATTTGCTGGTACCGTGGTCTTACCGATGCGCTTTGCCATATCCACAGCCCTGGTATAGCCCATGCAGATGTACGCATTGAGAACGTCCTTTTCGACGAATACGGTCGTGCTATACTCTGCGATTTCAGCGCCTCCTGTCCTCTCGGTCAGCCGAATCCTCCCAGCTGTTTCCCCGGACCTTCCACTTCCGGTTAATGGTCACTCGCCAACTCTATCTGAGAAGATTGATATGTTTGCAATGGGGTCGCTTATTTTGCAGGTAGAGCATGGTGCCAAACCTGAGCTGTCTGTTGACAGTGATGGCATACTGGTTCTGCCCGAAATACGAACCGGTCATCGAATGCTTGATGCGATCATCCGGAAGGCTTGGCTCGGGGAGTATAGCCGCACCTCTGAGATGTTGAAACACCTTGATTCTATTGATACAAGCGGTGCTTACGACATTCATGCTCATGATGTCAAAAAGCACTCGGGATCATCCGAATACTTGAGAGGTTGGATCAGAAAATGGAGAGAGTGCCGCGAGTCTAAGTTTGGTAAGTTTTATTCATTATAGTCCATGGCGTCTACCCCTTGGAGGCTGACCGGATATCTGTCTAGGTTGTGTTCTTGATGGTCTACTGTCAGAAGATCAATTGCAGGCCCTAGCTGACAGCGACGGTTTTATAAAGACGTGGATTTACGTTTTACTGATTTTCGGGCAAATCTGTAGTTAGGGCTATTGTAGAAGCCAAAAAGCTAGTACCATACCAAGACCAACAAGATGAGACGTCTTGAACCAGTTTATGGTACTAGCAGAGATACACTTACCTGCATCTAGGCACCGTTGGCAGCTCCTCCGCAGCTCGGGCTTTTATCTCGACGGTTATGAGAGCTTGCCATGGGCACCTCCGGCCAGGATGATTTTCGAAACAGGGAGCCGGGACTTTTCGAACTTCCCTACGGTGGCAGGCATATATAGTGGTCGTAACCATTGTTTGACACATGGCGGCATCTAGGGTTGCATTAGCCAGACGTATGACAACAGTGGAATAGTGGATGGGTACCTCTTTTTCTTCCTCGGCCCACCCTCTAGCATCTCGTCCTCTGCCAACATGTGAGGCCATGGCTTCAACCTGCAAGACCACGTTCAGAGATCTGTGAGGACTTGTATTTTGATTGGACAAGACCTGCAGGTTGGACTTGTCATCACGGAATCCTTCCTGTCACGTGGTTCAAGCCACTCCAGGTTGCCATCGGAAGCAGAACAGAACCTGCATTACAAGTGTTTGGCTTCCGAGATATCGCGATGCAACGGCCCTTCAAAGCTTCAAGACTTTTCACTGAGCAGTCAAGATTCTTTATGGGTTCTGGCAAGGATTTGCGACTTCTCAAGCAGAACTGCTCTGCGAACCTAGAGCGAATTGAATCAAACGACCACTTCTTCTGCTACACGTCTGGTCGTTGGCTATACAATGAGTCGCTCCAACTCAAAAAGCGATACATCAGATTCAATGTTCCAGCTCTGCAGCAGATTGCTGGCCGTATAGCCAGCAGTCAGTGTGTCGAAATGACAAAAATACCGGAGGGGCTATACAACAAGGTGTTCTCTTTGAGAATGGAGAATGGCAGGGAGATCCTGGCGAGAATCCCAAACCCCAATGCTGGTCATCCCCAGCGTGTGGTCGCTAGTGAAGTCGCAACACTTGATTTTGTGCGTGATCCTGTTGCTCCCTTCTTAATTCATCTGCTAACTTTTGATGCAGCTTCGCAATGTTCTCGATGTCCCGGTTCCCAGAGTTCTTTCCTGGAGCTCTCCGTCTCAGCCAAACATGGTGGGTGCAGAGTATATACTCATGGAAAGAGTCAAAGGACGCCAGTTAAGTGAGGTCTGGGGTGCCATGTCTGAAGCTCAACACTTTGGTCTGGTGAAAAGCCTCGTGGAAATCGAGCGAAAGCTGGTGAATGTCAAGTTCTCGCTCCATGGCAGCTTGTACTATAAAAGTACAGGCTATCATGGCAGAGATGTTGTTGATCCAACTGAACCAGCAAAGGAGGTTGCATCGGATTTCATCATCGGTCCCACAACCCAGCGGTCCTTTTGGGAAGACGGAAGAGGAGAGTTAGATATTGATCGGGGGCCATGTATGCCTTCTACACTGGTTTCCTTGTTCCACGCACTGATGGGTCGAATCTAGGGGGGACCGCCCAGGAATACCTTTCATCCGTCGCAAACCGCGAGATCGCCCTGATCCAAAATTTCGTCCCTAGCAAGTCTAGCAACACGTCTGCACTACTGGGGAAAACACAAGAGGCACTTGATGAGCATGTCCATCTTCTTGGACAGTTCCAAAAAGTGCTGCCTCACATACTACCACCACAAGAAACGCTTCGTCCCGTTCTGCTGCACCATGATCTCCATGCGGACAATATATTTGTTGATTCCTCAGACCCAACAAAAATATCAAGCATAATCGATTGGCAGGCAGTCTTCGCCGCCCCGCTCTTCATGCAAGCAAGATTCCCTTCGGTCTTTGATTGCGATGATCCCTACCCATGGGGTGCTGTCCAACCCAAGTTACCGCAGGATTTCGATGCCCTCACGCAATCGGAGAAAGAGTTGGCTGAAGAGACCCTTGTCCGGCTTAGGCTGAAAAAGTTCTACGAACTCGCCTCGAGAAAATTCAACCAGCCTCTCGTGATGGCCATGGACGCCATGAGAAATGACGACGATCCCACTACCTTCATATTCCATATTGTTGGGCAATCTTCGCAGGACGGTCCAGTCCCGCTCAAAGAGCTCCTGATACAAATATACGAGAACTGGGATCGAATCATGGAGCGCCGAGGCTTGGCGACTCCATGCCCATGCCCTATTTCTTTCTCCAAAGGCGAAATTGACAAGAGCCGACAACGGGTAAAAGAATGGGCGGATGCATATGGCGAATTTGAATGCTTGCGAGCTGATATCGCGGGTCAGGATGGCTGGGTCGCACATGAGGAATACGATGAAGCCATGCGCAGGTGGGATGACAATAGAGCTACCTTGGAACTTCTTCGAGAACGAGTAGATAAGTTGCTGCTATAGTAACGGAGTCGGGATGAGAACGGGAAAAGATAGGAACATCCAGAGTTATTCCGTTACTTCAGCTGGACATCCTCGTACCATCCAGTATGTTCGAGGTCCAGATGGTACATCTCGCTTCACGAGGTCAGGACCAAGATTATCGTTTTATCTTCTGAGAGTCTTGCGGTTGGATGTTGCACGCCCTGTTCTGTACACAAAAGGCACGTGTTGTTCCATGACTCACTCAGTGTCAGCTTACCAGGCAAACGCCGTCTATTAGCGTATAACCGCCACCGTCCATATTCTCCCCTCTATCCTACTTTCTGCCTTTCCATGCTGTTGAGGAGAGTCCCAGTATGACGGACTCGCCTTATATGCTCTCCGAAGCAGCTAGCCGCCTTCGCCTCGGCATCCCATGTGTCCTTGCCGACGAAAGCCCTTGCCTTGGTGGCTCACACCGCATCTTCAAGATTGTCTTTGAAGACTCCATACAATGGGCTGCGCGGGTCAGTGACGATTCCAATAATTGGAGAAACGAACTTCGAGCTGTCAGACAGTTTCGACACATCAAAAAGCACCGTCCGACGATCAAAGCGCCTGACCTCTTCGTTGAAGAAGAGTACCCCGTGGTATATTCGGAGTGGGTCAGTGGCAAGCCTCTTGCCATCTGGAATTCCCAAATCCCTCTCCTTAAACGCCAGAGGCTTTTGGATGACTTGGCGGAATTCTTATTGACACTATGGACTACCCCTGTTCCTTCCGCCCTTGCTCAGGGGAAAAGTTGCTTGTACTCCGCATGGCTTACTGAAAGTTTGGATCGAGGACTTCGGCGGACCCTCAAGGGTACTGCGAGATGGGGAAATGCTATCAACTACCTGATTATGCGGTCCATGATCCCGGATTATGCCGCCGAGTATGATCAATACTCTGGCCTCGGGTTTACCCACGGAGACCTGAATGCCCATAATATCATGAAAAGCGACCAATTCCACTTGACAGGGTAAGCACAATGTGTTGTTTTCCGATGTTTTGTCCAGTACCATTATAACAGATGTGCTCGATTACAGGGTCATTGACTGGGATTGGATGTCTGTGGCGCCGCTGCCAGCCATTATTCATCACCCCTGGTTCATAGCCGATATTCGTGGATGGAATAACGACGGTATATCGGAGAGCGAAAGCTTCGAAGTCGATCGTCGTTATCTCGAGAATTCAATCAGGGGAAAAGAGACGTCGCAAGACCTGCCTCTTACTGTATCGACGTTGTTGAGTGACTCCGGCAGGCGACTCTTTTTCCAATCCGCATTTCACTTCAAAGGTATCCATGAGGAGTTTGTGAGGATGCACTGCCCTTGGACAGAGGAAAATATCGGGGCTGCAATGCCACAACTAGACGCCGTGCTTCGCTTGTACCCTGATTTGGCAGGTGAAGAGGGAGTACGGGAAGTCAAAGAGCTGCTCCGGCTCAGCGGCGAGCAGCAAGGGCAGGAAGTGTAGCTAGTCTTCAGCTGCCAGGGCAGGGAATTGATAGCTGCAGTTCTCTTGCAATGATCAAGCCCAAAATCGCCAAGGGCATGACCGGAACCCTGCAGGTGCTCTACCTACCCACCACGGAAGCCAAGTTTCGAATGAAGAAACTGAGTTACCCTTGGACTTGAACGAGGCTGCCGAATATTTGAACCCCTCTCTCGCAAAGGTCCTGAGATCCAAGTTTGGCAGCCCTTCGATTTATGCAGGTTAGCAGAAGTTCGGCTCTTGGCTGAGTGAGCATGGCGCATGTAATCCGTTGGCGACTGGGGTAGGGATGGGGCCAGATAATTGACATATAAGGAGGCCTTAATGTTCCCTTGGACCTCGACACTTCTCTACCACCAGACCCATCAAATCTAGTGACGTGGTCTTCTACAGCCGGTCAATGTTTGCTGCTTTTCTAAAGTGACCAGCTGAATTATTGTCAAACATACTACAGTGCTTTCCTACACCACAAGCTTCCTGCCGCGAGTTGAAGAGCGCAGTCAAGTGAAAGGGTACTACAATAGATGGCCTGGGAGTATATCCTTGTCTAATTATTCTTGGTGTTAACTAATGCTATAAATTATTCGTGCTTGGGTTACTACTATTCCCAATTCCCCTGTTGTCTAGCACTGCAGCTTTAACAATGTTGTTAAAATTATAGTAACTCTGCCATGCAAGCACGAAAGCAAAGAGCTAGTAGAACTTGTTATGTCCGAGTCTAATGCTGAAAGGGTTTGCCGCCAATTCAGTGTTGGGGTTGAGAGGTCTCTGCTGTTAGGCAGTAAAGACCCCATGGTCTTCGCCCAGGAGCCTCATTAAAGCGGCCTTATCCAAATAGGGCAAGTCATGTTGATTCTAGAAAATCAAGTCTGTCTATCTACATATATGCATCATAAGAGAGCTATCTGAGAGGAGAATAGCACGAGCAATTAGCCAGTAAAAACTGCAACGCAAGTGCTCATTCTGTGGTCTACCAAACTTGCAAGTAGTAGATTGAAACCATGATGATTTTGGCCCGATCATCTCTGTAAACCCGGATGAGATCCACGTCAACACCGTTGGCTTTATGGACGTGACTTATGCTCCGCCCATGGTTTGATTGGACAGATACCTATGACTACCAGGAGAGAAGCCTTCGAGTGCAGGTGGAGTGCGCACGACTGCAAGCTATACTCTGCATAGACTGCGACCGGAAGTTCTCAATCTGTTCCTGAGGAAGAGAAATATCCTCTGCTTGGGGGGGTGGTCATAGAAAAAGTCAACCGACTGTCCGAGTTGGTGAGGACTCTTGTAGTGAACAACACCAGTCAACGGACGCCTCCTTCACCCTCTTGAGTCAGCCAATCATCCTTTTAGTGATATTTGACGCTCCTTGGGCCTTCGATCCCAAGCGTTGGCTTGATGAAGCGGAGGAGGAGCGACGGAAGTTGTAGATGGCTTTCGACAAGTGAGGGCGAGGATACATCTGTTTTGAACTGGCGCATACGGAGCTTTATCTTGTAGCCGCAACCTTGGTTCGCGAATTTGACACGACCTTGTTTGAGACAGATGTCAATGATGTGGCATATTTGCATGACTATCATCTCTTCATGCCAAAGATAGGGTCCATGGCGTGTGAATGTCAAGGCGAGAATAGCGACAGATGCAAACAAATTGAGATACATCGAAATGTTTTTTTTTTTTCCCGACATGGACGCCACTGCGGATAAGACGCTCGCAGAAGGACACGTCATTCCATGACTTGGTTAAATCAGACTGTTGGGTTCAGATTCGTTGGACGCGGGTATATATTTTGGGACGACGATCAAAGCACAGAGGTGTCCAAGCAGACGGAAAAGGGGTCCCACCCCCAATCTCCGTGAAGATACTCTGCGAAAAAGCTCTCCATCATGGAGTCTACCGGTGTCGTTGCGAATTCATCAGGATATTGCCCATCGTATGGAAATGGTTGCATCGCTGGAAGAGGGTCAGTGGATTGCCCCGGGTCGCCGACCGTGCCCAATGTGCCATTAGATTTCCATGCAGGTTCATCGTGGAGCAGAGGATCGACAGACTGCCCATCGCCAGTTACTCGGCTTTTCGAACGAGGTAACTGTAAATCGGACGACGAGCCAGAGCCACTGGCTCGCAGACGGCTCAGCCGCTTGATAGTTAGGTCAACGATCCTGTCAAAGTTCTCTCTTCCATTGCGCACCGAGGGCCACCACTGTCCGCCGATACTAAGAAGGTTCGAACATACTCGAAGGTCGCGCAATGCGTCCGCGAACGGAACCACAAGTTGTATGTCGGGCGACGCCCAGAGGCAGTACACAATGGTCGCTCCGGACGAGAAGATACCATGGATATTTCGCCAGTTATAATAAAGGCTCTCTTCATCGTTGAGGCGATTGTAAATGTGGATACGCTCACTGGAAGACTGATAGCACTGGAGAAGGGCAGAATGTGTTGGAGACGGAACTGCCTGCGATGGTTGGTACAAGAGCGTCACAGCTCCATGATAAAGCACTTCAAGCTTAAGCCATTTAAGGCGGATTTTTGCTAGCTCGGCCTCATTCTGCTGCTGATGCGCGTCTGATCCCAACCACGTGTGTCTGGTTTCCGCGAGCCACCCATCAAGAGCTGCCTTCATACGGCTCTGCTCCGTGGTATGGTCCGCGGGCCAATGGAATACCCTGCCCTCGGTGGGGAGATGGTAAAACAGCATCTTGATTTCCGAGATATGACAATCTAGTGCAAATCGTTGGATAGACAGCGCCATGTCTTCCGAAAGGCGGGCGTAATGGCCATTCATGCCATTCGCCGGTAACCCCCAGTCCGCGGGAACATCATTGAGAGTCGGCATTCGGAGATCGAAGGTCTCGTCACGTATGCCGAGCGGACGACCTTGGATAGTCGCAATGGATCGATCCAGGTTGTAGATGGTATAAAATACAAAACGCCGCACCGAGAGTAAAGTTGGTGAAGAATCGGAGACGTCCCTGGGCTCCCGATGCAAACCCAGGTCGATACAATGAGACATGGCTACATGTACCAAGGTCCAAATGTTGAGATTGGTAGGAGCGGTCATGCCCTGTATTGTGAAAAGTATGACGCTCTGCAATGCAGTTAACGATATGCTAGACAAACACTCCGGCGCTGCAGCTGCCGCAACTTTGTAAAAGCGAGTTGGTGAGAAGTCGAAGTTTTTATTGCGAGTAAGGACCGTCGCCGCGAGAGAAAACACCATAAAGACATGCAACACAGCGGTGTGAATTGGAATGGGGATGGCATCTTTATCGGCAACACTGTCACACCGTCCGTTGTAGAGAAACGGGGGGATCTCATCCGGCCAACCATTGGGGTCGACATTGTGAGTGCGGTCAAGCCCATATTCGACGCAGAGGCGAAGAGCGTTATAAGCATCGAGTAGCGATGCTGGGTGGAGGAAGGGATGATCAATGTGGATTTCACGAAGATAGACGTCAAACAATGTTGAAGCTTCCTCAGGGGAAGGAAGTTCAGTTGATAGCTTCTTGTAAAGTATGCGGTAGGAGTCGGCGGAGTGGTGCGAGGGTTCATGATGACTCCGGATTGGACCGGTCGACGTCGAAGCCGGGCTTGAAAGGGCATCGGCGTGAGCACCGATCAAATTTGTGAAGAAGAGCCCCGACGAAGATCCAAGATAGTGTTTCTGACGGGAATCTGAGTGAAGGGAAAGCATTCCTAAATCGACAGCAACCGAACGAGCTTCAGCAGCTGGGGGAGGGTCTGGCGGATTTGAATCAGAAGCCTGGAGGGCAGCAAGAGGCCGTTTTCGTGACGATGCCGGTTCACTCGTCTGACGCGCTGTGTCCGGCGACGGCCTTTCCAACAAGTTCCTCGAAGAATCGCCATCGGGAGCACTCGTGTCCAGCTGCGGCCCTTGTGTAAGATCAAAATCGGCGTCGAGTATCTTGATGTGCTGTTCCAACCACTGAATGCGGGCATGGCATCGAGCAGCATAGCTATAGCTGCTGTTAACATGGAGTCTGAACGGGTCAATGGGACGAGCGACAGCTACTTACTCGCGAGGAATGGACCGATCGTTGTTGCGGCCGTCAACATCTACGCAGGGAGCGGCAGCCTTTGCGCAATTTGAGCAAGCGGGAATGCCCCCATCACACTTGATGCGCTTGGCCCTGCATCGGCGACACGCCAAGCGCACCTTTTTATGTGGAGTGGACTGGTCATCGGCAGATCTCATGATGGGCAGCGCATGATTCCAGCGACAGCATGAAGAGTCCGAGAGAAAGAGAGTCGGATGCTCAAGCACTCGGAACACTCCGAGAAGGCAACAGCCGATAAGGGGCACGTGATTCGTTATCTGGGGTAGAAGAGGCTAGTCTACATCGGGCTTAGTCTGCTAAGGCTCAACCTCAAGCTTCAGGAACAACAACACCAACACCACCATCGCTCTCACGTTCGCAGCCTCTTGATTGTCGGGCCCATCTCCTCTCCCTTCTCCAGACCAGCACGAGTCTCTTCGTCAATCTCATATCTCTTCTGACAAAGCTCCACGCACCCCTCCACCTTGTCCACCGGCACCGCAACCACTCCGTCGGCATCCCCCACAATGTAGTCGCCCGGCTGGATAACCACTGCATCCCCACCTTCCGTACTGGTGTAGGTGACAGGGACGTTGAGCTCGGACGATCGAGTGAAGGTGTTCGATCCTAGGATGCTTATGTCCCTTGCGAAGAGGCCGATTCCCAGCTCCTGATGCTCAGCGAGATCTCGAAAGCGACCGTCAATAACAACCCCGGCGGCGCCCAGCTTCTTCGCTCTCGTACTCATCAGCCCTCCCCAGCATGCGCTAACCAGGCCCTTGGGCTGGGACACAAAAACAACGCTGTCTTTCGGGATCGCGTCTGCGAAATGCTTGGAAGGACTCGGAGCTGCCTTGTCGGAATCTCGCACCATCCGTACCGTGTACGCCGGTCCGAAAATCCGAGTCTTCGTGCACATCACTCCGGGCGAGTACATCTTCAGTCCCGACAGGTAGCCTCCATTAGGGACCCCGAGTCTAACAAGGGCATCGCCTATCTGCGCCTGCTCAGCAATGGTCCCGCGAATGGTGCTCATGGGAGGCAAGGGAACTTACATCGCATGAAGCAAACTTGCGGAGGGCACGAAGAGCATCGGATTTCAAAGTCATTTTGATACTGTCTTAAGGGTAATGTCCAACTGGAAAAGTGATATCAAGTTTAAAACAAATCGAATCGGCGCAAACAACAAGCCGGTTCACCCACACTGGAGTAATCCGGATGCGCACACATCGGCGTCGGATCGCTCCGCTCGAACAAACACCGCAGTCGGAGTGATCGCTGACCTCGGCATTTCTCGCGGTGCACGTCAATTCTTCTGCGATTGATCGGTGTTTATTAATTTCCTTTCTTTGATGCCTCTATCGACAATAACATATCGTCCCACGTCTCAGGATGCAACGGATCCCATCAACTGTGCGGCGCGAAGCAATGGCGCGCTACATCGCCAATGCTTCATTCCCAAGGCGATTCGCGACTCACCAGACGCCTTCACTCGTACGTGGACATACCCCGATATCTTATTCCACTCTGCTGACTCGTCGCATCGTTCACAGTTCGGTGTTGACTACGCGCGGCAGATTCGAAACCTAGAAATTGCAAAACAAGGCTCCTCGCGGCCACTGACGTTGACGGAAAAACTGTTATACTCCCACCTCATCAACTCCGAGAAGAATACCTGGCATGTGGAGCGCATCGAGCGCGGAAAGTCTATCCTGGAGCTTCGACCGGACCGAGTAGCCTGCCATGATGCGACGGCGACCATGGCCTTGCTTCAATTCATCAGTGCTGGCCTTCCGCGAGTAGCAGTTCCTACGACGGTACACAGCGACCACTTGATTATCTCTGAGAAGGGCGCTGAAGAAGATATGCGTCGTGCGCTTGGCGAGCATGCGGAGGTATACGACTTCCTCAGCAGCGCGGCGCGGAAGTACGGCATCGGCTTCTGGAAGCCAGGCTCGGGCATTATACACACTGTGATCTTCGAGAACTATGCAACGTAAGTTCGCTGTTCTCTGTTCTAGAAAGATTCATCGCGTCGCATGCTGACCTTATTCGGTTGTAGACCGGGAGGTCTTATCATCGGAACGGATTCACACACTCCAAACGCTGGCGGGCTGGGCATGCTAGGAATTGGAGTGGGCGGCGCCGATGCTGTTGATGCCATGTCGGGAATGCCTTGGGAACTTGTCGCTCCTAAAGTGGTAGGGGTTCGTTTGACAGGGAAGCTGCAAGGTTGGACGTCAACCAAGGATATTATTTGCAAAATCGCCGGTCTGTTGACAGTATCGGGAGGGAAGGGTCGCGTTATCGAGTTCTTTGGGCCGGGGACCCAGACCTTGGGAGCGACAGCTATGGCGACCATTTGCAACATGTCAGCAGAAATTGGGTCGACGTCGTGCATCTTCCCATACAACGACGCGATGGGCCGATATCTCGAGGCCACGCAACGAGCACATGTCATTGACAAGGTACAAAACGTGAGGTCCGCGCTGCTCACCGCGGATGAAGGCGCCGACCTATACTACGATCAAATTATCGAACTCGATCTCAGTACGCTGGAACCGCACGTGAACGGACCGTTCACACCAGACCTAGCGCACCCTGTATCCAAATTGAAAACAGCCGTCGCTGGCGCAGACTGGCCTGTGGACTTGAGCCATGCCATGGTCGGGAGCTGCACGAATAGTTCATACGAGGACCTCGACAAAACGCGACAGATTGTCGCGCAGGCGCGAGCGGCCGGGATCGAAAAGTTCCCAACGCCTTTCATGGTGACACCGGGTAGCGAACAGATTCGTGCTACAGCGGAGGCAGATGGCATTCTGGACGAACTCCGGGAGGCTGGAGCTGTTGTTCTCAGCAGCTCATGCGGTCCATGCGTTGGATCGTGGGATCGAAAAGATGTCGATGTCAAAGGGAAGGAAAAGAACTCGGTCGTCTCCAGCTTCAACCGGAATTTTGTTGGCCGCCATGACAGTAACCCGGCCACTCATTCATTCGTAACCTCGCCGGAGCTTGTGGCAGCGTTCGCCTATGCCGGTCGACTCGATTTCAACCCTCTGACGGACGCCATTGGAGTACCCGGAAAACCTGGTAAGGAATTCTATTTCCGCCCTCCTATTAATCAGGAACTTCCTGCCTCCTTTGAGGCCGGCTTGGACACCTTTCAAGAGCCTTTGTCGGAAGGGACAGATATCCCTGTAGAGATACGTCCCGGGTCCGATCGGCTGCAACTACTCGAGCCATTTGCCCCCTGGCAGCAGGGGTGCGCTGATGGGATGGAACTGCTCATCAAAGTGAAGGGCAAGTGCACAACCGACCACATCTCCCCTGCCGGGCCGTGGTACAAATACCGTGGCCACCTTGAGAACATCAGTAACAATATGCTCACGACTGCCACCAATGCGTTTGTGGGACAAGGTGACCCGCGTCTGCTTGGCCACACCCGCCATCCTATTACGTCGGAGGTGGACGTTGTTCCGCAGGTGGCGCGGGATCTGAAGCGCCGCGGCGTTTGGTGGTGCATCGTAGGAGACAATAACTACGGCGAAGGCAGCTCCCGTGAACACGCGGCCCTCGAGCCCCGGTATCTGGGTGGATTGGCAGTCATTGCCCGCTCATTTGCTCGGATCCACGAAACCAACTTGAAGAAGCAAGGTATGCTTCCGCTGACGTTTGCGGACGCCAGCACATATGACCGCGTTGCGGAGGGAGATCGAATCACTTTGATTGGTGTGGAGGAAGGCGAGCTGTGTCCGGGCTCGTCCGTGACAATGCAAGTCAAGACCAGACGTGGAGAGGTCTGGGAAGCCGAACTAAAGCACAGCTTCCACAGCGGGCAGATTCCGTGGCTGCGCGCTGGAAGCGCCCTCAACCACATCAAAGCCACGGCGCTAGCTCAATAGAAAGTTTACCAACGATTTCCACCCTCGGACTTTCTCCACATCTCCGTAGACATTACTCCATTGCGCGCATTGCGAGTGATAATGGGCGCCTCCTGATTAGCCTGGGCTGGGGCGGGATAACCCATGGCACGTCCGGAGCCCTCCGGGGTCTCCTTCTCCGCATTTTCTTTCCCCACGGTATCAGACGATTGCATCGACTGGCAGATAGACGGTACATCGGCACGCCTGGATGGCAAGATGCGGTTGGCTTGCTGGCCACTATGGCGTCTGTTCCTATAAAGTCGCCCTCACGTTGCCCAGTGAGCTGTGCCATTCTATCCCTCACAGCATTTCTGTATTCTTTGTTGCACGACCCCCTCTACAGTAATCCAGAATCTACAATCATGCCGGCAGCAGGTGGTGGCTTTGACCGCAATGCCCTGCACAATGTCCCCAAGGCTGCCCGTGGGCCTTACATATGGCTTGCAGCCATCTGGGCATCCTATTGTGGTGGTCTGCATGGCTTCAACACTGCCAACATCTCCGGAGCCATGAGCCTCGACCCTTTTGTTCGTGACTTTGGCTGGACGCACTTGACAAGCGCCCAGGTCTCGAACAACTCCGGCTGGGCTGTCTCATCAATGCTGCTCGTAAGTGCAAGCAACCCCCTTCTTGCTACGCTTCTTCTGACGCATCTCTTGTCAGGGCCAAACCGCCGGCGTCATCATATCCGGCCCCTTGGGCGAACGTCGAGGCCGGAAATCTGTCATCCTTCTCAGCGCCATTCTCTATACCGTCGGGGCTGTCCTGATGGCAGGGAATGTCGGCTCCTTTGCAGAATTGCTTGTCGGCCGCGTGCTCTCTGGGCTGGGATCGGGATGTGGAATGACTGCAGGCCCGGTGTACATATCCGAGGTAGCCCCTAGGGAGCTTCGAGGTATGATGACTACTTTCTACAACATCAATATCATGGGCGGCGTGGCTGGGAGCTACTGGATCAATTATGCCTCGCTTCAAGTGCTTCCCTCTACCTCCAGCTGGCAGTGGCGGACGACCTTAGTGCTGCAGATGATTCCCTCGATCGCTCTTTTCATTGGATGGGCTTTTTTTCCGGAAAGTCCGCGCTATTTGCTGATGCGCGGTCGAGTCGACGCCGCGCAGAAAAGCCTGTTGAAACTCCGTGGTGGCCTAGATGAGTCGGATCCTTACGTGGCGCGAGAGTACGCCGAGCTGCAGAGCATGGCGGAGGTTGGATCTGAGAACAAGCGTGGGATAGATGCTCTCAAGTCGCTGGCTAAGGAATGTGTTCAAGACTCTGCCACCCGTCATCTCCTCTTCTTCGTGGTTTTGATCCAAACGTTCTTCATTATGTCGGGTGGCAACTCCATCACTTATTACGCTCCAACCGTCCTCGAGTCGATCGGCCTTGATGACACGGAAGTGCTTCTATTTACCGCCGTGTATGGATTGATCAAGGTCGTGTCAGTCTTCCTGTATGCATTTTTCCTGACGGAGCGCTTTGGGCGTCGTCCACTGCTCCTAATCGGATCAACTATCAACGTCCTGTGCCTGCTCTACCTCTCCGTGTTCCTCGGAGTTGCCAACATCTCCGGCACAGAGTCTCCCTCTCCGGCGGCCTGGGTCGCAATTGTTGCAATTTGTATATTTGCGATTGGGTATGGCTTCGGCTGGGCCCCGGTGTTCTCGCTGACTGCGTCTGAGATCTGCCCTACCCATTTGCGCGGCCCGATCGTCGCCATCGCCTTCACCTACCAGAACCTGCTGAACTTTGGCATCTCTCGTGGATTCCCTAACATGACCCAAGATATGCATGCGTGGGGGCCGTTTGCCCTTTTCACTGCGTTCACTGCTTGCGGGACGGCCTGGGCGTATCTAGCTTTCCCAGAGTGTAAGGGCAGGAGTATGGAGAATATCGGGGCCATTTTCTCGCTGCCCTGGTACCGCACGGGGTTCAGCAAGGTGGAAAACGAGGCAGGAATGGACGGTGGCGATGGCGACTTGGAGAAGGACGGGATTAGCAGCATGCACCAGGAGAACACCGTCAAGGCTTAGCATCATGATAGACACCTAGTGGATCCCATCGGCCTCGCATAAGCTTATGCGGAGTTGCCCCGAACTACTTAAGCTACTTCATTGTCCGAACTGCTCTTTCGTCTCTTGTTCGTTCCTTCCTCGTCCTATCTTAGCCACTCAAAAATGGACGTTCGGCCGCTTCGCACCTGCACTCTTTGTCGCCAGCGCAAGGTCAAATGCGACCGGCAACAACCTTGCTCCAACTGCACTAGAGCCGCGACAGAGTGTGTCTACCCGGCAGGCTTAGGTCGCGCCCCCAAGCGAGCTCGCAAGGCCGTTGAAGCACGGCTACTAGCGCAATTATCTCGATTGGAGTCCGTGGTCAAACACATGGAAACGCACTCGCCGAACGCGACTCCCAGCAATATGCCGCAATCTCAGCCCGAGGGGTGCAGCCCGGAGATCGAGCAGCAGTTTGGCCGGCTGGTGATCGACGACATGCAAAGCTGCTATGTGAGCAGTGCGCCGTGGACCCAACTGGGAGACGAGATTGATGAACTCCGCGACCTCCTCAACCAGCCCTCTTCCGACGATGAGGAGCAACCCACAATCACTGGGTTGGAAAGCACCGGATCCAGCAGCGCTCTTTTCGGCTTCCGGGCGCTGGCACATTCGCTCAGAGACTTTCATCCTCAAGTTCACCATGCTGTCGTGTTATTCGATACATTCAATGTCAATGTCGCTCCTCTGGTTCGCGTCTTCCACATGCCCACTTTGCATCGGTTGTTCTGGGACGCCATTGCGTCAATGGACAGCCTTGACAAGAACATTGAAGCATTACTATTCGCAATATATTACAGTGCAGTCATTAGCCTCGATCCTTCACAATGCTTTGACCTTCTAGGCATCTCGAGAGCTTCAGCGCTAGAGATGTACCGCTTCGCCGTCGAACAGGCCACAGCGCGCGCTGATCTCCTCAACACTCAGAACTTGATCTTGTTACAAGCAACCGTTCTCTTCCTCACAGCGCTCCGGAATGAAGACGATTCCCGCACCGTCTGGTCGCTTACGTCGCTTGTATACCACATTGCGCAGGCCATGGGTCTCCATCGCGATGGGGAACAGTTCGGTCTGAGGCCTTTAGAGACTGAGCTGCGAAGGCGCCTCTGGTGGCATATATGCCTGCTCGACAACCGCTCAACGGACTACCATGGCAGCGAACCAATCGTGCATGAATCTATTTTCGACACCAAGATGCCACTGAATATCAACGACGATGATATCACAGCCGAGATGACCCAGACGCCTGTCGAGCGAGAAGGTATAACAGAGATGACATTCTGCCTTATGCGCTGCCATGCCATGCGTGTAGTCTGGCAAGTTGGGTATATGGCTCCTCGCAGCACATGCAGGTCGGCGACAGCAGCAGATAACAATCTAGACTCGGCCAAACGAGAAGCTCTTGTGACTGACCTCGAGCGCCTTCTACAAGACCGGTTTTTGAAGCATTGCGACCTCAGCATCCCGTTCCTCCGCCTCTCCGCATCTATAGCTAGAATAATAACCCTTCGCATGTGGATGGCTATTCTCGTCCCAAGCTGTCACGCCGACGAGACCATCCGAGAACGCCTCTTCACTGAATCTATCGAAATGCTCGAGATATCGAACGACATACTAACATGCGACGACATCCGTCAGTGGGCGTGGCACTCTAAGACACACGTGCAATGGTACTCGATCGCCTTCCTGCTCGCCGAGCTATGCCGTAGGCCTCCAGGAATATTATGCGACCGCGCCTGGGAATGCGTCAGCGCGGTATATGAGCGATGGAGTAACATGGAAACGGAGAAGAAAGGGCCCTTGTGGCGGGCAATTCGGCGGCTTATGGCGAGGGCAAAGTATGTGCGAGAGCTGCAAAAGACGGCTTCTCATTCTGATGGAACAGGTACGCGGCATCGATGGAGAATTGCAGGAGAATCGGCGACACCTAGCGAAAAGGAAGCAGGTCGAACGGGGTCGGATGACTTCATTCTGATTCCTCAGAGTCAAGAGTGTTGGCCGAGCGACCCAACTGATGATCCATTCCTGGACATACTTCCTTCGGACACACTTGGGCTTCTTGATGATTCGTTGGACGTCTTGGGAGTAATGTTGGAGACGAACAGATTTCCCGGTGCGGCTGGATGATTGCCGAAGGCGTTGATATTCTCGTAACCCAGATGCAAGTGTGGTCAAGATATATACTGAATGCATCGTTGCGCTCTTGTGTTTAACCCACCGCTTCAGATTGTAGTCTCAACACACGATACAGTCGTATTTAAGCCGCCTACAACGCACTACATCATGCGACGATAGCACCGGCTTTTCCTCGAAACTACTCTGCTTCTCCGAGGTCAAAATAAAGAGAGCGCACCCCTGAAAGGTGAGGAAGCCAAGTTGAGTATACTAGAACAGGATTGTATATATTACGCCCCGTAGACTCGGGACAAAGATAGATGGAACCAGATAGCAAAAGCATCGCACAACACCCCAATGGTGCAGAAGTCATGAATCATACGGAGTAGTGTCACGCATAATATAAACCTCTCCCACAAGCACCGCACACCCAACAGCCATCGAAATCGCAATGATTGGCAAATTAACCATAGCAAAATCCAGACTGCGGACACGGATATGCTTGCGGGCAAGGATATCGCGCCATAGCAGGCCGGCGAGGGAAGCGCTGAAGGCCGTGCTGAAAGCGCCGTAGTTGACGCCCAGCGCCATACTGTAGACCGTAGCCCAGAAGGTGCGGTCGGTGATGGGGGTGCCGTTGGCGCGGTGGATGCCTTGCCATGTCTGGATTACGCGGGAGAGGAGGATTGTTGTGCCGATGTTTGTGCCGGCGAACTGGATGGTCAGTTTCAGTGAGGTGGATTAGGAGGAAGATGGGATGCTCACATTGCAAAGGATAACGGAGAGGAAGCCCATTCCACCGATGGCTCCGATTGTGCCGGTGCGGTTTACCCAGTGATCCCATCCGTAGGCGAAGACCTCGATCCACCCTTTGGTGGCTAAAGCTTGAACGAGAATGAACATGGCGAAAGCGAAGGGAACGAGAGGGAAAGGCATATGCGATATCACGGCAGTCACTGTGGGAAAGGTCTCTTGCAGCCATCGATAGGTAGCAATCGCCGATGACTCCAGTGTCGCCCTGGTGGGCTTCGGCTCTTTTGGAGGCTGAGAGGGTTGCACCGTTAATGTTTGTTTTGGGTGAATCAGGGTTGCTGGGCTGGGCGATAGGGAACTGACATTGGAAAGGCCCAACCCCCGCTTCTCCTCCAAAGCAAACATTCCGTTCGGTGATGGCTGAGCGGAGGCCGCTGCCGCGGATGGATGAGTCTCAAGGTCAGAATGGTCTGGCAGATCAGGGATCGGAATGACCACAGCCCCCGTCGGCTCCGGTTGCAAACTACCCCTGGCCATCTCCTCGTCACGCATGGCCCGCTCGGCGCGCGTGCGTTCCACGTCTTCTCGACCCTTGCGCGCAATTTCCCGTGTCTCGTGACGATGATGCCACCCATACGCAACGTCCCAGCAGAAAAGGACAAATGCAGCCGGCAAAGTAACCCAGAAAACAGGATGCGTATGACCTTGACTGGCTGCGTTGAGAGCCAGGACGGTGATTAGTGTGGCAGCCATGATGACGGCGCCAAATGCTGCTCCTCTTTTGTCTAGAAATGGATTAAGAATCTCCTCCAGTGACAGCATCTTATCCTCATCCCCGTTATTTGCTGCCTCTTGCTCCTCTTCCTCTGCACTGCCGCGCGCATTCGGAATATTAGGATTAACTGGGGCCTTGGCCTTCACTTCGTCCGGTAGCTCATGCATCTCGATCGACAACGGGACCAACGATTCGTCGGCAAATATGATGTATAGTAAGAATGGAAAGAGGACAATGGCGGTAATGACAACAGGGACAATCATGTTCGCTGTGTAGTCTATAAACTTGATCTGAAAAGCGCTGGTAAGAACGAGATTTGTCGGGTTCGAAGTGACGAGTATGGCAGATGCGATATTAGCGACAGCAAACTGGGTATAGATCCACGCTCGGGGGTGGACTATGTTGCTGGAAACGCGAGTCATGTACGCCAAAAAGGCAGTCCCCGAAAGAATAATGGGGTCGTTGCCGATGAAGCTTCCAAGGAGGAAGAAGAAGGCATAGAGGTAGAAAAACAGCCGATGTCCAACCTTGCCACCCTTTTGTAATACCTTGAAGGCCAGGTAGCGGATGAGCCCCGAGGCATCGATGGAGATGGCAATGTACGCGAGGGTGAGGAAAAAGACCATTATGTCAATCGGAGAGATGTTGTCCGCTTCAATTGTCCCATCGTGTACCTCCTTCCGCCCAATCGCTAATATCGCCAGCAGGAATAAATCCGCGATCAACGGCGCTGTCACGAAGTTGAAGGGAAAATCGAAGCGTACGAAACGGCCGCTTTTGCGATCATGTTCTCGCGGTTCTATCACTCTCAGGGCGGAGAGCGCACGAAGGATAGCGTTGGCAAATGTACGAGGGATGTAAACGGGAACATGGAATGGAAAGAGGACGACGATGTCTGCGACGGACTGCTCGTTAGACAGAGGTACTCGGTAGCCGGTTTGGTGACTTACTAGCGAGCACAAAGACAATCAATGTAATAATTGAGCGCCAGTCCTTGATACGGTCCGTATCCAGATCCTCTGCCATTGCAGACTGAATCAATAAACCAACTGACCCGGGAGTCAGTGTCTCTGAGGATATTCGCCGAGCGGCCGGAGCCCCGCCTGTTCCCCCACCGGTGTCACAATCTGTGGTCGGGCTTCTCCTCCCGACGAGTCTGAAGGGTTGTCAGGACCAGCAAACTATATCGCTGAGAAGGATCCCGATGTCAGCGGGCTTGCGGTGATCCATGAGAGAGAATATCGCTTGTTGTTTCTCGTGTCGCGGTGTTGGGCGGATGGCGGGGAACGAGCCAGGATATGCATTCCCCGGGCGCTCACCGCTTCAGCAGGGCGAAGCAGGGAATGAGCATCTTGACATCTGAGCCGCGTCACTGGAATGATGATCAGAAGAAGTCAGGCCAGCCATCTGGAGACTTCAGAGCACGGTGGAGGAGGGGAAGATTCGAGCCGGGCACCGCTGCGCCTCGACGGGCACCTTGGCGGCTAGTCCAGGACGGGTTAGCTCGGCTGTCACGGGCCTGCTCGTCATCCCAACTGGGTTTAGTTCGATGCCCGGGCCTTCCTCTCTTGTCGCGACCATCCCCAGATCCTTCAACATTCATGTGTTTTCCCCGTGGTCTTTAAGTACAGAGTACGGGCGGAGTCTATCCCTGCTCTCTATCACCAAAGTCATGCGAACAGTCAGGATGTATCTATCTGAATGTCACTCCGAACCACTCGAAACTGACCATGTCCCTGCGCCCCGGCTAGGCGATGATGACGATGCGGCTCTTCAGGATGGTCGCTTGACCAGGGCCCTGGAGGATGAACTCTTTCTTGCCCGAGGTCCATTGTCGCTTCTCGTTGGCTGCCCTGCCTCCCTCCACAATATATAGAGTGGCACAGCTGCAGGCCTTCCCATACCGCGATACCCCGGTCTAATCCACCCATGCGACTCACTTTGTTTATGTGCTCCCATGCCGGCCGGCCGATGAGTGATGCCGCCTCTTACTTCTTCACCTGCCGTTTCCCCGGATAATACCACCGAGATTGGTCTTGAGGTTGTCTGTTCTTGGCCCGTCTCTGGGCAGTATGGTCCTGGGACCAGAGTGCTGTATGTCCACACCCGTCCACCATCCCAATCTCAAAGGCTTACGATTCGCTCAAGATACTATGTTCTTATCGCGGCCTGTGTCTTCGCGCGCAAGGAAGAATGGGTGAGAAATGCCTGCTTGGCCGGTGCTCTGCTATTCCCCGCCATTGCTGCCCTTCACGGCATCGTCCTCGCTGCAGTGCATGTTGATGGTATGTCGTGAGTTTCTCTGTAGCTGCTACCAGTACTGACCGATGCAGGGGCGGTTGATATGGATGTATATGGGGCCTTCCAATTATGCTCGATCGGGATTCTCACGGCACCCCTTACGGCGAGGATGTCGGGCACATATTTCAAGGATCCCCGTCGGCACATCATTTTTCTATGGACCGGCCTCGTACTTGCTGGTAAGTAGAGTCCAAGCGGCTTGGTAATGTGCTGACAGTATAGGGCTTCTGAGTATAACTGTAGAACTATTCCGTGTCAAGCCTTCGACGTGCACTCACGACGATTACGGGAACCCTATCCCAACCGACGCCTCTCAATTCCCGTACGACGGCGCCACCTGCGATCTCCGTTGTTCGGTCGAACACGGGCCCTTCTCTCCCATTCGCGTTGGTGCAACAAACGAAATCTACGTCGTCCCCTCACCAAGCAAGCTTACTTTCGGTACAGCTACATTGCTGGCAGCGGCTTGTTGTGTCCCCGCCATCGTGTCACTCTTGTACTTCTGGTCCCTGGTTCTTCAAGATACTTGGAATATCCGCTTTGGCTATGGCACCGATCTCGACCGGCGGAATGAGGTGATTGATGATACCAACGGGGCTACCGTGGGAAAGATGCTGCAAATCAACGGCCTGGTGCGTGCGGTACTCAGCACCGTGGAAGCCCCGGTATTTGCCGCCGCAGTGCTTGCCATTCTGATTCTGGGTGAGCAGAATTTCTTCAGCCGTCAAGTGGACTGGGGAACAGAGCCGATAGCCAGTATCGGACAATGGGCTCCAATTGTAGGTACGGGCTTTGCAATATTCGGTTCGTTGTATCTCTTTCTCACTGATGAGGATGCGACACCCTCGTCGACATGTGATTGCAGTTGTCACGATGCGCAAGCCTCCGGGCCAAGCGACCAAATAGACCCTCCAACCTCCGTAGCCGGCACCGAAACAACGGCTCCGGAAATGACGGCCATAGCCAGTCCTGATATAGCACATACCCGACCTACCCGAGACGAAACTCCTGATTACGGTTACCGACGCGGAATTGGCCGAGCCCTCAAGCGCATGGCGGACACGATTAGCATCGCCGCACACGATCGCCTCCACGACGATGACTTTACACAGGGGCCAGCAACCGACTTCCCCGAAATACCTGCCGAGGCGCAGCGTAACAGCGAACTTCAACAGATCCGGGATCAGTACAACCAAAAGCGAGATTCGAACGGTAACCACACCCTCTCGCGGGTCGGTTCAACCGTGAGCATAGCTTCGTGGAGGGACGGCGACCGAAGTTCAACGACGTCTCACGGCATCTCTCCTCGCTCATCCCGACCGTCCACGCGTTCGCGATCTCCGTCTCCTCTACCTTCCTCAGTTCGCGGGCTAAATAGCAGCCCTGCTTCGGACTTGTACAATGGCTCCCCATCATCCAGTGGTCCTCCAATCATCAACCCGCGCAAGCGTCAGAACACTCTAGAGGTCCCACCTCATCATGGCACCATAAGACGCAGGTCTTCAATATCATCGGTCTCAAGCTCCAACTTTACCATACCGCGCAACCCAGCCTCACCTACCATTGTGATTTCAATGGATGACGACGATTTTCCCGTCTTCCCGCCACCCGGCTCCCCCGCACCAGAGCGAGAAGATCCTCCAGCTCCTTCCCGACACGGGCGGCGATTCACATCTTGAGAGAAGATCCTCACCATTGCCGCTGATGCTCGGCGATTAATGTTTACACGGGTTCAGGTTCTCCAGTTAGCCCTCCCCGAGTTTACGTGTCGGAGTACATGCAGTCGAGACTTTTTTCTTTTTGCGTTGACAGTCGGTGGTGGGCGACATGCTATGCATTTAAGAGCTATGTACGTTCTTGATCTTCATCCGGGTCACACTCGTACGAATTATGAAGCGTCTAGTCTTCTGGCCCATACTGTCATACCTCCCTTGCCACCTCGGTTCGCCCGCAGAAAGTACGGCACATACAGCAGACTCTTCTTGTCGCCGTATCTCCACGGCTGCCATGCATACAGACGACTTTCACCTCGAACCAATTCTCTCCCAGTCGCTCTTACCGGAACCACACCGCTGACCCCAGCGATATTTATTGGTTCACCGTCACTGACAGAGTCGTCCAAGAGACCGACGTGGTCAATGTCAACCTCGTTGTCCACATCTTCAATGCAGTATACCAATGGTCCTCGTGTGATGCAAATCTGATCCTTCTCCATTGCCGGGTTTGGGTAAACTTTCCGCGGTTTGAGGGTGAATGAGAGCTTCACCTCCGCATCCTTAGACTGCGGAATGTAAAGATACCCATCTTTAACCTCTCCTTGGACGGAGCTCGAATATTCGTCTGCCCACGTGGGGATCCGCAGCGCCAGGGCTGTCGAGCCTTTGACACTAATAAGAACGTCACCTGTCCAAGGCATCCTGGTCATCTGCGCAACGATCACGTCCGTCCCAGGGACCGTGATCTCGCTTTCGATGTACAGATGGATGGCGACAAGATTGTCTTTGAACGAATAGATGAGAGATCCCATCGAACCCAGCAACTTCGCCACATTTGGCGGACAGCAAGCCACCTCAAACCACGTACTCCTCTCCTTTGGGTGGCCGCTAAATGTTCGCAACGGATTCTGGTAATAGAACGAGCCGCCATCCAAGCCCACGGCTCCGAGGAATCCGTTATACAGTCCAATCTCCATCACGTCGGCATACTTGACATTCAAGTCGATTTGGAGCATCCTCTGGCACCATAGGATCAATGCAAAACAAGCGCAAGTCTCCGCATAGCATGTGCCTGACTCCTCGGTATCACCTAACACATACTTGGCGCCAAATCCTTCCCACTGGCGCATTGCTCCAATGCCGCCCGTTATGTAAAGCTTTCTTTCTGTCATATCCGCCCACATGCGATCGAGCGCGGCCTTCACTTCATTGTCACCAGTAAGGCGAACCAGATCAGTTGCTGCAATGTAATAGTACATTGCGCGTACTGCGTGTCCCTTCACCTCGGTGGCCTCAGTCAGAGGTCTATCAGATTGGTTGTAGCTATAGTCGCGCGGGTACTCGAACCATGCCTTCATTTCACCCCCGAAGTGGTCGTACGGATCTCCACCTCGGGCTCTTGCTTCATGGTCGAAATACATCTCGCCCTTGTCGTCTCTCTGGCCCCTCTCACTAATGAAGTATTTCGCAAGCTTCAGCAGCATTGGCTCGCCGCAGAGCTCGTACAGTCTCAGAAGACCGATCTCAATTTCCTGATGGCCTGGATATCCTCTCTTTTTTCCGGGTTCAGAACCAAAGACAGAATCAACATGACGCAATGCCTTCAGGACAGGCTCTAGTAACCGACCACTGTTCGTCAGCGTCTCGTAGGCGACACAAGCCTCAGTCAAGTGGCCAAGGCAATACAACTCATGCATATCGCGAAGATTGGTCCATCGTTTGTTGATCCCGAGGACGGTATAATACGAATTAATATACCCATCGGGGTGCTGCGCGGCCCTGACCATGTCAACAGCTTCCTCGACAATGGCCATAAGTCCATCGTCCTTTTCCTTCATGAGAAAGTAGCATGCCGCCTCCACGATCTTGTAGATGTCGCTGTCCCAAAAGGGCTAGCAAACGTGTTAGCAACAGTGACGCTCGACCCTCGCAAGACTTACGTGGGGCTGAACCTCGTGTCCCTCTTTCCATGTCAGACAGTACCAATGCTTCAAGGACTTTTGGGCTTTGATGATAGCCGGTATGGTCTTCTCTCTCGAGCATCGCTGCATCTGCGACCAGAACGCCGACGTGATGTTGACATTGCGGACGGGAGCTTGCTGGAAAGCCATGATGGATCAACGATTTGCAAAATACTCAGATAGTGAGGATTCTGTACAAGGTTTGAGCGCAGCAGTGGGACTTTAAAAGCAGCAGTTCCCCGACCAAGACCTTTCGTCTCGGTAGGTAATCAGTGGATTTCCGCAACACTCTCGCTGACCCCAATCAAATCCACTTTCGGGCTGATCTTGTGCAACTGTTGCACCTGGTACTCCAAGATGTTTCCTATCCGATCGCAAGGCCAGCACTGTGTCTACTGTCCTGCACAGCTTCCCCGCACCTTTGACTGACTCCAGCTGCAGCGTCGGGGCTTTCTTGCTCTGATTGGTGCCTTTCCCGCTCATCCGACAATGGACAACCATCGTGACAGCCTGGTTAAGCTGGTGGATATTAGCCGACAGGAGAAATGTTCTCACCGTGCAGGTGAATTATGCAAAAGTGAATTTACTGCGCCGGCTATAGGCCACCTCGGCGGAACTGTGTTTGGGGGATGGATATCCCAGGAAAGTGCTCAAACTCATCACTGCTAAGCTCATCACTGCTAAGCTCATCACTGCTAAGCTCATCACTGCTAAGCTCATCACTGCTAAGCTCATCNCTCATCACTGCTAAGCTCATCACTGCTAAGCTCATCACTGCTAAGCTCATCACTGCTAAGCTCATCACTGCTAAGCTCATCGCTGCTAAGCTCATCGCTGCTAAGCTCATCGCTGCTAAGCTCATCGCTGCTAAGCTCATCCGGCTCTTGCCGCAAGCGAGATGAGCTCGGCAAGGCAACAGACAGTATTCTCAGGTGCTGGTTTCTGTACTTACGATAGCGGTCAGTTTTATGGCTATTGGGGATGCACTGGGTCGGTCTTGCTTGAAGTTTGACGTAGATTGCCATTGCATGCCTCTCATCTCGTGCTTCGATAAAGCATTCAAGCTTTGATCATCCCAAGACTATACTCGATCTACCAAGTACTGGTATTTACCGCCATGATAATCCGTTATTACGCATTCTCTTCATGTTCAACCTCTTTCTTCACCGCATACTCGCCGCCGTGAGCGAACTCTGTCGAATAAAGTAAGCTTCAAAGAGCCGAAAGTCTGTGGGGCAAGTACTTACGATCGACCTGCGTAGACTTGAACTTCCTCGCCGGCACGCGGTGGGTAAAGAGTAAATCGATCTCGCCAAAGGTCCGATCCTTTGTTTCTGGCAGTCGAAACCAGCACCAGATATTGCACAGTAGGTTAGTGCCTGCGTAGAAGAACGCGGCTTTGGCACCCCAGTTCCATGCTATGCGAGGTTAGCTTGTTGACATTTCAGCGGAGAGAGCTGGGGGCTGACATACAGGTAGACGAAAGCATGCGAGGGGTAACCGAATTGGTGAAGATGCTGGTAAGATTGTATACAAACCGCCCAATGGTGATTGTTTTATACCTCAGCCTTCCGGATGGTGTCTCTGCGACAATCGGGTAGCAAGTTGGTCCGATAGCAATCATATTGCATAGTGTTGATATCACGAGGATTATTCCAATGGCTAGCTGTGCGTCCCGCCCAGGACCCCAGGCGAGGCCTCCGATCGTGATCAGGCAGAAGAACATGAAGGTCAATCCGGTCATGTAGATTGTCGCGCGGCCAACATGCGGGAAGAGGAACCAGCAAATGATGCCACCGACAATGTAGCAGGCGGATAATGAGATGTTGATGTTGAAGGCCTGTAGTTCGCTGAAACCTGCAGCCTGCAGGAATACCACCGAGTAGCCGAGGATCGCGTTTCCGCAGAGGATTTGGGCTGCCCATACGACGCAATTCTAAGGGACAAGTCAGCCCTAGTCTCAAGGAGATACAACGCCGTTTCATCTTACAATCTCAGTTCGCCGCAAGTTGGTGCCTTTGAAGCACTCGAGAAAGCTGGCATTGGCGGTTTCGGCTTTTTCCATCTCGGTCGTGTACTTGATGTACGCCAATGTCTGCTCCACTCGTTGTTCTCTCTCGGGCATGTCCTGGTATAGGCGCAGCAGGCTCTTTCTTGCCTCTTCTACCTTGTCCCGTCGCACTGAGTTCCACGGGGACTCGGGTGCAAAATATGCTCCGATGAACAAAGGAAAAGGCCAGACCCATTGTAATATGAAGGGCAGCCGCCAGCCCATATCACCTTCAAGTCCCGCTACGGCCCTCACGACCCCTGATGAGAGAAGGATTCCACCACCCCAGCACATGCATACGTATGCAGTGACATAAGGCCTGAGGATCGTAGGCACCACTTCGGAAGCATACGTGGTTGACAATGTCTGCAAGTCAAGTCAGACCGGTGTCTATTTTTTTGTTGCGCGTATTTACCTGAAATACACCCCAGGATATACCGCAAAACGCCTCTCCGAATGCGAGGACCGATAGCGACTGTGCAAAGACAGGCACAAAGATGGCGACTGCCATCCAGACCATGAAGAACATCATCGTTGGGCAGCAACCAAAACGATCCTGGCAAAAGGCGTTAACGACAAGACCTGCCAATTGGCCGACCAGAGCCGAGTTCGAAAGACCAGACTGCCATGCCGCAGGAATGAGTTTTTGATCGGACACTGGGTCATATACGCCGAAACGCTCCTTGAACTGGGTTTGGCCGTAAAAGGAAGTAATCTATCGCAAGTAAGCATGGGCGTGGTTGAGTCAATTCGAATGGCATACAATCACGAGATCATAACCTTCCATGATTAAACTTGTCGACAGGAACATGGCCCAGAAAACTGCCTTTTTATATTTTTTGACTGCTTGCCGGATTGTCAACTTTCGATCGGCTTCGTCGCTCTCCTGTGCCTGACGGATGAGGTCGACCGTCTGGCCTTCTGCCCTCTGAAGCTCGGCAGCCTCGCGATCGGATGGGACAATACGTTGAGTTGCCATGCTGATAACAGCGAGAATAAAGTGTTGAAACTTCAATGCCCGTCGTGAGCCTAGATGAGAATCCCTTGTTGGTGCTTCTGGTGAGGGTGATATTGGTGGTTATATATCCGAACCGGTATTCCTGTTGAGGTGCGGTTAATATGTTAAAAGCCGTCGGATAAACCAAAAAGTTAAACAACCCAGTAAGGAACAAGGTAGAGACATCCCGGATATCCAAGGAATCAGATGAGACACCATTCTTTGTCTGATGATTTTCACAGTCTGGGGAAATCCTCGGCCCACAGGACTAAAACCTGGAGTACATGCGGGGAAGGAATGAATCCCGACAGAACGGCCAATCATCTTGCAAAAGCGCCGACAAGCGATGGATTGCCCTGGTGTGACTTGTTGCCGAGCTCGGCTTGTTCCGGACATGACTTATTGACGGTTACTCTATGACCGGCCAGGGGATACTGATTGGAGAGACGGGATCGCCGTAGGCTATTGGAGTATCGCGAGGCTTGAGCCAGGTGAACAGCGTTCATCGATTGGGCCACTCACAGTTCCAACCATGAGCCAGTTGCAGGCTCTATGTCAGGATTAGGCACGAGTGGTAATGAGCCATGGACGCCATCGTCATACCTCTCCGAGACGTTGGCGTCATAGCGGTTCAGAAAGTATATCATCCAACGGTCCATGTCGAAATTTTCCTGCGTACTGTTCTTCTGACAGGCTCGGTGAAATGCTTTGAGTCGAGCCATCGACAGCTCCACGAGTGACCAGTGCTTGCGTAATTGGAGGAGCATAAGAAAATTTTGCTCTAAGAGCTCCTTGGCCCTCGCGATGCTCTCGTCCTCCGTATCAAACATCAAAGTATAAAGTAGAACCGAGGAGGATACAACTAGCAGATGCCCGTTAACCGGCGACCAAAGGCATTCCGACCCAGGACGCGAATTAGTGTCCCACATTACCTGGCTAAGAGCTGCTGCATGCGCTTTGCATCTCGCCGCGCACATCGCATCTTCGTGGTTAAACCTCGTTTCTGATGAGGTGTACTTCTTGTTGAGAAACTGATAGAACAGCATCTGGCATTGGTGGTGGTAGTTCAATTGAAGAATTGTGAATTCCCGGCCTAGGCCCCGGCTGAAGTATCTCTCTCGGTTCTCGGATGTATGTTGAAGGTGGCTCGGTAGGTCTCGGAAATACTGATCTATATCATCCGATATGCCTTTGACTCGCCGACGGATCTCGCTCTCACTGATCGTGTTTTCGACTATTTCGTCGTTAAGCCGCATGACCTGGTTATGAAACTTTGATAATGGAATCATCCAAGTCCAGAGACCCCTTGATCGCAGACCCAAAGCATTGATTCGCGTTTCGGCGTACTGGTCAGGTGGATCGGTGGGTTTCATATTCCTGAAGGCTTCTTCCTCTAGCAGGCTCTTGAATGTAGGGCTGGCCACGAGCTGCTTCGGGATGAGAACCCGCGCTGCGTGCCAGTTTTCCATCATCCACATACCCCAAAAGACTGTCCAAGTCGGTTAGCTGTGTAGCTTGACTGGGCTATCTTCGTACTTACTTCGAATCTCCACCTCACGCTGGATGGGGTCCGTACTTAGATTCTCGGGTAGGCGCAACATGCGCACCATACAAATAGCTTGAGATGTCATCAACGCCTCCTGGGCAGAGTCTCCCTCGGCGAGTGCAACAAACGAAAGCAAGATGGCACCTTGCAAAGACGGCAAATCGATCAGCTCCGGCCGAGAATTGAAAGCCTGCATTGCTGCTTTGAACCATGGTCTCGCTCTGTGCCAGGTATGGACGCCCTTGAAGTAGGGATGATCCGAGAAGCTGCAACCAAGAGCAATTAGTTCGAGCCAAGAAGCTCTATGCATTACTCTCACCGAGCCATCAAAGCGATCATCCCGAGCACGATGAAATTGTGGATTTGTCCCGCGCGCTGGGCTGCAATGAACGTGGCGCGATGGAATAGGAGCAGCTGTTTCTCATCGATGAGATCAAAATACAGGTCGATAAGCTGATTGCAGAGAGATTCTGGTGGAAGAGCGCCATCCGGCTGCTGCAAGTCCCTGGCTGTCTTGGCCTCGGCAGGAGCGATCCTTGTCTCAGACCCACAGACAGGACGATGAAGAGGACTGCCAATCGGTGATCGGTTGGAGTTTGCCTGAGTGCCACTCGCTAGGTCGCAATTCCACTTCTTTTGAGAGCATGAAGTACATGGCTGCCCCTGGCGTGGTGCTATACATCGTTTCTTCCGAGAGCTAAGGCTGTCAGTGGCAGGGTGGGCTTGTGCGGGGTTGTCACCCACCGACATCGAGTGCAGGAGGAAGCCGGACGCATTTCGGGAGGTCCATCTGTTCGAGAGCAAGTGACAAGTAGACGGTGCCTTTCTTGTCGGGGGTCTTGGAAAGCAAAGGCCGGAATGGCCAATGGATGGATGTGCGAAGACAAGAGTACCGGTAGGGGAGGGGAACACGGCGAAGGAAACAACGAAGCGAGGAGAATCACATGACTTTCTATGTAGACATCTTTACCACATGGAAACACATAATCGATCCTAGGAGAGATTCAGATTAATGCGAGGACAATCCCTCGGATCCTTGTAGAAACCCCCTCCCATCCGCTCAATCAGCCTGCAATGTTCCTCCATGGTAAACGCATTCTTGAACAATGCAGCCCTCTTCTCCATCGCCTCAGTACCAGTGATATCCAAGACCCAAACCCCTCCAGGCTGTGGCCATCCAACCCGCACATAATCCTTTGGCTCCCCGTCATGCACGATCTCCCACCGCACGAGGTCGGAGTACCGTTCCCAGTACGCAGCGCCCAGCCGGCGCACTGTCACTGTTAGACTTACACCCGTCGAATGCAAGCAACAGACAACAAACTCTTGTCACAAAACTCATCTTCCTCCTCCTGCGACGACGCCTCAAAACCCTTTGGTATATCCAAGCGGTCATAGCCCAGAAACTCCAACTCGACCGCCGTACAGTCATCTATCACGTACATTCCCCCACGGGACGGATACCCATACACCCGGACCTGACTGGAGCCGAAGTGGAATCGGAAATGGTCCTTTGGCTCAAATTCACACATAGAGATATCAGCGTATTCCACATTACGCGGCGTTGCTGATGGCTCGGGTTCGCATTGAGAGTGCTGGCCAGATCGCCGTCTAGCCCTCCGAGCAACGATATCGGCGATGGCCACGGGGAATAAAATCAGAATAGTGGCTAGGAGCATCTCTATATTTGTGCTGATGCTTGGTGGGAAGCTAAAGGATTATATGTCCCTCTAACAAGTCATGCCAAGTACTCCCGTCGCCAGTCTACAGTGTTTTGGTTCAGGCACAAGGGTTTCTGCCTAATGGATATTGGACCAAAAAGGGTATACCAGCGATATATCTATATAGAAGGTGTAAGCCACAACAGGATACCGTATCGGAGTATCTCCGCGGGTGCAAAAAGTCGCCGAACGAAGATCGCTTACCAACCACGCATGACCATACCTAGGTATAAGATGGACACCTAACCCAGAGTCATCCTACTGCATATATCCACCATCACTCTTGCTAGAACAATGTCGAAAAACATCCTCGTCATCGGCGCCGGCGAACTAGGCACGCAGGTCCTCCTCGCCCTAGCCAAACACCCCAATCTCCCTCTTGAGACACACATCTCCGTCCTCCTCCGTCCATCCAGCATATCAACCCCAAGTCCCCAAAAAGCATCAGAGCTCGAAATCCTCCGCCAAAACAACATCACCCTAGTCCCCGGCGACATAACAGCCTCAACGCAATCAACCCTAGCATCCCTCTTCAGCGCCTACGACACCATAATCTCCTGCACCGGCTTCTCCGCCGGCCGGGGCACACAGATCAAACTCGCAAAGGCCGTTCTCGACACTAAAATCCCCCGGTACATCCCGTGGCAATTTGGGGTCGACTACGATGTTATCGGGCGCGGGTCAGCGCAGGATCTGTTTGATGAGCAGCTTGATGTGCGGGATTTGCTTCGGGCGCAAGACACAACAAAATGGGTGATTGTTTCGACGGGGATGTTTACTTCGTTCTTGTTTGAGCCGAGTTTTGGTGTTGTGGATTTGTCGCAGAATGTTGTGACGGCGTTGGGGGGCTGGGACAATCGCGTTACGGTTACGGGGCCCGTGGATATTGGGAGGGTTACGGCGGAGTTGGTGCTGAGGGATGAGTTTGTTGATCGGGCTGTCTATGTCGCTGGGGATACGGTCTCGTATGAACAAGTGGCGGAGATCGTGGAACGAGTGACGGGGAAGACAGTTGAGAGGAAGGTTAGGACGGTGATGGACGCGAGGAACGATCTCGCAAGGGAGCCTGAGAACGGACTGTTCAAGTACCAGGTTGTCTTCGGCGAGGGCAGGGGCGTAGCATGGGATGTAAAGGAGACGTGGAATCATCAGCGTGGGATGCATCTCCAGACGGCGGAGGAGTGGGCGAGGGGAAATCTACTGTAGCATATAGTACTCATTTACACACTTATGATTAACATTTATAGTCTATCAAAGACAGAATTCATTCACACTAACATATCTACCTGTTAAACCACTTAAATAAACGCCCCAACCCCCTCCCTCTCAAGAAACCACCTCAACCTAACCCAACAAAGATGCCCTTCCTCCTGAGCCCCGGGCACCGTAACCTCCCACTCCTCCGGAGCCGGCATAACCCGCGCCTTGGGCCTAAACGTATGCCGTTTCTCAAACACGGCAATACTCACGTACCTCGCAACAAAAGCCCTCCACGCCTTCGTCCCATTCACGCGCCAGGGGAAATCAAACAGCAGACTCTGATGCACGTGCGTCGTCCCGTTCTCCGTTCGTGAGCTGTAGTGGCTGTAGATCGGCACGGCGACGAAATACGTCTCCAGCAACTTGGCCCGCATTGTCTGCACGGCAGATTCGCCGTGGTCCACGTGCACGAGCTTCTCGTCCAGCCCTAGGTCGAGCTTGACGTGGATGGTGAAGATCACGGGGAAGGTGCCGCGTGTGTAGGTGAGGTCTTCGGGGAGGACGGCGAGGTGCCGGAGCTGGACGTAGTGGAATTTGCAGTGGCTGCACATGGTTTCGTAGGTTGTGCAGGGCTTTGAGGGGGTGGGGGGGTCTACCACCTGCATCTGCATCTTGGTCATTGCCATTGTTGTGGAACGGCTGTTCATATTGATGTTAATAGCTAGGATTAGCTTGCGGTTAGTTTGCGAATCTTGCTTGATGAAGCGTAGAAGTAGAACTGTAGATGATATGCCCTCCTTTGGTGAAGGTCTTGCTTGATATATAGCCATTGTTGACAAAGGGTTTATCATGACAAAGGACAATTACGGCAAAGGACAGCGGAGAACAACTACACAAAGAAAACCCTACGGCTTCAATGATAATGCGAGAAGGCACATTATGGATTCCTTTATGTTCACCATTGAGCGCCATGGCTTTGTCGTTTTGTCGGGGAGGCACCTCGGTCCCTGAAAGCCGGATGGATTGCATCTGTATCCGGTCTCGCTAATGAATCAGAGCTATCCAAACTATTTACGTATAGGCACCCTCACAGGACATGCCTTCACAGATTGACTCGATGTAAATTCCAAGGTGAATCAACCGGCGAGCTGAAGCTGGACGCCAGCAACCCAACGGACCTCAACAGAGCGCAAGAATCTACGGGGGTAGAGGACTTACCCGCTGCGACCGATCCACAACAGCGCTTGTCTAAAGCATCTGCCTCTCTATGCAGCCCTATTCTGCAGCTGAAAGACACCTACACTGCCGCAGCTTCATCTTTCACGTCCTTTCTTGCCTCAATGCACCTTTAGTCCGTACCTGGCTAACACCGACGGACTGAGCAGAGGTAGGGCATGAAGTAGAAGGAGCGCCGGGTCCGGATAGTCTTCCACTGCTGGGTAGCCTCCACCAAAGGGCAAATTAAAAGCAAGCAAGGCCGTAGGAGGAAGAACGACCGCCAATCAGAACCAAGATAGATATAGAGGAAGGCAACAAAACAACCAGGAAATGACAACGGAAAGTACGGTTGTCTCTTCAAGTATAGTACGTCAAAAACGACGTCATCGGGGGGCCGCTCCAGCTTCCGCAGTCATTTGCTTTACCCTGCATATAATGGCATACCATATTCCATAATCTCTAACGTCCATCTCCTTCGCAGCGTCACAGCCTTGCACCATGCGCGCGTGTTCCCAATCCAGCGAGACATTGCGAAGAAGATCCATAGCATTTTCCACAAGGGGAAATTCAATCTCCCATCCTCGACCGGACCCGATGAAAATGCGGCAGGAGGAGCCCGAGACCAGGAATGAAAACTCTGTTGGACAACCGTCAGACCTGAGTGGCTAGGTCATTGACTGGGATCGAGGTCCGGTGCTTCTAGCTTTTAGCCCTGGAAAGGTTTCCAGGACAGGGGTATGTAAGAGTCTAGGTATTCAAAACACGGCGGAGCAAAGCAGGGTTGACAATTGAAGGCCCGTTCGGTTCGCGATGCATGTTCCCTGAACCCTGCACTCAGACCCTGCACTGTACACGAGCGCGATGCACCTCGTACCCTTCCCTGCAATCCGGCGCACCCGCTCGTGCGGATGGGCTGGGTTGTCAAGAACAGAAATTGGATAGAGCAGGATCCATGTCGGCATGAAAAAGGGGTTGGGTCAGCCAGGGCTGGCCACATACAGAGGGGGGGTTCCCGGCTGGTTAGGGCTTCATGTCCATGTGACTCCCCTACTTAGGAGGGCGTCCATCGCCATCCGCCCCGGTCCAGTCCTCAATCTAATTCATTATTGCACGCAGGGATGCGGAGAATGGGTCGCACGTTGTCGATTCGACTGGCCGGACTTGGTTCCCCGATTGGCTGGGTGTGGGGATGGTTCGTCCGTTGGATAATGGTGCGCTGTGACTTGACGGTGCGGTAGGTACCCCGGGTTTGCGTGCATTGCTCCCAGGCAGGATTGGAATGGATGCATGGATCTGGCTGGAGGCCAACGATAGTGGGGATGAAATGAGAGATCCAGCTAGAATCGAAATATGAGCGACAACGTGGCGCCGGATGGATAACGGTGAACAGACAACAATCTAGACTTGACTATATACACTTCACAGCAAAACATTCTTTTGCAACATCGTAGTCAGTAGCGCCAACAAAGAATCATCCGCACACGGCTAGACGCCTTTCCCAACCGACTCCTCTCCTGTCCAATTGCCTTCTCCTTGACCATGTCAAAGGAGCACTCGGACTCCCCTGGCTGCCTCGAATATGAAAGTCCAATGTGGCGATCAAGGTAGTTCCTGCTCAACCACTCCACGAATCCCTCGACATCGGCCAACGTGCTCATTGCCCCAAGGCTGACTCGTACAATACCGGTAGCCTGCCCGTGAACTTCTTGAATGGGATGAGAACAACGATGACCAGCGTTCCACGCGATCTTCATGTCTTCCATGTTGGTCCATCCAAGGTATGCCATGCCGCCGGGATTACAGACACTTCCGCTGCGGAGGTATATCTTGTCTTTATCTGCATGCCGTTCGACGTCTGCATACCCATGAATGTTCCCTGACGGATCGAGGACAGAAAGAGCGACGGTCGGTCCTTGAAGGGAGGGATCTCCAAAACCGGGTTGTTGTGAGCCGGTATGGATCCGACAAAGTGGGGAGTTATTTGAATGCCGAAGAGATGCCAGCTGTGTATATAGATGTGCCGCTAGATAGGCGCAGTGGGAGGAGATGTTGCCCATGGTGCCGAACAACTGGCGATGAGCCTCGATGGCATGCGGAATAGCGGCAATGGAGTGGAAGTTCAGGGTACCATCTTCGAGGATGTCGTGCAGTGAGTCTGATTTCATTGCGTGCCAGGGAGATATAGTAGACGAGGAAGAGTTGACGACCATGTCGACAGTTCCGCCGCCAAAGTACCGTCGTTGCTGGAGCATAGAAGCTGCGGCCTTGCGGACTATCAGACAGCCAACATCAGGATAGCCGAATATCTTGTATAACGAGACCGCCGTGAAGTCAGGAGCGGATTCGGCGGTTGAAAGATTCAGGGGAGCGGTGGATGCATATGCGGCGGCATCCCATAGAACATATGTATCGCTATGGCTTCGGCGAATCCGAGCCGGCCTGAAGATGTCAGTCAGGCAATAAGCTCTGAAAAGATGAACACACCATGAACGAGGTGTCCGTCTTCCGGTCATGTTGCTCTGCCCCGGATATGCAAACAAGGTGACATCCCTCTTGCTGAAACCCTCCCCCCGGTCAATCCAATCTTCAACGGCTCGGTCGCTGCGTAAACACATGCTTCTACCGGTGGCTATCTCGCGCAATCCTACGAGGCTCGTGTGGGAGTCCTGGTGATATACATAGTTGAAGCCGCGTCGCTTGCTGAACGGAGATGCCCGACGGGAGCGAGCATAGTTCGACATGCACTCGCCCACCAGTTTAATTGAAGCAGTGGCATTGGCTGTGAAAACGAGGTCAAAGTGGTTAGGGTCTGCGCCGAAGAAGTGAAGTAATTGTATTCGAATGGCATCGACCCTGGCACCGGAAACCCTAGATGGGGTGTTGTCCGAATGAGGGTTTCCATACAGGCTCGACTGGAGGTCCAAGGCATAGGAGCGGATCAAAGACCGTGCGTATATCGTAGACCCGGCGTGATCCAGGTAGATGACCTCCTTCAAAGTAGGATATTCGGCGTCCCGGACATGCTCAACCGTCTCGTTGTACCCGGATGCTGCCGTGACCTTGTCTTGTACTCGGTTCATAATCGTCGATATGGATGAATCGCAAAAGAAACATTATGCTACAGAGACTGCGAACTACGATCAACCACGTTCGCACCGTCCAGGTATTTAATTGAATCGCCCGCTGCGTAGCACTGCGTCCTCAACGGAAGCTGGTCGCCTGATGCCGCACTTCCCACGGCGCAGCTTGGTCAGCGTCAGCTGGGATGACGCTGAGCACCGACTGGCTGGATTTCCAGATGGATCGCAGCCCCTGAGCGTTCGCTGCGGGTGAATCGTCCCTGGTCGCGCGTGTATACCCAGATGGCGGATCTCATAGGCCGACCCTGCCACCATGCAGTCCATATTCAAACGTAACGGGGCGGTTCACGAGCAAGAGGCATATCGACCAGGGCATGAGCCAATCCGCGGGCAGAATCAGCCAACAGTCTCGAGGAAAAGCGCCATCTCTTGAGAGGTCAGCTCATGACTCGACTTCTGGGCTGCTTGGCCAGGCGCCTCTTGTGTCGCGGGCTCAACACCCGTCTCTCGCAGCAAGGGCCAGCTAGAGCAAGGGGCCGTTGCGCAACCATGGCCGTCCTCGAATGCTCGAGGATGGAAATGCTCTGATGTACAGCGGCACTCCGAGGAGGCTTGCTGAACCTGATTTCTAGTCGGCCCTCGACGCCTGCTATGCGAATCAACCGGTTTGCGCCTCGTCACCAGGCTAACGCCGCGGATATCACATCGTGCTGTCTGGATTATCCACGGGTGATTGGCACATCACCAGGCCCATGCGTTAGCCACCGGCCGAGGGTGCCGTGGAGGGCGCGAAAAGGCTCTTTTGATAGATCTGGGATGCAGACCCGGGTGCATTCCAGTCCAGTCTGCAGAAGACTGCGAGTCGCACCCGCGCATTAGAATTCAGGAAGGCGCAAGTCACCTTCGTTGGGGAACTCGCAGACCCGTGCGAGCGAATGCAACGTGGAATGCGGTTGCACATGAGATAATCTGATCTCACGCCTCCAAACATACTCTGGTGTTGACTGTCCTCTGGTACATCGCCTGAAGTAGCCCCAAGAGTCAAGGGAACAGGCAAAGAGCGGGGGATCCTGGTCTGTTCAGCGATCGGCAGGCGATAAGATGGAATCCCCGGTCGGTCATTCGCGGGAAAACGAGGGCAGCATCTCGGTTCAGCTCGGGGGGCAGGGCAGGGTTCACAGCCACTGGCCTTGGGGTGACGCAAGACTCGAGTCTCGAGTCCGCTTACAAGGCAGTCCGTCTCGTTGGATCTGGGGTGTAGTGCAAGGTATGTCGCGCATCAGGAGTTCGATGAGCAGTGAACAGTCGATGGACCAGACTGGAAGAAGGATGAGGGACAGATGTGATTCATGCAGTCGAGCCCACTGCCAAGTGAACGGTTCTTCGCCAGCTGAATCCATTCAAGAAAAGTCTCCCGATCCATGGAGGAAGGACTTAATCCATGGAGGATTCCTTAATCCATGGAGGAAGGAACGGTGCTCAGTTGGAGCAAGGCCCGTCACACATTCCAGCGTTTCGGACTGAGCCCTCGTGGCACAGGCCTCTATACTTGTTCTACATCTCAGCAGTATACGACCGATCACCTCAAACTGCTTCATTAGTATTCTCTTGCTATCAACCATTCGGCCGCTGTTGACTCTGGGTTATGTACTCGCAATCCTCACTTCCTGGGCAGGCACAAGGGCATTGTTCGCCTGCGAGCAGGCATCAGACTCCTGATGGAGCAACCTGCAGCAAGGCAAGGGGGCTTTGGATTTGTAATCGAGGTAACCATCCTTCCTCCTTGCTCTACGCAGACTTCTCCCTCCAGTTCCCTTTACCCTCTCAATCTCTTCCTCAAAAACGGTATTGGCAGGCGTCCATTCAAGCGCTCTGAGCCTCCCTCCCTTCACCAGAGCGTTTCATCCAGCCTCATACTATACTCCTCAATGAGCGATGGACCAGAGTCTCGATACTCCGCACCGCATGCGACCGTTGCAACGGCTCGATCAAGTCTCCCATTCGCTGGGGTATTCACCATGAGCCTTCCGACCGCAACGGCCGCCAGCAACCGTTGAAACATACCCAACTACCCATAGCGAGTCTCAACTGGGCTCTTGCACTCTCCGACCGTGCTTTCGCTCCTGATACTCTGTGCCTTGTCCTGGCAGCTGCGGCTGCGGCTGAGCCGCAAATCTCAGCTCCACACGGGGGCGTAAATAGGTACCTATAGAACAGCCCTGATCTTCGATCGGAGTGTGTCTCAGATCCTGATACTAATAGCTCGTTGCTACACACGAGGTGCGCTGACCAGTTATCCCCTTGTCCATCATTTCCTCCCTACCCTACCGGACGGGGAACGTCTTTGCATCCGCGCACCACAAACGAGCCCTAGAAACTATACCGATGGGAAAAGATCGAATCCATCTCGCGATGAGAGCACGTCATCTTCGGATTGCTAGCGATTGAGATACGATCCAACTTCGCATTCATTGTCCATCTATCTCGCGCCCGTGCCAGTCGTGAATCGCTAGAACTACACCGTTAGATGTCTCGTCATACACTGTCTTCCAAGGTTAGGTTCAGAGATAACCTTGGAATCCTCCATGATAGGTAAAGCAGTCGCAGGTGCCCCTCCTAGTCCCCGACTTTGCTCCTACGGCGCTCTCCACTCCACATCTGCCAACTGTCACCTCATCATTCCGAAACGCACTAGCAACTGCTGTTGCCGGCATGAGGACGGGCAGAACCTCGGCTCAGTCGACCACAAGACATGACTCCGTATACACTGTCCATCGCTTGCGTGCATGATCTTTGGACACGGCCTTGCCTAGTGCGACACGCCGACATCGCTCGGGACTACGACGGAGTAATACCTTGTACTCGGCCGGTGGCGGATGGATGTAGATTAGCCAAGGCCGAGCACTGCGGAGGACAAGGCCATTGTGGAATGGGCCCAATATAGATGTAGATTGACCCGTATTGAGTACGGCCGTTCTAGATCCGCTCTCACCGGCCAGGGTCTACTCTAGACGGCGGAGGCTTCCGTAACCGGGAAATGCATCGCCAACGCCACTATGGGCCTCTGCCGTGTCTGCTGCGTCCGTGAGGGATAGCGATGAGGCTAAGAATATAGCACCGGGGCTAAAATAGCACCGCTGCATAGGACCGTAGGAAGGGTAGAGCAATGTTGTCTGAAGGTACGTAGTCTGGCCATAGCCCATTTCTCTGTATAAGGTCCTACCGTGATCCCAAACACCGGGTATAGCGAACAAATGAAAAGACGATAGAATAGAGCCGCTAGCATCACATTTAAACTCCATATAAACTCCGTCGAAGGCATCATATTCGATCCTCGACCGTCCTCCGTGGCCCGATCGAGGATGACCCGCGGTCATGGTCATGGTCACTCGCATTGCCGTCTTCCGTATGCACGATCACCTCCGTCGTCTGCATGATGCGTGTATTAATCGACGACTTCCGCTTGCTTGTGGCGAGGTTCTCTTCGCTCCCGCCGTCGGACCCAGAGAGTGAAGGATGGTTCGCGTGGATCTGGACGTGGTACTTTTGTTCCTCAGGATCCATCCGGCTGCGATGCATAGATGCCAGAGCATGGCTGTTCGGTCCGTAGTAGGCGTTTTCCGCCCCCGTTCGTTTTCGACTGCGTGATCCGTAGCCTGTTAGGCCTTTTGTGCTGCCTATCAGACTCTTTGCGAGAGGCTTAATGGTCGGGAAGCAGGCGGCGATAATGCCGACGTTGAGTTCGACTCTACATGTTGTCAGTATTGTTCAGAGAATGGGGCCGGGGGCATGGGAGGCTGACGAGTTCCAAATATGGTAGTTGGCGTCGCGGTATGCTTCGCTCTCTTGAAAGATGCGACTTTGCAGGACGGCTTTTACGATCGCCGCGGCGCAGGCACTTTTCTCGTTAATTGGGAATTCAGATGATACCAGGGAGACGTACAAGTATCCCAGACTTAAGATGCACATGAGGGACGCCCTTGTCCGTCGGTTGACTTGGATGTCGTGAAACATGAAGACCGGGAGGGTGGCGTAGAGGAAGTCGGTAACGATGTTGATCGCTGTGATGGTCAGGTTTAGCTCTAGTATGGATATTGTCTCGACGTACAGCTGTTGAATTTGCCAATCTTCAGATAGGTCGCAGCGGAGTAGCACTTGGTGCCTTCTTTCTGCGCCACTTCTGTGTCCCAGGCAGCTTCCGGGGGGATGCATTGCAGTATCAAGGTCAACATGCAGGCGATTGTGAATAGAACGAGGAAGACTAGAGAACGTTAGCCCGAGTCACGGCCAGGGAGTTGGTCACGAGCCGAGTGATCCGATGATGAATTTCTTCAAGAACTTCTTCTGCGCCGTGAATCGGAGCAGGAAGAACCCAATGGAGATCTTGACAAGACTGATTCCCAGAACGATGATGATCGCATGCGCCCAGAACCACTTGGTCAGCTCTCCAAAGTCACCGTTGGCAAAGATGGCTTCGTAGAACTGACCCAGCCCATGGTGACTCTCGCCGACAAAGCACGCGAGGACCCCGAACGAGCACAGCTAGCCAACTGTCAGAGGCGTCCTTTCTCTAGGGAGTACGAACGTACCATTGAAGCCACCATGATTCCATCTTCAATGTAGAACCGGCGCAAGACGAAGAGTCGGACGTAGCAGCGCAGTACGACTAGGAGGGCAGCGAGAGCCGTTAATGTGCCCACGATGGCCAGAATCCGAGGGCTGTTCGATGAGAAGTCGACCTCCGACCTGTCGATATCCGTCGCATATTGTCGCGCTACCAGCGGTGGTAGATTGCTGATCGTCATGTCGGTGTAGGTCTGACGACCAGAAGGGAAAAGCAGCAAGATCGCAGAGGGGCCGAAACAGATCCTTTCTTATACAGTCTGCACCCACATCCTGTTAAATGACCGTCGTGACAAAAGAGGATGAGAGGCCGGCGATGAAATCTATCGGCCAACGGTATGATAAACAGCGAGTTACGATCAAGCAGTGGCAAAGTTTATCCACGGTGTGCTCTGGTTTAAAAGGCTGTCATTTGCAGAGGATCAAAGAAGGATTATCCCACATGGCAGCCAGCACACATGGGGGAAAGCGCTTACGCAGGACAAAGACAAGGCTGGGGAGCTCGCTCGTGGCTGGATCAAGGGATATCCCCGGAAGCCCAGATTCCAGAACACGGCCCTTGCCTGGAATGTGTATCTGGCCTTGGAGCTATCGATACGTGAAACGAAGGCCAGCAAGGGGTGCATTCTCAGGCTCTGTACGGAGTATTTTTGCGTACATACTCTGTATGAACTTTCAACTCCCAGTCTCCCAGCCGTTGGGTTGCATCAAGCCACGCGGGAGGCACGAGGCATGGCTTTGGCACTTGAAGGACCACCGACAAGAGCCCAAGGCCGGAATTATGCCGTAAGCTGAAGGCTTGGTGCAGGATTGTGGCAGAGGCCAAGACCAATAATTGTCATCATCCCTGGCGGTTGAGGAAGGGGCAGGTGCAGTCTGGACAACGACACTCGACTCTTCTCCTGTCATGCTGTCAGTGCTGAGCTTGGACTTGGAGATGTGCAAGTGGCACCGCGAGTGATGATCAGGCCGGGTATCTGTGAGATTTGGAGATTTGGAGAGCGTGATGTGATGCTGATCCGGATATCCTCCGTTGCTTTCCAGGAAGGCGCACCCAGACCAGAAGGACAGATCCTGAGTATCAAGGACATTGCCTCCTATTCCTCCGTGCTCCTTGGTATATTGCTTGTATATTGCCACCATCCTCCTGACTATCCATCTCTATTGAAATCCATGTATTCCTCTAGTCCGGAGTTCTGCCCGTCTGGGAGCCCTTCCGGTGGCAGGCGTGAGAGTGAAACACGGCAGGGGCCAGAGAATGAACGGTCAAACCTTCTTTGAACGCTGCTCCACCTGCCTAGGGCACAGTGTCCACCCTGCTTGGGGCAAGACTCCAAGTCTCAGACGGTGGGGGCTGGTCCCGTCAGGGCCGATGCGCCCGGTACGCGGATACAGCTGTTCACCAGCGGATTGGCCCTTGAGGGGATCGACAATCGATCACATCGTTTTCAAGGTTTATCTCGAGCCGTCAAAAGAATACGAGCTCTTTTTCGAGGTCAGAATATGGTGAGTCAAGCAGCAATATTAACCACAGCAGGATTTACCGCTACCATTTCCTGGCAGTTTAGCTAATATCATTAGCATTCCGACTCCGAGGTCTTCCGGGGCTATGGTCAAAACAGGGATATGTTAATCCCTCATGATCAAAGAGAAATACTCCGTGCGATCGAGATTGACCCCATAAGAAACCCTGTCAATCCGACTCTAGCCTGGAGATGGCGCCTTGGCCAGCCCTAGTCTCGCCCGCCAGATGCCTTGCCTGGATGCAACCCAGCACACATTCTTGTTTCATATTATCATTCAGTGGTTCAATGCGCAGAGTTCCATCCAGAGAAAAACTAGGAAAAGATACCCAACCACCCAGCGACCTGGTCGTTTTAGGCTCAAGCCCTCGGATACCCCGGACGCCCAAGCCACAAGGCAGCGACTAGCAAGCCCACAGGCAGACTAGCAACGCCCCTAATGCCGCTAGTTTAGATTGCCATTTAGCGAGATTCCATGGGCCGATGCTCTACAGTAACCATTGTATTATGGCAATCTCCACTCGGCTCAGTGGCAGCGCCGTCCCGTACGCCATCAAGTCTTCGCCGTCCACGCTGCATGGAAGGCAGCATTCATTCGATGCATCGTCTGTCTCCTACCATACACAGCTAGCACCGCCAGGCCAAGCTCCAACGGCCTCGTGGCGACCTCGGACGGAACAATAGAGCATTCTTTGAAAAGGAGCTTGCACACGGTATAAGAACAATCCCGGCCGGTACGACGATCCTTTCTTTCTTTTCTTTCTACTCCAGGCACCCTCTGTTTCATCTTACCCCCTCCTCTCCATACCCTCGCCATGCGCTTCTCGCTCTCCGCCGCCGTGGCAGCCCTTGCGGCTGTCCCTCAAGCTTCGGCCTTCAATGTCGACCAGTGGGATATCCTCGCGGGCAAGGCGCTGGTCAACCAGATCGAGTACCAGTACACGAAGCCACGGTACTTTAACAGTACTTGCACTCCTCAGAATGCGGCCATCCGTCGTGAATGGTACGCCTCCGTTGCTCTTGTTGCTGCGCATGGCTAATCCATGCATAGGGGCTCGCTGAGCAAAAGGGAGCGCAGAGAGTACATCGACGCCGTCCAATGTCTGATTGACTCGCCATCCAAGATTGACCCTTCATTCGCTCCTGGAGCGCGCACACGATTCGACGACTTCGTTGCGGTTCACATCAACCAGACCATCTTCATCCACACAACCGTACGTCAGTCTACAAGTTCTTCATAGATGATACTAATAACGCAGGGCAACTTCCTGACATGGCACCGCTACTTCACCTGGGCGTACGAACAAGCCCTGCGCAATGAATGCGGTTACAAGGGCTACCAGCCATACTGGTCGTGGCCCAAGTACGCCGACGACCCCCTGAACTCCCCCATCTTCGACGGCTCCGAGTACAGCATGTCCGGTGACGGCTCGTACATTCCCCACGAAGGGCCTACCGCAGCCCCCGGTATCGTTCTTGAGCCCGGCCACGGCGGCGGCTGCGTGACGTCCGGTCCTTTCAAGAAGTATGCCCATCCCATCAGCTCTTCATCATCACTTTTCTTAAAGCATATACTGATGAATACCAGCTTCACAGCAAACCTCGGCCCCCTAGCCGTAACGCTCCTGGTCCCCGGCCTCGACGTCCAAAACGGCACCGGACTCGACTACAACCCGCGCTGTCTCCGCCGCGACATCAACGTCGACGCCGCCTCCTACACCAAAATCGACAACGTCCTCGACCTCTTCAACCGCTCCACAATCGCCGACTTCCAGTCCCGCCTGCAGGGCGACTTCGCCAACGGATACCTGGGCGTCCACAGCGGCGGCCACTACACCATCTCCGGCGATCCCGCGGGCGACTTCTTCGCGTCCCCCGGCGACCCGGTCTTCTACCTGCATCATTCAGCCATCGACCGCGTGTTCTGGACGTGGCAGAACCTGGCGCCGCGCGAGAGGACGTTTGTCGTTGAGGGGCCGACCATCCTGCCTGGTCTGGGCATTGAGAACCCGGCGAATGCGACGCTCGATGATGTGCAGTATTTTGATGTCCTTGCGGAGGATCGCACGATTCGCGAGTTGCTGGATACCACGTCGGGGCCGTTTTGTTATATTTACCTTTAGCTTTGATCTGTGAGGTCGATGTATATGTTCCTCACGGTCGGATGTACCATAATATACTTCTTTCCAGGCATCATAGAAGCTTTGTTCATGTCTTACCAACTCCACATCTTGATCTACCAGCCATGTCAGCGGTGCTATTTTTTTCATATCGACACAAATTTATTCTTATCTCTAGGTATACAAGTCCATGTTTCTCAAACTCCCAACTGCCTCCTTACCGCAAGCCTCGGGAAGCCTCGCAACTCCATCTCGCCGCGCCTGCACCACTACCGTACCCCAATACTATATCCCTCTGCATCACCACAGACAGTCCATCGTGCCTCCCTAATCGCACAATATCCCCAAACCAGTCAACATACTCCAACAACTCGATTCTTATTCTTGTGGATAGCCTGTCGCCGCATCACGTGTCCCGACTTACGTAACAGCCCTGAGCCTACCATTATCACGTGATGCGGTGGATCCGTTCCACCGTGGAAATCCTTGCTCTTGAAATTTCTTTTATCAACGCAACTTCTGAAGCACATCACATCCACTATCCGATATGGTGTAATGGTCAACATCGGTGTCTCTCACACACCAGCTCGGGGTTCGATTCCCCGTGTCGGAATTGCTTTTTGCTTTTTGCTTTTTGCAGGTTGTTTGATCTGCTGGATACCTACCGGATGCGCGGTGATAAGGGGTTGGTGTTTTTTGCGGGAAATCCGGGTCTTGACACTTCCAAAGGTGGTTGGGTTTTGGGAGAGGGTCAGTTTCTAATGAGATTATTGGGAGCTGTGAGTGCAATTGAAGAAGTTTGATTGCTTGATCCACCGTATATTTCCGAGCACGGCTGCCTATGGATAGGGTAGGGTAGGGTAGGGTTTCATGATCAGACCATCTACAGGCTTGGTCTTGGTGCATGTGCATTCTGATCGAACGCAGCCGCTGCCCACTTCTCCTCGACGTCCTCCGCGGCATCATACGAGAACAGCCACCCCCCGACCCCGTATCTCCGCCAAACCAGCGGGTCCTCTCCTTCCCTGAGTCCACTCGGCAGTGGTCCCCTATTCCCAGCTGCCCAGTCCCTCTCGACGTCCTCAAAAGCACGCATCTTGGCATCCCTGTCCTCCTGCTCGACTCCGTCATTTAGGTGGTTCAGGTCCTGCTGAATCGATCCCCTCGCGACAACGGTCTCTGTCCGCTGTTTCCGGCAGTGCTCGTAGACTGCTAATGCTTTCTTTCTCTCGGCCTGTGATCTAGACTCAAGACGTGCCAGGCACTCGCCGAGGACAGCCGCGTCTTCGAATGTCATGCCTGCTCCGCTAGCGAGATACGGCAGTGTTGCGTGCGCCGAGTCGCCGAGGAGGACTAGGGCTTGCGATGGATGGACCCATGTCTCGAGGGGGTTGCGGATGCACAAACGCCAGCGAAGCACCGACGGGCAGAGGGAGAGGAGTTTCCCGATATTGGGGTCCCAGTCGCGGAATAGACCCTGCATTTCGTTGACGTAGCCTTGGAGCGTGGACGGGCCTTCTTCGGGCATGTTGTCTGGCACAAGCAGGACGAGGTTGAGCTGGGTGGCGTCGCGGAGGGGGTATGTCACTGCCAGCCATCAGCATGTACCAACTTCATAGGCATGATGGGGTTGGGGTTATTGAGTGAGTGGGACGTACCAACATGCGCCCCAGGCCCATACCAATAATTCACGGCTTTTTCGTCGAGATACTTCGTCAAGCCCGGGTCTCCAGTCTTGCGGATATCCTTCGCGTCAAGAAGAATGCGGTACGCCATATCACCCGTCCGATGCGGCGGTTCTGGTAGTCCCAGTAAGATCTCCCTCGTGCGCGAATTGATCCCATCAGCGCCAACAACCAGATCAGCTGTCCGCGCCTCCTCCCCCTTAATATATACCGTAGCCGTACTCTCATGATGAAACTTCACATCCGTAACCTCCGAATCCGTAAACACCTCCGCCCCCAACTCCGTCGCCCTCCCCAGCAAAAACGCATGTAAATCCGCGCGATGGAAATCGTGAAACGGCGCCCCGAGCTCGGTTCCAGCGCGCGCGAAGTCCATGCGCGAGATCTGCCCGCCCTTCCAGCTGAGGATGTTGCATGTCTGCGTCGTCGAGGCCTTGGAGTCGAGATGCCCGTGTGTATCCCATGCCCGTAGGATCTTTGTACTGTTTGGGAGGCATTGGATGCCCGCGCCGACTTCGGATATCTCGCGCGCGGATTCGAGGACTGTGACTTCGTGGCCGGCGAGACGGATGGAGATGGAGGCTGCGAGGCCGCCTAGGCCGGCGCCGATTATTATTACCTTGGTGCGTGTTAGATTCTGGTTTTGAGTATCAATAGTGGGCAGTTGGATGCGTACCTTAAGGGTTGAGCTTGCATCGCGTGGCTTCGGCATTGTTCGGGGTCCTGGTCTTTGTTTTGTTGGCATTGTGTGTGGATATTCCTGTATTCTATGGTGGACGATGAATGTCGCGAGGCGGGGGCGTTGCGTGGTCTTCATACATGGCTGTCTTAGGGTGGGGTTCTCAATTCTCAAGAGCGTATATCTAAATGGCCGTAATGCTGATCGGATAACTCGGACTCTTGATATAGGTACCTATTCGACCAAGGATGGGGGTTAGGGATACCTAAGGGTGGAGGTTGGCGCCTTGATCGCGATTGTATGCTGTATTTGATGGGCCGCATGGCTGTAGGAGTTGGAATGGGATTCCCAATGATTCCCCCGGCAGATCGGTGACGCTCTGGGTACTCATTGATGAACTGATACGGCTGACATCGGATTCTCTCCAGGTCGCAACACTAGAATGCTGGGAGAGGGGAATCGTGTTCGTTCCGCTCAAATCCATCACGGAGCCCGCGCCGACCCCTCCACATATAACTCTCGACCAGTGCCGGATACGCACGGCACCAAAATGCGGGGAGATGCACCCCAGAGCGCCAACTGTGGGGTTCGGCAGTTGTAGCCCTCATCCTCGGTTCTGCAGAGGCGTGCCCTACCTATCCAAATGCAAGAAAAGGCCTCGCCAAGTCATGCAGGGCTGGACGATGAAACCTTGCTTGCAAAGGGGACTGGACGCTATACTTTTCAAGAAGGACCAAGCCCTCGGATGGCGCAGGAGTGTCAGTGCGGCCATGCAACAGTGCGCATCTGGCATGTGGTCGACACACTCCTCTACTCGAGGTATTACTCTGGGTCCGTCGTGTGACCGGGTAGATACCCTACTTCATCCGTGGATTGAGGGTGTGTCCTTGGGATACCGAGGATCTTTGGATGAAGAGGCCTTGAAGATGGTAGTACTGAGATAACTGCCGACAGTGTCCAAGACTTCCAGTGCCGGTTGTGGTGGTGGACAGGCCTTCAGATGAGGGTATAAAGAGGGCTAGAAAGACCCTCGAAATATGGAAGTGGAAGAGCAGCAGAGCAAAGCAAAGCAACCAGCCCACCAAGACCAAACAAGCCTAAGCCCAAGCCCCAGGCAAGCGACTGCACCATCTACCAAGCACCATGAAGCTTCAACAACTCGCCATTACCCTGTTCGCTGCTCTTGCAGCAGCAAACCCAATCCCCCTGGAGGAGCGCCAGCGTATGCTATCCCCTCCACCCACGCTGTTAGAGATAGCTCAAGCTAACAACGGGACACCAGTCACCGGCAACGAGCTCCGCGTCGGCACTTGCGAAGACATAACCTTCATCTTCGCCCGCGGCTCCACTGAGCTGGGCTACCTCGTGAGTGTTCCATATCCATCATCAGTCAGATCCCTATAAGCCACCCACTAATCCATCACAGGGCAGCACCGTCGGCCCCGCAACCTGCAACGCGCTCAAACTCGCGCGCCCCGGGTCCGTCGCCTGCCAGGGCGTAGCACCCGCGTACATCGCCGACCTCGCCTCGAACTTCCTGCCACGCGGGACCAACAGCGTCGCCATCAACGAGGCGAAAGACCTCTTCAACCTCGCGGCGTCCAAGTGCCCAAATACCAAAATCGTTGCGGGAGGGTACAGTCAGGGCGCTGCCGTAATGCACGCCGCTATCTCGGAGCTTTCCAGCGCCGTGAAGGATCAGATCAAGGGCGTGGTGCTGTATGGTGATACGCGGAACCAGCAGGATGGCGGGCGAATTCCGAACTTCGACACGGGCAAGACGAAGATCATCTGTGCGTTTGGGGATCTGGTTTGTGAGGGGACGCTTGTTATCACCGCGGCGCATTTGAGTTACCTGGATGATGTGCCCGATGCGACGAGCTTTCTTTTGGGGAAGCTTTAGGGCTTGCTTGAGTGAGTCATGAGATGAGATTGAGGCGGGTTAGGAGAGACTCTGGACGGCTTCTCTGATCGATGGGTCGGAGGGATCAATCTGGGTTGGACTGCATGTGCTGGATTGCTTGCACTGGTTTAGTTGATTATGGTTAGTGAAGAACAGAATGTACCTTGATGATGCTTGGGTATCGAGTACGTCCTCATACTGGAAACCTACAAAGCAGTAGGCTCTGTCTTCTAGGTAATTGAAGGAAAGGCGGTTTCTGTGACCGGGAATGCGTAGCATATAATGGGATAAATCGGTGAAATTGTGCTCGCGATGCGAGTGCCGAGAATTGTTGAGATGGCCTTTGATATGCGTAAAGTATTTAGACAATAGCCCTAAAAGAAACCGGTTGCGGTCCGGATTCCAGACCTAGGATCCTGTTGGCCCTCTCCAGCATAGCACGCTGACCCTGTGTAATGCCGGGTTCCTGGGCGTCCCACTTAGAACGACCAATACTCCGCAGGCCGTCATCGGTCACAAAGTCCCATTGCCGAATATCCGCCTCCGTGACACGGTCAACGTGTTCGTCCTCGCCCTTGCCGCCGGGGAAGTCAGGAGACAGCCCGGCAAGGAAGAGCCAGCCTACAGCAAGCTGTTCTGGTGTTTGTGGAGCCTAGACAAGCTCCTTGCATCAATGTTTGGTCGGCCTTGCCATCTACGAGACGACGACATCAGCCTGGAAAGACCCAGTTCAGTATTATCGTCTCATCGGGAGCCACGGACCCCATTCGACATCTGGCTGACCCTCTGTACGCGTTGCTTCTTGTTCACCTCATTAATTATACTGACTCTTTCGTCCCTCGAGCTGCCCTAGAACTCTACCATCACGCAGTGGAAATTGTCTTCCACCGCTTGGTGGAAGCTCCACGCTCAGAACCGAACAACATGGCGCATATTCAACGTGGCCTCGCCGCCATTCGGATCCAGTCCATCGTTGCGACGGAGTGCCAGCGGGCCCTTCCTCCTCTGTCTATCATTCCGTATGCCATCTCGCCAGCCGTGACCGTCTTCTACCAGCAGTATCGCCCGACCAAACTGATCACACAACAAACAAGATTGGCAGCCGACCTTGAAGCATGCTGCAGCCTGCTCGAAGAGCAGCGCATCTGGTGGTACTCAGCCGAGGTAATGGCCCGGCTCAGCCACCAGGCACTACAGCAGATCCGGGAAAGTAACCAGAATATTAACCCAGCTAGAAGCCGACTGGTGCCACAGCAGACCTCCTGGATCATGCCGCAGGAGATTTGAGGAGCCAACCATCCGGATACTGCCGAACCGACACTCTCTGTCAGGCGCGCGGGTTTGGCGAGGGCTCCGCAGTCGATGAATTCACAGAACAAGCCAGAGCTGCAGTGTGCGGCTGCAATGGAACAGTATAACGGTATCGAGATGCAGGACTGGGGGATAGGGCATATGGCGGATCTAGATACGTTGTTTGACGACTTTTTGGATTTGTCGCTGCCGATGAATTTCTAGGCTCGGCCATGGCCGGGAAGTTCGTGCCAGTAAGGCTCTTCCATGAACATCTGCTTCGGTCTTAGAGCCAGGTCATTTTGCGCCTGCTGTATTGCCATGCCTATTCGCAGTTTTCAATTGCCTTAGGAGGTGACGCCGGGACGATTGTTGAGGGCGAAAGATTAAAATCCGGGATTCTGTCTGGTACAGTTAGGGCATCGGTACCTTGAGTACCTACAATGCCATCCACGCGATCAAGTAGCAGCATACTTGTCATTTTGAGATGGGATTGTTGTAATGCTACAGGAGCGGAGACGTTGACGCAATACTGCATCTTTTGGGTTGGGTCGCGCTGGTTAAGACGCAGCCAAATACCCCTTCAGCACATCCTCAGGAACGAGCTCTGACAGAATTTCCTCGATATAGCCGGCCACGGTAAAGTGAGTCCCTCCTTCAATTTCGTGAAGTACGCAATGCGGTAACCGTTCGGCCATATAGCGAATCATCTCAATCGGAGGCTGCGCGTCTTTTTGGCCATGCCAGATTCGGACGCTGTTGTAGGTGACGTCCTCAAACCGAAACCCCCAATCGTGCGTCAAGAGAACGGCTTCCTGCACAGTCGCAGCACCTCCCTGCGCGAATGCTTCGAATACCATTGCCAACATCATTTCGCGCCGTTCCTCGGTTAACAGTGCACTATCTTCCGCGCTCTCTTGCTTCTCGAGCCAGTCATCCAGCCACCGGGTTGCAGGGCTTGTGCTCGCGGCCCAGCGGGAGACACCTACAAAAGCATCCAAGATCACTCTAAGTGCCGTCGGGGAGTGAGTCGCCGCGAGCGATGTCAATTTCCTTCCCGTCGAGACATACTGTCTCCCTGCTTCCCAAGGGCCGGCTCCCGCTATGATACCTACGCCCGACAGTCTCTCATGCGGTAGCGAGTGAGCACAGGCAAGTGCGTATGGTCCGCCGCCAGAGCCTCCCAAAACCACGAATTCCGAGATTCTTAGCGAGTCTACCAGTTGCTGAATATCAGCCGGGTAGTTCATGATCCGGCGATTGGGCTGGAATGTGGATAGACCGTATCCAGGCCGATCCGGCGCGACGACGCGGAGATTCCGCTGCCGTGCTAGGTCGTCGAATGCAGAGCCCTCGAGGCGCGACGACGGGAAACCATGGAAATACAGCAGTGGAAAGCCTTTAGGGTTCCCATACTCGGCGTATCCGAGAGTGCGACCGTCACGGAGGGAAAGAGTTTGGCTGTTCTGCGGTGCTGTCGCGTATGTCCGACGTGTTGTGGCGAGAGAGTTCTTGAGACTCAATGAAACACCGCCTGTCCTGGACCATGTCCGCATCTTGAAAGGGAACGAATGAGTGAATGGTTTTAGTTCCTGTAATTTCGAAGCGAGGACCGAAGAATTTAAATCGACCCGTGCAGACGTTCGGGGCGAAGGATCACGAGTCTTAGGCGCGCCATTCCACCAAGTCGAAAGTCGCCAAGGACAGCGCCACAGGGCGATGCAGATGCGCAAACCTTGCCCGTGTATTGTTTGCATTAGCATTTTGTATAGATTTTGTATAGACCGGCTCCACTGTTTATGGTTTACTGTGCCCGGTTAGTCCGGAAGTGATGAGGTCATTATGCGGTGGAAACCTCACCTACAACTGGGGTTGAACCTCCCCAGTAGGAGACTCGGAAGAAATGGTTCATACGTTCTTCCATAATGAGGTATGTGTATAGGGCTCTTCGTCGGTGCTCTCCCCTGCAAAAATGGCGCGGGTTAGAAACACTCACCACAGACATTCTGAAAAGGCCTCGCGATGACAAAGAGCGTGTTGTTATCCTGGGATCAGGATGGGGAGGGTATACGGTGTCTCGCAAGCTCTCACCCAGGGAATTTTCTCCGGTCGTCATATCGCCGCGGTCATATTTTGTCTTCACTCCGCTCTTGACGGACACCGCTGGCGGTGACTTGGATTTCTCGCACATCGTCGAGCCAGTTCGGCATCCCACGATACGGGTGGGCTTTATCCAGGCGGCGGCGCGTGCTATCGACTTGGACCGCAAGATGGTGCTGTGTGAGCCGACCATCGTCAAGAGCGGCGTCACGTTAACTCATACCGAGGAAGACGAAGGGGGTTCTGGCGTTGCGGATAAATGGGAGAGTAGCGAAACATTCGAGATACCGTACGACAAGCTGATCATTGCGGTCGGAGCCATCAGCAGAACGTTCAAAACACCTGGCGTAAAGGACAACGCCATCTTCTTCCGAGATATTGGTGATTCCCGCCGTGTCCGACGCCGGGTCCGCGAATGTTTTGAGCTAGCCATCTTACCGACAACCAGCGACGAACTACGAAAGCACCTATTGCACTTTGCCATCGTTGGCGCCGGTCCCACTGGTACAGAGCTCGCGGCAGCATTGCGGGACTTTATCGCCACAGACCTCATTACACTGTATCCAGCCTTGGATGGTTTGGTACGGATCTCGCTGTACGACGTGGCGCCGAAAGTCCTTTCCATGTTCGACGAGTCCTTATCCCGTTATGCTCAAGAAACGATGAAGAAAGAGGGGATTGATGTACGGACCTCACATCATATTGAAGATCTCCGCTGGGGAGCTCCCGGCACAAAGCCGCCGTACGAGAAGGACCCTCGTAGCTGCCTGACACTCAGAACAAAGGAGGAAGGGGAGGTCGGTGTTGGAATGTGTGTCTGGGTGACGGGAAATGCCATGAACGAGCTCATCACTCATTCCCTTCGTGGCGTTGAGGTGTTTCCGACGAAATCAGCAATCATGAAGGACAAAACAGGGCCAAAAGGCGCGTCACAGCGCTCCTGGGCGTACAAAAAGGCACCGAAGACAGGCGCACTGCTCGTAGACGGCCATTTACGCGTGCAGCTGGAAGACGAGACCGGGAATACGGCGGTTCTTCAGGACGTCTTCGCCCTCGGTGACAATGCGATGCTTGAGCACGCTTCACCCCCAGCAACGGCGCAGGTGACGGCTCAAGAAGCCAAATGGTTGTCGGCGCGACTCAACCACGGCGATTTGGAAAAGTCGCCTCCATTCTCGTTCCGTAATATGGGTACGCTCGCGTACATTGGGAACGAAAGGGCGCTGATGCAACTGCCGAACGAGGAGGGCGGGTATCTTCCGCACAAGCTGACAGGGAGAGCGGCCTGGTTGGTTTGGAATTCGGCGTACCTGACTATGACGATTAGTTGGCGCAATAAGCTGCGCGTAGCATTTCGATGGATGTTGAATCGGCTGTTTGGACGTGACATTTCGCGATATTAGCGCGTTTTTGTTGCCTTTCCCACGTGTTGCATGATTGTGGCGGTGGGTTGCTCTGGAGTTGTGGTGCAGAAAAATATATCTGAATGAAAGTCCACCAGCACCGAGTCACTGACCCATTCCCTCGAAATCTAGAAATATCTCGAGGTCGTATCGTGGATATTCACAATGTTAGCGCCATTGTTTGATAAAGAGAGAATTTGATGTTATCTTTCCAGCTTCAACGACTGGGTGCTTGTCAAGCAGATTGTGCCTTTATGCGTCCTTATGCATCTTAGTGACTACAATTAGTCAGCATCTCCGCAGTGAAGCAATTGTGATGGTCCGATGGACGTCCGTGTTCCCCGCTTCCTCCGCGTCGCGTCCTCCACACTCCCGACCGCTAGCCCTGCTGCTATGTCCAGGGTTCCGGACTATTACCTCCTGATGTATCGCAAGACAGCCTGCGTCATCAGGACGCTTTTCATGTCATGTCGAGCGACCTGAGGAGGCCGAGAGCAGGGGCCTGTGTGACTTGTCGGTAAGTGGTCTGAGCCCTCCAGGGCTGACCCGGTTGCTACGAAAATTGACACCGAAGATTGTCCTTGATAGATCCCGCAAGCGTCGCTGCATTCCGAATCCGAACGGAGATGGCTGTCAACTGTGCTACGAGATAGCAAAACCCTGCAGCCTCAGTATCGCGTCTCGCCCCGAGAGAATAAACAATGGTGGAGAACACCTGCCGACTGGCGGAACTGGGCTTTCGAGCTTCCCCTTGGACCTGCCATCACAAGTCTCGCCGATCGTGCCTGAGACTCCTCTCGGAGAACTGGCGTCGCGAGAACTATGTGCCGAGCTCGTTCAGCTGTATTTCCGCTTTATCCATGACATAGCTCATACGATATTCCACGAACCTACCTTCCTGCGACGCCTATATGATGGCACAGCGCCCATGATACAGGTGTATGCGATGTGCGGACTGGCTGCTAGGTAATTTTATACGCGTGCACGGCATCGGATACTGAACACCATAGTAACATCGACCGTATAGATTCTCTAGCAATCCGGTCTTTGAGGGCACCGCTCCTTGCGATCGTGGAAATGTCTTCCTCACGGAAGCGGTTCGTCTCTGCCAACCATACATTATTTCTCCGAGCCTGGAAACGGCTCAAGCATTTCTCCTCATTGGGTACTACTTCAGCGGGGAAGGCAACGTGGATGGCAAGCACATATATGTCGGATTGGCTCGGCTGCATGCCGAGAGATTGTCACTTAACAACAACTCGAATGATGTTTACCAGGAGGAATACCGACGCACTTGGCTCTCAATCCACATAACAAGCCATTGGTCGGCCTGGGACATGGCCATGGATCCCCTAAGCCTGCCCGACGAACTGGAATTTATACCTAAGATCGATGACGCGACGTTCCGTACCGCCAACACTGAGCTAGTCAATGTGAACCATGTTCAAGAAGAATTTCGCTGTGACATGTGGGCTCAAATGGCGCGCACCCTTGGAATATTCGCCAAGGTCAATAACGCGTTGCGAAGGTTGAGCCGCAACATGATCTCGTTTGATGAGTATTGTCTGCAAGCAGCCGAGCTGGAAGCTTCACTAGACCGGTGGGCGGACAATCTGCCGCCCAAGTTGACCTGGAACTTTGACAACCTCATGTCACTGGCGGGAAGACGGCTCGGTCAAATATATCTCGCGATGCACGTCGGCTTCTTCCATTTCAAGCAAATGCTCTTTTTCCCGTTCCTTAATGCCAGAGCCGTCAAGTCTTCCAGACTCAACGGAGCGCTGAAGTGCAAGGACGGCGCATCGACAGTCTCGTCTATCCTGCAGTACTCCAAGAATATCAGGGACTGCGAGCTGGACAATTTTATCTACGGACACATTGTTGTCGTCAGCTCGTGCGTTCATCTCCATACTCTGTTATTCAGCGATGATTTTCGCGAGCTCGCAATCACACGACAACGCCTAGTATCCAATTTCCAGTATCTGATGGCACTCAAGTCGTATTGGCCGATTGTTGAACACATTGTAAGTCTGGTAAGCATGGTCCAGTAATGCCTCGTTAACAGATTCCAGGCCATTCAACTACGAACATTCCAAAACTCCTGTAGGGACTCAATGTCGGACCCATTTGTGTTAGACAACTGGATGGTGCGCTTCCTCATAGAACACTCCTCCCTGCTGTCAGAAAGGCAGCTTGTTCAATCCGCCGAATCTGAACCGCTTGCGGCGCCAAACTCCAAAACAGTCTCTGGCGCTGCTACTCCTGCTATGCTGCCTACCATCGAGTTCCTCACTACATATGCAGATGGAGACAGCAGTTCAACCATTCCAGAGGAAAACTTAACCCAGTGGAGCGATTTATCTCAACTTCTACATGATCGGGAAATAACCGGAGAAGCCCTAGTCGACAGCGCCCTCAGTTGGCTATTGGATGATCGAGGAAGCCAGGTTACTCCGGCATGACACCTTTCGTGCATACTTATGCACTAAGGTTTCCTCCCTGGGTACTAACTGTACGCGCAGCAGCAGCGCTTGCTATTATTGCGCCGCTGTGCTCGCTCGGACAGACTCTTCATCAATCAGCTGAGTGAGATTACTGGAGCAGTACCGTGGCAACAACCTCCCCCAATGACCAACGAGACCCCTGTCTCCGCTGAACGCATTGTTGCGTATCTGAATGCGACGTGGCTTATGTTGGGCATAGTTTTCCTTGGGATTAAAACTCGTACGAGGCTCCGGTCGTTTGAAATTCGTGCTCACCGGTGCCACAAGCCCGTCGATCTCGGCGCGAAAATGTACGACTGAAGTACACTTAATTGGCACGGTACATACAAGACACTCGTAGATGTGATCGCGGTCCCATGGGGGTTGGACTCTGGGTTTGTTGCAGGCTTGCAATTTAGCCGAGAGCCTAAAGTCAGCGAATCGGCTTTTAAAGACGCCGCCTATTTCTCCACGAGATCTCCGTATCAGTAGGTCTGTTTTGGCCCACACTTGCGAGCAGTGATCATGCTCTGAGTACAACTCCAATCGGGGATCACTATTCATGGGCCGTCTCCCGGCGTGTTGTCCCCCGAACGGGATCTGGCACGCATTCCGGAGTGTCCGAGTTGGAGTATAAGAGTGCGTAGCTTTCCCACTGCGCGTGTTGAGGGACTCTTTCCATTGAACAATACCATGGCCGGAAAGTTGTTTCTAGCATCTCCAACAGTCGAGCAGCATTCCTCCGGCTTTGGCGTGGGAACAGCGACTCCACGACTCTCCTGGCGCTTTCTTGATGAAAGCTACCCACGCAACTGGAGACAGACTGCATGTCATATTGAGGTTACCCGCGGTCCCGACTCGGAAACAGAAACCCATGTAATAGCCGGTGATGCTTCGGTCCTGGTACCGTGGCCGAGTACGCCGTTGCGATCTCGAGAAAGGGCCCGCGTACGGGTTCGCGCCTTCGGTCGCGGGGAAGACCAGCCTGAGGTGGAGCCAACTGATTGGTCGCCCTGGACAGCGGTTGAATGCTCGCTGTTGAGCAGGGACGACTGGATTGCGCTCCCTATCACTGACCTGACAGCTCCAATCGATGCCCCGATACGTCCTATACGATTCCGCAAGACCTTCGATCTCTCTACAAAGGGGACCATTAATCAAGCACGGCTTTACATCACGAGCCTGGGGATTTACCGAGCATTCATCAACGGCCGCGAGGTTAGCGACCATTGCCTAGCGCCGGGCTGGACAAGCTACCGCTATCGACTCAATTACCAGACCTTGGATGTTGGGCCTCTTCTAAAGCAGGATGGTACGAATGTAATTGCTATCGAGGTTGCAGAAGGCTGGTATGCGACTCGGCTGGGCTTTTTGGGCGGACGAAGGCAACTCTACGGGGACAAGATCGCAGCCCTTGCACAACTAGAAGTTCGGTTGGAGTCTGAGACATTTTCTCTGGGCACTGATAGTACCTGGGCTTGTCAGCCGAGCGCAATTCTGAAGAGCGAATACTACGATGGCGAAGTCTACGATGCGCGCGAAGAAAACCCAGACTGGAACAGCAACTCCCCTGACAAAACGAGCAACTCAGGCTGGCACCCTGTTCAAGAGCTGCATTTCCCAACTGCTACTTTGGTCGCTCCGGATGCGCCTCCGGTCCGGATCACGGAAGAGATCAAACCTATATCAGTGCAACAGACACCATTAGGGAAGACTATTGTTGACTTCGGCCAGAACCTAGTTGGCCGGTTACGCGTCAGCTCACTGATCAAACCATCCGGGGCCCGCGTTGTCTTGACGCATGCTGAAGTGTTAGAAAACGGAGAACTGGCAACTCGACCATTACGCATTGCGAAATGTACGGATGAGATTGTTTGCGCCGGAACAGAGTTGACGGACTGGTCGCCTCAATATACGTTTCATGGATTTCGGTATGTCCAAGTCGACGGTTGGGATGAAGAGAGTGACGGCTCCTTGCTTGCCAATCTAACGGCCTTGGTGATGCACACTGACATGACTCGGACCGGTTGGTTTTCATGCTCAAACCAAATGGTGAACCAACTCCATAAAAATGCATTATGGAGTATGCGGGGAAATTTTGTTTCTATTCCAACCGATTGCCCCCAGCGCGATGAGCGTCTGGGTTGGACGGGAGATATTCAAATCTTTACCCCATCCGCGAGCTTTCTATACAATACTGCTGGCATGCTGGGCGAGTGGCTTCAAGACGTCGCCGTGGAGCAGTTCCATGAAGGGAAGGACGGGTGTATCCCACCGTTTGTTGTTCCGAATGTCATCTCCAAAGAACTTTGGCCTCCCACCCCGCAAGCACAATGGGACGATGTGGTTATTTTGGGACCATGGGCGTTATACCAATCATATGGGGACACCGACATTCTCCGCCGACAATACGACAGCATGCTAGCTTGGATCGATAGAGGCATTCAACGCGGTCCGGATCGTCTTTGGGACCCCGATGTGTGGCAACTAGGCGATTGGCTTGACCCGACGGCACCGCCAGTCGAACCCGGGGATGCCCGGACGAATGGGACGTTGGTGGCAGATGCATTCTTGGTGCGTATTACCTCTGTGATATCGCAGATCAGTCAAATATTGGGAGAAATCGCGGACTCCAAGCGATTCAGCCAAGATCTTGAACGGTTGAAAACTGCCTTCCAAACCAAATACATCGCACCATCTGGCCTGCTAGTAGGAGATACCCAAACAGCCCTAAGTCTTGCAATCATGTTCGACCTCCATGCTACGGCCGAGCAAGTGAAAGTCGCTGCAAACCGGCTAGTTAATCTAGTACGCCTCGCACAATTCAGGGTAGCCACCGGGTTCGCGGGAACGCCCATCATCACCCACGCCCTAACAAAGGGCGGCTATCCACAAATGGCATACAGAATGCTGCTCGAGAAGCGCTGTCCATCCTGGATGTACCCGATAACCATGGGTGCCACGACAATGTGGGAACGGTGGGACAGCATGCTTCCCGACGGCTCGATTAACCCAGGCGAGATGACGAGTTTCAACCACTACGCCTTTGGCTCGATTATTAACTGGCTTCATAGCACTGTGGCAGGTATTAGCCCCTTACTGCCGGGTTGGAAGGAGATCAGGGTGCATCCGATCCCCGGCGGGAATATTACATCTGCGGAGGCGGTTCATGAGACGCCGTATGGGCGGTTGGAATGTCGATGGAAGATTGAGACCGACGAGGGGGTTTTTATGTTGGATCTTCTTGTTCCGCCAAATTCGAGGGCATTGGTCACTTTGCCTCGCGATGAGAAGTTGAGCGGACAGCATAATCGGGAGCAGCAGGAGGGGACACGGGTTGGGTCTGGACGGCATCGCTTTGAGGTGCCCTTTGACTGGAGCAAGTACAGTAGTGACTGGCCGCCGAAACCTAGGATCCCTATTATGAGACAGCCGGAACCGGATTGTATTGCCTGATCCGGATATTTCGTTGCTTTCTGGGAGCTAGATCTGAGTATTTTGCACCAACTATATAGAGAAAAAAGCAACCCCCATAGGCATTGGGGCTGTTTCCGTGGCACAAAGCTGCCTCTAGAGCTAGTGACATAATCTAGATGACTGATATAGAGAATTACGAGTTTGTCTCTGTTGCAGAGTTTGGAAGATTTGGCTCTTGATCAAACTTGCCTGGATTGGTAATCAATGATCGCATCACCAGCCTGCATAAGCGGCTTCTTTGTCTGACCACACCAATCATGACGCAAGGACGTCGCGAGATCATTATGCATCCTTTACAAATATGCAGTCATGATGTTTGCTTCTGCTGGAGGGTCAGCATATATAGACCTGAGGGGGCTGCATGGTCAGCTCCACGGTTAGTGTCATGATATCGTTGCACTACTTTGCCCTCTCACAATAAACATCACTTGTACAACATGTCGCGTGTCCAGCTGCTCTATCGAGCCCTCCCTACCTCCAAAGCAACGGTCTTCTACCGCGAGGCCGGCGCACAGACCGCCCCGACCATCCTCCTCCTCCACGGCTTCCCGTCATCCTCGCACCAGTACCGCAACCTCATTCCTATCCTCGCGACAAAGTATCGAGTCCTCGCACCAGACCTACCAGGCTTTGGGTTCACCACCGTCCCCGAAGGTTTCCAGTATACCTTCGACAATCTTGCGACGGTGATTTCGGAGTTCTTAGACCAACTCAAGATCAAGAAGTTCTCCGTGTACATTTTCGACTATGGTGCGCCCACCGGCCTCCGAATTGCATTGCAGCGCCCAGACGCCGTGCAGGCTATCATCAGCCAGAACGGCAATGCATATGAAGAAGGTTTAGGCGCGTTCTGGGATCAGATCCGCGAGCTGTGGTACAGCAACAACGAGCCTAACGTCCGCGCCAAGCTTGCGTCCGCATTGCTCAGTTTCGAAGCCACGAAATGGCAGTATGAGGAGGGGACGCAGGAGGAAAAATTGCGATCGCTTGCCCCGGAATCGTACCATCTGGATTACGCCTTGCTGCAGCGCCCTGGTAACTCGGAGGCTCAGCTCGACCTGTTCTGGGATTACCGAAATAATCTGCCATTTTACCCCAGGTTCCAGGAGTACTTTCGAAATTCGCAGGTCCCCTTGCTGGCTGTTTGGGGCAAGAATGATCAGATTTTCATCCAACCTGGTGCGGAGGCGTTCAGACGTGACTTGCCCGGTGCAGAAGTGGTCCTGCTCGATGCAGGACATTTTGCCGTTGAGACCGAGACAGCGGAGATCGGCGAGTTGATCCTGCACTTCCTGCACAAGAACAAAATATGATGTTTGTACGTCCAGTAAGCATAGTGGTGCGCTCGAATTGGGTTTGTTGGATGTCACAGTTGTTTTCAGAAACAAGATCCGTAATAATTGAAGCTCCAGCTTTTCAGACTGTGGTTCCTGAAGAAAGGGTTGATTCCTTATGGTAACGAATCGCTTGTAGTTCACTGTACATCTTGTCAGCCAGGTCAAAAGATGCCCGTGCAAAATCCCAAGTCCGATACCGGTAGCCCTGATTTCAAAGCTCGTAGCAACAGCCCATCCCACGCTTCCGCCGACACGAAGTGATCCTTGCCGCCACAAAGTCAAATGAGCAAAGTGAAGCTATTCGCACACAACCGAATGGACGGCGGCGTGCACAGGGGCAGAAGCCGGAGAGCGGAGCCGGTCATGTGACCGAGCCGGGCATGGAGGAAACCAATGAAAGAGAAAGCCAAGACACGGCGAGATGGAGACGTCTCTTTTGTTGGGGCCAATGGCGATATTCATGTTGTCACTTAGGCGACATTGCCCCCACCATCCCGCTCTTTCTGGGCCCCGGCTGATTCTGAACTATCCGAATGACAGGGCCAAGCAGCTGGAGGCTTCTGTTGGCCGGAGAGAGCCGGGTTGAACGAGGCGGTCCGCAAGGGGTTGCCATCAAAAGTGCTCGTGATGTCTTGCTGTATCGAGATAGCTTCTGAATTGTTGAGCTCTAGCGCTGCGGCTGTGGTGACGCCATTTCCCGGGGGTGTTTTGCTACCAGGAAAAGTCGGATCGATCGAAACTCTTCGAAGAAGCAAAAATGATGACGGGGTCTGGCCGGTTGCCAGCCGTTGGTGCGCGGTGGGGGTGGAGCTCGATATGGGGTTGTTATCGGGGTCTGTTCGCTGTATCAGTTCAGGGACATCCAATCTCAGGAACAGCTTTCAGCCATGATCTCATCACTCAAGATCCTTGGATTTGGCACGAAATAATCCTGGAAGGCGAGCTGTCCCTGGCGGCCCTGATTTGGCGTGGAGGCTGGAGCTGGATGGCTAAAGTAGCGCAGTGGCACTAGCGTGGAAGCAGTTAGAAGGGAGGAACACAGCCAAAATCGCATGTGAACCCCCCACTGCTGCGGTAAAGCTACCGGCCAGCTTGTCGCTCGCTGTGTGCTGCGTTTGCCTTCACCTCCCCCAATTCCTCACTCCTTCTCTTTTTTCTTTTCTGCAACTTCCTCCCTTGCATTGACTTGAGGCTGCCCATGCCCATCATCCCACGTCCTACTGCAGTCTTTCGTTGAGCGTTCAGTGCATAAGAAGCCCTCCTTCCCCGCGGAGTCCTTGTTAATCTCGAACTTTTCCTTCCTCCATCGGTCGCCACCTGACATTGCCGCTCCTTTGCAATTGATCATGGCCATCATTGATACCACGAAAGACCTCTCCGCTCTGTTCACGAAGCAGGTCCGAGCGACTCCCGACACGCTAGCTTTGGAGGATGACAAAACCACATACACCTATGCGGAGCTAGATAAGGAAGTTGAGGAATTGTCGCAGCGACTGCGCAGCTATGGTGTGAGCCGAGATAGCCTCGTCGGCGTCCTGCTACCCCGCAGTGCACATTTCGTCATTGCTTGTTTGTCGATCCTTCGTGCTGGCGGAGCGTTCCTCGTCCTGGAGTTGGCGTACCCCCCAGAGCTGCTCGCAGACGTGCTCGAGGACGCCAATCCCGCCGTGGTAGTCACTCACAGATCAGAAACCGGCAAGATCAAGGGCAATGTGCCCGTCATCTCCCTTGACGAGCCCGCCGTGGACACCAATGGCCACACCACCGAGCCTGGGCCATTGCCAGCTGATGACGACTTGGACCGACTGGCATTTGTCTCTTACTCCTCCGGCACCACCGGCAAGCCGAAAGGAATTGCAAACCCTCACCGTGCCCCAGTCCTCTCATACAACTTGCGTTTCGGCGTCCAGGATCTTCACCCTGGTGACCGCGTCGCTTGTAACGTCTTCTTCATCTGGGAGATCATCCGTCCCTTGCTGCGCGGTGCCACTGTTGTTGCCGTTCCTGATGACCACAGCTACGATCCGGCGGCCCTCGTCGACCTGCTTGCCTCGAAACAAATTACCGAGACCCTCATGACACCCACCCTCCTTGCCACTATCCTTTCTCGACACCCTCATATCGGCTCTCGGTTACCGGAGCTGCGCACGTTATGGTTGAACGGCGAGGTCGTTACCACAGATCTAGCCCGGCGGGCGATCAAGGCGCTGCCCAACACCCGACTGCTGAACTGCTACAGCGCATGCGAAACGCACGAGATTGCTTGCGGCGATATCCGAGAAATCGTAAACGACGAATCCCAATATTGCCCTGTGGGCCCACTCCTGGATCCAGAGCACGCATACATTGTCAACGAGCAGGGAAAGAAGGTGGAGGACGGAACGTGTGGTGAGCTCTGCGTCGGTGGACCCATGCTTGCAAGAGGATACATCAACCGCCCTGAGACGACGGCAAAGGCTTTCATTCCTGATACATTTTCAGCGACCCCGGGAGCTGTCATGTACCGTACCGGAGACCAGGCACGTATGTTGCCGTCTGGCCTTCTTGAAATCACCGGTCGCGTCGGCGCCATGATTAAGCTGCGCGGATACTCCGTCGTTCCTGGAAAGGTTGAGAACGACATTGTCAAGCGCCTCGCCGTCCGCCAATGTGCTGTGGTCCCGCACGGTGAGGGTCTTGAAAGGCAGCTGGTGGCTTACATTGTTGCCGACGAGGAGCACTCTGAAGACCGCCCGGTAGTGGAAATTAACCCATCGGGACACAGTCCCGGCGCTCGACGAGCCCTGACTCAATTCCTCGCGCACTACATGATTCCAGCCTTGTGGGTGCAGGTTGACGAGCTGCCCACGCACGAGGTGTCGGGAAAGATTGACCTCAAACACCTCCCTCCGCCCCCGACGGAGGCTGCCGTTAACGGCAACGGACAGCAGGAAGACCCTATTGGCATTGAAGATATTGCTGCAATTTGGGCTGTCGCGCTGAAGATTCCCAAGGCAACGCTGAAGGCCGAAGACAATTTCTTTGATCTAGGTGGACATTCGCTTTCCATCGCGGATCTCTCTTCTAGGCTGTCACGTAAATTCGGGTTCCGCATCCCCATCGTACGCCTGGCTGAGAACGCGTCGCTCAGCGGCCACCTGGACACCGTCCGCGGGATTCGAGACGGACACACGGCTGCTGTACAGGCAGATTTGCCGGCTGTTCTTCGTGCCGATGCTACTCTAGACGAAGACATTCGCTCCTCAGATGCGAAGATTTGCTCGCTTACCGACGCGAAAACAGTTCTGCTGACCGGTGTGACTGGTTTCCTCGGTGCTTTCCTGCTCAAAGACCTTGTTGAAAGTACCTCTGCGCATATCATCTGTCTTGTGAGATTCAATGAGCCCGAGGATGATGACCAACCCGGCGGTGCAGCGCGTATTCGCCGCAACCTCCTTGACCTCGGCCTTTGGGACGACTCCATCATGGAGCGCGTCGAGATTCTCCCTGGCAATCTGTCTCGGTCGCGATTCGGTCTCTCTCCTGACGCATTCCAGGAACTGGCACAGCGTATTGATGTTATCGTTCATGCTGCTGCTTCGGTCAACCTGGTCTACCCGTACGCCGCTTTGCGCGCCCCGAACGTGGGCGGCACTCGCGAAGTCCTCCGCCTGGCCAGCCAAGGCGGGGCAACGGTGCAATATGTGTCGACCAATGGTGTGCTGCCACCGTCTGGAGAAAAAGGATGGTCAGAGGACACAATGCTGGATATGGCTGATGTGCCGACGAAGCTCCTGGACGGGTATGGACAGACTAAGTGGGTGGCGGAACAGCTCGCCCTGGAGGCTGGTCGTCGGGGCATCCCTGTCAAGGTCCACCGCATCGGCACTGTCAGTGGTCATAGCCAGACTGGTGCCGCGAATGCCTGGGATCTTCTCACTGCCTTGATGGTGGAGTCCATCAAACTAGGCAAATACCCGGACGTTGAGGGCTGGCGCGCGGAAATGACACCGGTCGACTTCGTCAGCAAAGCAATTATCCATCTCGCAAACCAGACTTCGGTTGACCACAGTGTTTTCCATATTGGCGACCCAGCCCCAGTGAACACCAAGTCTGTCTTTGAAGATCTGAAAGTGCTCGGTTACCCCACCGAGCCCCTACCCTGGGACGAGTGGGTAGCTCTCTGGACAAGCGAGCGTGGCCATGTTAAAGGTGGTGACGGTGGCTTCACTGTTGATATCCTTCGCAGCGGTATGCCTTCGATCGAGTTCCTGCGCGGTATCGTTGTTTTAGACACTTCTGCCACTCGCCCCATCCGCCGGGAGGTTGAGCGACCAAAGGTCGACCGGTTCCTCCTCGAGACTTACGCCCGGCATTGGTTTGCCCGAGGCTGGCTGAGAAAGCCTCCCGTTCGCCAGCGGCAGTTGAGCCCTGCGAAGGGTCCCCTTAGCGGCAAAGTGGCTGTTGTTACTGGCGCGTCGTCTGGCATCGGAGCTGCTGTCGCGACTGCCTTGGCTCGAGAAGGCGCCCACGTCGCGCTCGGTGCCCGTCGACTCGACGCCCTCGAATCACTGAAGACCAAGATCTCCGCCAGCGGCGTCAAGGTAGTCGCTTGCAAGACCGATGTTACCGACAGGAAGCAAGTCGAGGGCCTCGTGAAGGCTGCGACCGAGGAGCTTGGCCCGGTTGACATCCTCGTTGCCTGCGCTGGTGTTATGTACTTCACCATGATGGCGAACACCCAGATAGACGAGTGGGAGCGAACAGTCGACGTCAACTGCAAGGGTATTCTCAACTCCCTCGCGTCTACAGTGCCCGGCATGCTGTCCCGCGGAAAGGGTCACGTCGTCGCGATCTCCTCAGACGCCGGCCGCAAGGTCTTTCCAGGGCTGGGAGTCTACTCGGCCAGTAAGTTCTTCGTCGAGGCGACGTTGCAGGCGCTGCGCTTAGAGACCGCCGGGCAAGGCTTGCGGGTAACAGCCGTGCAACCCGGAAACACGGCGACCGATCTTCTCGGCATGTCCACGGATGCAGAGGCCGTCAAGAAATACGGCGAGCCGTCGGGCGCACAGATTCTCGACCCTGAGGATGTTGCTAACTCCATTATCTACGCTCTTCGCCAGCCTGAGCATGTCGCTATGAATGAGATTCTGATTGAGCCCTGGGATGAACCAATTTAGACGGGTATAGATTTGCATTTGCTGCGTTGGGTTCCTGTTGTGGGTGGTTTTGTTTCGGGATTCTGTTTGACGGCCTCCGGATTGAATGTTGCTTTGGGTCTAGGGCCTGCGTTGTCTTAATGCAATTTAGATGTATATAGGTAGAGGGCAACTAGTCGTTGTAATGAATCGCGGTTGGATTTCGAACCATGTGATAAGGTATGCTGCGGTATCTAGTGTAGGATATTGTCCAGTTGAAATGTTTATCGTGACAGACTGTCGGTCCGGAAAATCGGGCACAAGGGCCTCTTATATGCTCCGCCATCGAACCCCTGCTGAGGTCGGCCTATCAAGGGCACACCCCGCACATGGAGCTATCAATCAGCATCATGGATCTTCCACTTCGGAGGATTTCCGCAACTTACGCGCAGCCCCTCGGAGTAAACGTTCGTGGTCATTGTTCAACAAACCGCCTGTCACCGACCATGTGCTACTTATGCTCCAGTATTTCTACGCACCCGGCTTTCCCTTGAAAAAAGGTCCTAAAGAGACATGGACTAGCCTGAACTCGAATTTGCTGCAGAGACCGGAAAGATGATTCTATTCTTAAGCGCCCGGTATCGACAACTACGTCGTTCTCGTGCGGAGGTGTTCCCATGGTCCTTTCCGAACGCAGGATCATAACGGATGCCACTTGCTGCGACGAAGGACTGGCAAGACAGGACCTCATCGTATTGTCCCGAGTTGCTGGGGGTTTCATTCCATGCCACAATCCCCGGCTCCCGTATCAGCGAGTCAGCAGTGCGTGACCGGGGCGATGAGGCGTGGAGCAGAGCGAAGGAAACGGATATGGCCGTGGCCGGATGAAGCCGGTAGGAGACGGACTTGGGAAGTGATATTTGTTCTGCACGAAATCTGGAGAGGATGTTTGTTCGAACAAGGAGACGGCGTTGCTTAACGAGGAGGATGCAGAGTGCACGGCGTGGCTGCCACAAGGTCCCTGGAGAGGGGAGAGCTAAGTGGCGGCGCGGAGGCATTTAGACATCGAACAACAGCAACAAAGACGTAACGCTTGCTTCGGATGTGCGGAGGATGGGCGTTTCGTTCTTGGAAGAGTAGAGGCTCAGGTGTTGGTTCTGGCGGAGAGATGGTCAATATCAATACTGCTATACTAGCGGTTTGAGGAGAGATAGGAAGGGCAGATGGGCAGAGAGAGAAGAGGACTGACAACTTTGTAGTTATAGCAAGGCCGTCGGCGAGCAAGGAGTCTGGTTGTATTCGCTTGCTTCTGTTTTGAAACCGGAAGATGAGGCGCGGTGAAGTGGTGGGCAGCGGTTTGCTAAGGTCCTGATGAGCTTCTGGTGTTGGGCCATGGCCAACAGAAAAGTCTCCTTAGTGTGGAAGAAGGCAGGTAATATGGAAATATTGGCAGGGCTGAGGAATAGGCCGGGGTCCAAAGGATGGGGCTGGCCCAGGCAAAGATTTCACTGTCCAGTGTTTGTGTTCCCTCCCGATCTCCCTTCAACCTTCCCTCTCTCCCATCAATCTCCCTTCTCACCAACCTTCCCCAACTCTTTAAATTCAATCCCTCCTGCCACAACATTCGATCATGGCCGACTCTACGATCAAAGAGGAAACAGACAATGAATCTTGGAGCGATGGCACAACAGCGACAGACAGTGAAATGATTGAAGAGATCATTACCCCGCGTTGGGACATGACCATTCTATCTGACAAGATCAAATTCTGCGTGTCCGAGAAGGCACTTAGCTTCGCTCTTCAAGACCCGCTTTTAGAGGCCGAACACCAGGTGCTCCAGGTCTCCGAAGACCCTGATGCCCTCCGCATCGTCCTCAACATTATCCATCACAAGTCCGAGGCTATTCCTCCAGACCTGGAGCCCGAAATGGTTCTTCGTGCTGCACGCTGTGCTCGCTCTCTCGGATGCTGCTCGGTACTTGGAGGTTATGGAAGGGCTTGGTTACAAAGGAACCTTGAAGAGCTTACACTGGATGGATGACCTATGGAGACTACTGCTCTCTGCTTACGCTATGAACTTGAGCGATAGGTTCTTCGACTTCTCCCGCGAGTTAATATGTCGACGCCCCAGTAGTTTTGCGAGCTGGGAGTTCTCCCGTGCCCACATCGAGTGGCTACCCGCGGACATCCTCGGTATGCACTCTTGAATTCGCAGGGAGGAGCATTGCTAACAAGTCACTTTGACAGATCGGCTCGATTCGCAGAAAGAAACCCTCATGCGCAAGATTCAAAGTGCTCTTTGGAGCTTTGTCAATACGCTCGCCCCATGCAAATGTTGGTCTGCTTCGGAATACATCGCTGCTTATGTCCGGGCATTAAGGGAGTCGGAGATCTTGCCGGGAACAGATGAATTGACCAATAGCAACTTTTTGCAGATTCGTCGCAAGGTGGCCGCTTTGCCAGAGATGTATTGTAACTTCTCTGATTTCTGTGAATGTTCACCGACGCATGCCGGAGAGTATTATCAGCCCAAGCACCTGGTCGGTCTGCTGGACAAGTGCATTGAGGGTGTTGAGGTTGGAGTTTCTCTCGATATCGCATCGGGGAGCATTGAGACTACTCAGACACTTTGAGACGTCAGGTAATGATGATCGCATCGTTTGTTGTTCAAGGCATATCTCGTGTGTATTGGTTCTGTAGCTGAACCGCAGTGGTGATGAATGAGCTTATGATGTACACAGAACTGCAATGCACAAATTGAATTCCATATTCGTATGTAGTAGCAAGCCTTGAGGTCAGGTAGAGGTTTCAGGATTGGCGAATAAGCTCCGTCGTGTCAACTCTATGCAGTTAACAGTATGTGAGTGGGCTGCGAGGCTCAGAAATGCCTGGACACGGTCAGTCCGGGGTCGCATCTATTCACCAGCAACAACTTTCACTCAAACTCCACCTCTGACCATACCGACAATCTGAAATCCCCCCAGCGCAGCGACTCTGACTACGCCCACAATTTACCCTCCTCTGGCTAAACCACTCTGAGCAACGCCATCAGTCAACCCCACCAAGATTAACACCATCTCGGAAACCCGCCCAACACGAGAATGAATCTGGCTACGCCTCCGGTGGAAGTGGATTCTAAAGGGGATCTAGTCATCATTTGTTCTGGCATCCCATTACTTGTGACAAAGAGCGCTCTTTCCTTATCTCCGCGCTTGTATGAGCTTTGTGCGATTGGCAACGACAGCAGTCTCCGCCGCGGCGAAGCGCAATCGCCTCAACCAACACAACATGTGCCTACACCGATCTACGTCGCCGAAGAGCCATATATATTCCTCCTCTTCCTGAACGTTCTGCATCATAATACCAACGCCCGACCACGTTCACTCGATGCTGTTGCTTGGACTTCTCTTTCAGCCTTGGTCGACAAATACATCTGCAGAGTCGCGTTGCTTGACGAAGGACGAAGAGAGTGGCTACAACCCAGCTTGCAGCACGGGCTCAAGGCCGAGGATGTTTGGAGGCTGCTGCGATTTGCCTACAACCTGGGTTTACAAGAGGGTATGTCGGGTGTCTCAAGAACAATTGTACAGATGCGCTCCGAGCCATTTACCACGTGGGACTTTGCGAAGAACAATTTAGGGGACATGCCGAGAGCTATCCTTGGTAAGTTCTTGTTTTGCCTACACATCTTATTCAATATCCCATGCTCTTCTCTAATCGGAACTTTCCAGATCATCTAGACCGGTGTCAAGGCGTCCTCTTCTCAAGAACAATTCAAGCGCTCTCGAGCGTCACGACTACCATGGCCGTTTCGAGGTGCGCATCGGCGCAAGCGTACATTGGAAAATACATTCAGGAACTAGCTGCGAAGGGGATTCTACCGGAGACGCGGGCATTCCGAGAGAAGACGTATTTGCAGGTTGTGGGTGAGGCTCGTCGGATACCGGAGGAAATCTACATCAACTCCAAATGCGGGAGGAATGGCCCGGAATGCGAATGCGTAAAGCACATCGGGTTTGCGCAGAAGCAGCACTTACTTCGTCAGCTGGCAAGATGTTTGGATACCAACAACGTGGTACTGTGTTTGCGCTGTCTGGGCGATACCGAATGTGAAGCTCATCGTTGAGGAACCGTGGTTTCTATCTGTGTTATTTACTGGTTCTGGAATGGATGCTTGCTTATGATGCGATTCTTGTGCCGCGCCCATTGGGACATGTTCCATTAACCATACTCTGATCTCGCCGAGGGTCCACTCTTAGAGTTCCTGGTAAGCCCAACCCACTGGCAGACCAAAGCTAATTGACGAACAAGGGGTACTTAATGCGAACGTCACCCCAAGTGCTCGATTCTACTTCTTGATTTCTACCCTAGCCGAAGCCCCGTCTTGCGTACATCAGGAACCATGGCGGCTGAAGTCATCGAACCCGACGGCGATCTCACCATTGTCTGCCATGATACCTCCTTCCAAGTCTGCTCAAAGGCCATTGCCCTGGCTTCGCCTGTGTTTAAAGCTATGTTCATGTCGAACTTTATGGAAGGGCTGTCTGTCAAGAACTCAGACCCTTCTAACCCTGCCGTCGTCAAGCTCCCGGAGGATGATCCTGAAGCTTTCCGCATCTTTTCCAACATCGCACATCATAGATTGGACCGTCTGCCGCACCAGCTAGAAATCGACCAGCTAGATGGATTGGCCATGCTTGTTGACAAATATCAGTGTGCTTCGCTTATAAGGGGAGTTGGACGCTCATGGATCCTGGGCGCTTTGCGCAAACGCTCGCGCGAACGTCCGCGGGAAGAACTCTGGCTCTTGCTACATTTTGCATATGTCGTGAATTCCCAAACCTATTTTTCGGCAATCTCACGGGTGCTTGTGGAAAGCTCTCCCCAGCCATTCCTGCGATGGAAATATGCTAGGGACAATATGAGAACATTTCCCGGTGAACTTCTCGGTACGCTATTTCAATGGTATATGCCGCCTTCGTTACTAAGATGTCATGGTCTATGATTTAGCTCAGCTTGACCTCCTCCACAACCAGATCCTAGTCCAGATGCAGCTGGCTCTGATGGACCCCGTACTCTGCCTTACACGAAATTCGTGCTCAGAATGCAGGTTCAAGATCGATGGCTACTTATACAGATTGTTCACACTTGAGGGCGGGCTGATCCCATCAACACCGAGCTTCGGCAAAACGAGCATCGCGTCAATACTACAGAGCCTGTATAGTATGGAAGAAGACGCCCTTGATTGGTACATGAAGGAGTGCGAGAGGCACCCCATGCCTCCAACACTGAAAAACAGGGTGCCCGTGCTTGAGGACTTGAAAAAGCGCATCGGGGCCCTTAATATGTGTCTGAAATGCATCAAAGATGGATATTGTGAGAAACATGTTGTGGAATGAGAGTTTCATTACGGAAATAGTGTCTTTGCGGTGCTTGGTGTCAACCTAGTCTTCTTATCTATATGTTTGTTCAAAGTGGAATTTTGAGACAGATAGTTGAGTCATTGAGGTGCATTGCAAAGTACGGTGGCGTTTCTTCTTCCGTTGACCTTCGAGAGGCGTAAACCTCACTATCAACTACTGAAGAGGGAGCTTCGATTAGTATTTAAAGCAAGTGCTTCCTGTACCTCGTTCGAGACCGGAGTGTATGACAGAGAAGCTAACTTCTTGCTCGGCCGCGTCGCCGTTGAAGTTGAGCGCAAGGTTGACAACCGATATTTTCCCTCCAGATTTCTCTACCTTCTCCTCTATTCCACCACCTCGCCTATCTTCTCCATCCCCAATGTTCTGCTCCACCAAACCTTCGAAGAAAATGATGACTGAGATCTTGGATCCCGATGGCGACGTGACCATTACCTGTGGCGATACCTCGTTCCGAGTTTGCTCGAAAGCCCTGTCCTTAGCCTCGCCTGTGTTTGCAGTAATGCTCAAGCCCTCTTCCTTCAGGGAAGGGATGTTGACTGGGGATGCTGAGTCCGCCAACAGTGCTGTTATTTCCCTTCCTGAGGAGTATCTCGACGCCTTTCGCATGTTCGCCAATTTGGCACACCACAGACTCAGCGACGCCGGAGACCAACCTAGTGTTGTCCAGTTGGATAACCTTGCTTTATTCATTGCCAAGTACGACTGTACCAACATGATGAAGGATCGAGGAAATACATGGATTTCTCGCACGTTGGCTGAGGGGGACGTCAGCCAGGAACAGCTCTGGCTCCTGTTACACCTCGCCTATGTCTTGGACCTGGACACTCTTGTTTCGAACCTATCGCGTACTCTTGTACAAAGCCTTGCTGAGCGCATCCGAGATTGGGAGTATGCAAGGGCTAACATGAGGACGTTTCCAGATGGGTTTCTTGGTACGTCTCCTCATCCTATTCAAATGCTGCTCCCGCCACTAACATATACTTGCCACGAACGTAGCTCAACTTGACCACATTCACCATACAATGACCGTGGATATGGAGGAGACTATGATAAAACCAATCATTGCTCTGTCGTCGTCATCTTGCGAAGGTTGCCGGGCAATGCTTTCCAATTATATCCGCGGTCTGGCAGCAGCGGGAATTCTCCGGGCTACGAACAAGTACAGAAGAAAGAGTGTTCCTCAAATCTTGCAATCGGTGGCTACCTTTGGTGACGCCAGTTATTCCATCCATGCGGCCTATTGCATTGAGGGGCAAGCTTCTGCAATACCTCAAAATAAGGGGGCCCTGCTTGATAGTTTGAGATACCACACTGAACGTGCTCAGATGTGTCAGGGGTGCTTGACAGGAGGGGAGAATTGCAGGAAGCATAGACCAGGAGGCTGGAAAGGGGCAATCGCCATCATGAGTCTTCTCGCACTTGTCGTGGGCGTGGGCGCCATTTGTTGATTTGGGCATACGTTTATTCAAATAGTGCTGGCTTGGGCCGGTATTCAGGAAAGCTCTCGGCAAAGCTCTCGGGCAGGGGATATTGGAAGATCTGGATATTAAACAAACAAATTCTGTGAGAATAATCTTGCTTTTTACATTCTTAGGTTTGACGATTGATTTTGTAGATGTAGCTAGTTCGCGGAGCTATCACCGGCTGTGTGATCTGCTGCTTTACCTCTCCTTCTCTCCACGCGCCATTTTCCTCTCCCACTCATGACATCTGCTGAACAGCAAGGTATGCCTAAAGCCCTTTGTTGTAGTTACCCATTATTCGTATGACTGACCACCTTGCGCCATTTCTCTGGTCTTAGGCTTCCTCGTTGCCCTCGTTTTCCCCAACTTCCATCCTCGCGAAAACCCCCCATCATCACAACACAACAGCACCCGCAATGGCAAAATTCACATTCGACCCAGATGGTGATATCCTCGTCACCTGTGGAATCAATACTTATCGGGTATCCGCTAAAGTACTTTCGGCAGCGTCACCTGTCTTTCTAGCCATGTTCAAGCCCGGCTCCAAGGAGGGTTCTGCACTCAGGAAACAGGGGTCCTTGACTATTGATTTGCTCGAAGACGATCCGGAGGTTTTTCGAATCTTCTGTAATGTCGCCTATCATAGAGCGAATCGCCTACCGCGGAATCCGAATCCTGATCTCCTCCGACGCTTAGCTGTGTTTATTGACAAGTATCGCTGCTGCGAAACATTCGTCTTTCATGGTCAGATATGGCTTCAACAACCCATCAACAACCCCTCTGCCGAGGAGTTGTGGATGCTCTTACAACTCGCTTATGCGTTACGCCTTCCTGCACGCTTCTATCATATTACTAGCGCGCTTGTCCAGATTCGATCGACAAGTTTTCATGGCTGGGATTTTGCAGTTGATAATCTGGGGCCCATTCCTATAGCTATTCTTGGTAAGCCCTATACTTTTATGCACTTTAGGCCTATGCTCTAGTTGTTATCTGTGCTAATCGAGCTCTCGCTCATCGCCTTTTAGATATTCTCGATATGAAGCAAGAACAACTGGCCTCCAGGACCGCCGACGCTATCACGAACCTGCTTGGTGTTCTCAAAATACCTTTTGGGTCTTACCCATGTTCGACATACAAAGACTTCATCGCTCTCTACGTCGGAAACCTAATGGACTATGGAATCATGCCCGGTACAACTGAATACCAGCGGAAGAGCTTTTGGGAGATCTGGGATATAGCAGGTAGATTTCCCAGGGAAATCTATCTCGATGGAACGACTAATCACCATTTCGGGTGTGGATGCCGTACACACGTTGGATTGGATCAGGCAGAATATCTTCAAACTGGGTTGGAAGAGTGTTTGACGGAAGATTTGGGGGCATGCATGGACTGCTTCACCCAACGTTTCTGTGCGAGACATCCCAATCCACCTAGCTGAAAGATGATTCAGGAGTAGCAGAGAGTCGGGCAATACGAGGAAGGAGGTCTTACTCCCCCAGCAATATCTACTGGGCTGCGACTAGCCGCCGAACCCTAGCCTAGATAAAACAGGCTCATCTCATATCTGCAAGCATCAATAGCTCAATAACCACGTACTATGTTCAATGTTCTGTATGGAGGAATGATAGCAGGTTCATTTTCTGTTGTTGTAAAGCTCAAGGATTGACAGTGTGGACTGTGCTACGCTCTCGATCACATCCCTCTCTGATTACCTTGCTCTCTTACCTTATTCTTATAGACAAGTTCTTTGTCCATTGTTGTGGATCGGAAGTTTTTGAACCTCGCGAGGTGGTACCACTCCAATCGCGGACTTCAATTCCAGCGTTCGTCACCCCTCACCTCTCACCTCACTCTCCAACCACCCAACCTCTGATCGACCATTTCCAGCACCCACCGAGATGGCCGTCGAAGACTACGACAGCGACGGCGATATCTATGCCAGGTGCGGTGATCGCTCATTTCACCTCTCTTCCAAGAATCTGTCCATGGCCTCGCCGGTATTCAAAGCCATGTTCCAGCCGCGATTCAAGGAGGGCCTAGCGATAAAGGATCATGGCCATACCGAGCTCCCACTGCCAGACGATGACCCCGAGGTCTTTAAGGTATTCTGCGACATTGTCTACGTCAAATTTGACTTAGCCCCGAAAGATCCAGACCCCGAGTTCCTGCGCCGCATGTCAGTGTTCATCGACAAATATATGTGCCGCGAAGCCTTTAGTTACTACGGCAAGGTTTGGCTTCAGCAGCCGATGGATGGTCATACGCCGGAAATGCTTTGGAAGATGCTTCAGTTCGCGTACGTTGTGGATCTGGGTCCAGAATTCTCCGCCATCACGCGCCACATGCTTTTGACGAAACCGATGAAATGCCTTGACTGGGAATTCGCTGCTGAGGAGCTAGGTTTGATTCCTGACGCCATTCTAGGTACGTACTGGCTCTTTCTTTTGCGCCGCGGTATTAGGCCCCAGGGTCGTTGCTATACGAAGCTGATTTTGAATGCGCTTGACAGAGATACTCGGGACAAAGTCAAAATTACTTACTTGGGAAGCGGAGACTGCTATCACATACAAACTGGACAAGTACTTTTCCGGGATGAGCTCGATTTGTGACAAATGCAAGGCGTATATTGCGTCTTATGTTATTGAGCTGGCAAATCGTGGTTTGTTGCCCGGCACAGCATGCTTCAGGGAAAAAGACCTGCTGGAGTTGATCCATGTGGCGACTGACTTTCCTTCATCCACGTACAAACGTATCGACTGTAATTCTCCAGTTGGTGATTGTGGCAAAACTCTAGATCAGACTGAACTGGCAAGTGGTCTGAGAGATCGGCTAGTTCAGTGCCGTGATCAAGAGCACGGTGTGTGTTTGCCTTGCTTGAAAAATGGCCTTTGCGATCAACACTATGGGTAGCTTCGGACTCGGTTGACCATAGGTTGAGCTCTGAGAGAAAGCTGCCTATCCTTAAGATAATCTTTGCTTGAGCCACCTTCGCATATTTCACCTAGAAATGAATTCTTGAGGCTTCGGTAATCCATGGATGTGCATAAACAACCTTAGTAAGGATGTGGATAAACAAGTAACAAACAGAGTGTTATTGAAGCTGCTGACTTACTTCCAGCTTTACGCATCTCAGCTAGGTATGGCAATAAAAATGTTAGTATTATTACCTTGTTGATGTTGTTATAAATTTCACATTCCTTCTCCTGGAGGTTTTTTATCCCGCCTGATAGGCAGACAGGGAGGTGGCACCGGAGCTTGAAGTCATCCCACATCCTCCTCGTTCGATCAACTGTACATCTTGACCACCGTCAAATCGTCTCCAATGGCAGTGACAGTGTATGCCAACAATGGCGATGTCCACGACTCCTGCGGCGGAGGGACGACCTACCAGGTCTCGTCCAAGATTCTCTCAAGCCTCCCCCGTCTTCAACGCAATGTTCGAACCGCGATTCAAGGAAGGATTGACCATCAGCAAGGATGGACGCTGCGAGATCGACCTCTCCGGAGACGACAACGAGGCTAGAACTTTAAAACTACAATTCTTTTTTAAACCACCATAACTTTACTAATATAAGGTCTTTTAAAACTAAAATAAGTGGAAATTAAAGGCCTAATGCAAAGCTTTTAAAAAAACTACGCGCTACTATCCTAAGTTGCCTGGCTGTTAGAAAATTACTAACTAAACTTGCGATTAAGTTTCGCGTGTTTAAACATGTAATATATAATATAAAAAAACACTAAATTACACACTAAACTATATTAACTAAGCTTAAAAAGAAAAGGCCTACTATTATTAGCTAATTAACCACTTAATATTTATATTAAATAATATATAAATTTTCTAGGTTAAGCTAGAGGGCGCTCGCGGCTGGCACCCCTAAATCTTTTTTAATTTTAACTATAAAGCGTGTTTTTAGGAAATATTATATTAAAAAGTGGAAATCTAAAAAAAGAATACCTTTATCCAAAGAAGGAGTAAAAAAATAATTTAAATTTACTAAGTTATAATAAAAATATAGGGGTTAGAATACTTAAATATTTTTAAATAAATATAGTATTTAATAAAAGGCCTTACACAGCGTGTAATTTATCTTTTACTATTAAAAAAAAGGCTTTAAAAAAAATCTTGTAAACCTAATAATTTATAGCAAGCTAATTTTATAAATAGTATAGGGTTTTATTTAGTATAATAATTAATTAAAGTTAATAATTATAAAAAGGGACTCTAAGGCTAAAAAGCAGGGATACTCCGCAAATAGTTATATTTAAATACTTAAAAATAGCCTTATTAAAAACTACAAGCCTGGTTTTATATTTTAATAAGATAATATAAAAATTTATACTGCTTTAGTAACATAAGAGTAATTTAAATTTTATAATATTTAGGTGGTTAACTAGCCTCCGCACTTGCCTAATTTAAACCCTATTAAGCATATTTAAAACATGCTAAAGAGGCATCTTTTAAGGCTTTATTTATTTATTTTTTAAAAAGGAAGGGCTAAGACTAATTAAAATTACTTTTATAAAGTTATTTAAAATGCTTAGTAGGCTATCCCCCAGGCCTTAATTAATAAACTTATTAACTTTATACCACGCTAGATAAATATAGTATATTAAGCGCGCGGGTAGTATATAAAGTACTAAATAGCTTTAATTTATACTAATTTAAAAGTTTTAATTTATTATAGTTATTAAGTAATTTAATTTTAAAGTGGTTGCGTTGTACTATATATTTCGGGTGTGCATAGACTTTTGACCCATAATTGTACGGTCTTCCGAATCGTGCACTTTAAGCCAACACCATCAGACTCAGACCCCGCCCTATTATACAAACTGGCGGTTTTGACGGACAAGTACGATTGCTGAACCTCAGTTCTATACCCTTCCCTTGCCTGGCTGTCGCGGCAGCCATTAGGCAGTCAATTCCTTGATGATCTCTGGAACATCCTCCAATTAGCATATGTCCTAAAACTGTCCACGAGACTGTCAGATATCACTCGCGAGATTCTGCTACGCATCCAAGGTCGGTTTTGCGACTGGGAGTTTGCGAAGGCCAATTTGGGTCGGATGCCGGAAGCTGTGCTTGGTAAAGTCAACCCCGAACTGGAAACGCCTTTTTAGTGCTCTTGCAATTACTAACACCTTTGGCCTCCAGACATGTTAGATAAAAGCCGTAAGCAGCTGCACCGGGATACAAAGGAAGCGCTCTTGGAGTGGATCAGACTCGAAACTGGTGCCTCTTACCCATGCAACCAATTGCGCAAATGGATCGGCATGTACACCGAGTGCCTGATCAGCAATGGGATCTACCCGGGCACCGGCGAGTTCAGAGACAAGAGCTTTGTCGAGGTGTGTAGGGCTGCGGAACAAATAACGCTCAGGCCGAAAAGCGATTACAATCACAGCAGCTGTGGGTGTAGTGCATGACTTGACCCGTCCCCGCAAGCACTGTTGCAAGATGAATTGAGCGCATGCGATAGAGAGCTTGTGTCAGCCAATGGTGGAGATCGCTTAGTTCGATGAGGAAGCGCTGCAGCGCTTTGACAGCGCTCAGGCGCCTCAGGCAGTCTTAATTAAAATACTGCAACGCCTATTACTAAATTACTTGCTTGTATAATTATAATATTTATAGTTTTTTAAATATTATAAAGTGTTAGTAAAAGTATTTAAAATTTTTATTATTTTTAAAAGCTTAAATTATTTATAAAAACCCTAGTTAGCTTTAGCTTTAAAATATTATTATGTTTTTTATTTAATTTTTTAGTATTTATTTAATTAATAGCTTTTTTTTATATAGTAATTAAAGGGCCTTATAGTTATAAGCCTGGAAAATTATTTAATAGTTTAGTTTATTAAATTTTTACTTACCTTTTTTAAACTTTTTAAAGCTATTTATATTCCCTAAGTACTAGTTTTTTTATTATATAAAGGCCTTTTATAGTTAATTATTTTTTATACCTAGAAAGTTAAATATTAATTAAACTTTAACTTTTATACTTAATTTAAAAGTTATTATAAGCTTTATTACTAGCACCTTAAATATAATAATTTTTTTAAAATTTAAAAAAAACTAGCTAGTATAATATAACTATATTTTATATATTATAATTATTATAAAAGTTTAAAAATATTTTAATTTAAAAATAACTTACCAGACTTTTTTTTTAAGCTTCCTTAACTTTTTAAAAATAATGTTAATAAAAAGGTATTTATAATATTTAATTAAAAATAAAACCATGCTAAGTATATTTCTTTAAAAATTTTAAAATATTAATAATATTATATAAAAGTTAATTATATTTTTTATTTAATAACTTATTAAAAATAAGCTTATTATAAAGGTTTTTATTAAACTAAAGTAGTAACTTACTTTTATTAATTTTAAAATTAAACTTAAGGCCTTTAATAGTTATATTACTACCCTTATTATATTAATTTAATAAAAAAAAGTTACCTAGTAACTTTAAAATTATAAATATATTTATTAAAAAAATTTACACCTTAAATAACCTAAGGTTAATAATAAAATAGCTAATATAATATTTTTAAAGATTATTAATAAATATTTAATAGCTTATGCGGAGCGCCATATAAATTAATTAAATTATAAAAAACTTAGTAAAACTAATTATTTTACCTTTATTTTTAAATTTTAATAGTATTTTTTTATTATTAATAGCTTTGCTAAAATCTTTATAAAAAAAAATAGCCTTTATAATACTTACTAAAAAGTTAAATTAGTCCTTTACTAGTAATTTAAATATTAAAGGTTTTTTTATTAATAAACCTTCCTAGGCACTAACTAATAATAAATTAATTTATTTTTATAAATATAAATATATTATAAAGTTTTATTATAACTTTATATATTTATGCTATTTAAAGTCCTATAAAATAAATAAAAAACTAAAAAAAAATTAATAAAATACTTAAAAAAAATAATAAATATAGTAAAAAGCTTTAAAAGTTAAAAATTAAGAATATTAAGCTTTTTAAAAATAAAAAAAAATATTAAAAACTAAAAAACTTAGTAAAATAGCCAGGAAAACACGCAGTTTATAGTTTTTAAAAAATATTATAAAGTAGCCTTAGTATTTAGTATTTTAAGTAATTTAAAACTTTAAAATACCTTTATTTTTAATATTAATATTTTTATTTATATTTATAATAATTTTAGCTATTTTACCTTTTTAAATTACTTTTAAAATAATAATATTTAAGCTAAAAATATAACTATGGCTATACAAGGCTATAAATTAATTTTTATTTATTTAAAAGTATTTAATAAAAAAATTATACTATTTATATTATATAAAGTTATATATATTTTTAAATTTTACCTTAATATTATAGTAGTAAGGCCTTTTTAAAAAGCTAGATATACTTAAAATTTTAATACCCTTATACTTAAAAATAATAAACTAGTTTTTTATTTTAAAAATTATTTCTTAGGCCTTTAAATAATAAAACTAAAAAAAAGTTTTTAAAGCTAAAAGAGGCTAACGCTCTAACTTAATAAAAAGTTAAAATTTTAATTTAAAAAGTATAGCTTTAAAAAAATTTTAAAGCTTTTTATTAGCGCCTAAAATATATTAATAATAAAATACTTAAGTATTTTTTTTATAATAATATAAAAAATTAGTATTTTTAATTTTTAACTACCTAAGTACTATAATACTTGCCGGGTTAGTTAAGCTTTTTAATAAATATTTAAATAGCCTAAAAAACTAGTTACCAAGTTATTTATTTATATTTATACTAATTTTATTTTTATAAAGCTAGTAATAAATAAAAATTAATAAGTAACTTATTTTTATAATAAGTTTTTTAAAATATACTAGGCCTATACTTACTAGCTTAAAAGTAATTATAAAAATATTATAAATAATTTATATAATTTATATAAAACTATTATAAAGTTACTTTTAAATTCTTATTTAATAATAATAAACCTATTTTTAATAATAATATTCCTAACTTTACTACTTTTAAAGGCATTTTTTAAAACTAGTTTACTTTATATTTTTTATTTTAAAATAATATAGCCAAGCGCTTTAAAAGTATTTTAATTTAAAAAGTTAAAATAATAACTTTATATAAAATATTTTACTTAATATATAGCCCTGGGTTATAAAAGTAGTAGCTTATATTAATAATTAAATTTTTATTAAAGCTATTAATTAAATAACTTTATAAAAAAAACTTACTAGTAAAAAGCCTTATATTTTAGGTATTTAAATTATTAGGTGTTTTTTTAGGTAAGAAAATCCTAGGAAAAAGGCCTTTATAAAATAAAGCTAAGGGCCTTATTTAAATATTTTATAAGTTATTAAGCCTTAAATATTTAGTAAATCTAGTTTTTTTAAAATTAGCGTGTTAAAGCTTATAAAAATATTATTTTTAATAAATCCTAGCTTTATAATTTATAAAAACTATTTTTTATTATTAATATTTAAATTAATTTTTTTAAACTATTAATTAAGGTTTTTAAACCGCCCTCTTGCCACTGTATTATTAAAAATATAAATTTAAATTTAAACTTTACTAAATTTTTTTTAAA